ATTATTCATATAAATTACTGGTCTTGTGCTGTAATTATCATGATTTATTATAATAAATGTTCAGCTAAAGAATTTAGGTTTTTCATGACTAATTGTAATAATTTTTGCACCTCTTAATTTAATATTTTTAGTTTATTTCTTATTCTTCATTTTTAATTTACTATAAAAGACGAATTTTTTTTATTATTTTATTTATTATATTGAAAAATGACTTCAATTAAATAATTTTGGATTGCCGTGAGTTATATATACTAAATTTATAAATCTGAGCTCGAATTATCTTAATTATTTTCGAAGTAAAAAAGTATTTTTAATTTGTATTAAATTTGTTATTTTAATTATTTAATTGATCAGTTTAATCCTGAATTCAATTTTATTTTTAAACGAGGTTCTGATAGAAAATAATTTATTTTAGAATTTTGAAGGATTCCACCATTAGTTTATCGATTTTTCTTTGTTTTATAATCTATTTTATTTTTTTTTTATTGTTCTCGAACACTAAATGAAGAATTGATTGATATTTGGAAGATTGATTATTAAAGGAGTATATTTGAAAATTAATTATACAAGAGCTCCAGCTTTTTTAGTTTCTTATGCAATAATTTTTTCTTTTAGACCTTAAGTTGAACTACTCTTTTTTATTGGTGCTTAAAATAATGCAAACACTTGAATCTTATATTTAAATGATTTTTAAGTTGTATTCTTATATCGATTACTCATGCAAATAAAATAATTTTAATAAATATCACATTCTAGTCTAGATTGACAAATTTTCTAATATTTTAGGATCAATTTTAACATCATTTTTACAATTTTTACCAGCACAGTCTAAAATTTCCATATAAAATCCTGCAATTAAGCCTTCTTCATCAACAGAAACCATATCATACAATAATTACATAACAAAATACAAATCAACCTAAAATTATTTATATAATTCTTCTGAAAAATAAGTTCTTCTTACTTTTTGTAATAATACTTTCAATACATATTTTACAACAGTTATAAGCAAACTATTTCTGTCATTTATATTAGTTTCTAATATCTTACATTTTCTTACCATAACGATTTCCATTTAAATATTAAAAGAATTTTGTTGGATAAAGGACAATTTCTTTACTAGACCTCTTTTTGTATCTGGAAATAATAAACCTAATGCTTCAATGAAATTCTTGACTTCATTTAATAACATTTTTTAAGTAATTTATTGTTAGTACACAATATTTTCCTAATTTAGATATTTAAATATGATGTTAATCCAATGTTCACTCTAAGCTTGTGCAAATAAAATTAAATTCTTTTAGGTAGATCCATTGATATAAGTCTTGAGTTTATTTAATTCTTGGTCGGTAGGTGATCGGACTTAAAATTAAATTACATATTTACTTTTGTATCCTTAAAAAACTTAGCTAACAAGTTCAAATAATTTATTACTTAAAGTTTTGGAGTACAATTATAAGAATTAATTTGAAAACAAATAATAGTATGTTGAATCATTAGTGTTTAATAAAGGTAAGACTTGCTAAATAATATAATTATCATTAAATAGTTAATTTAATTATTCTTGAGAAATAGAAATAGATCTAAAAGCAAATATTTTACCAATAAATTTAACAAATTCGATTAACGAAGCTTAGATTAAATTTAAATAAGTCTCTTATTCTCTAAGATAACTCTATTATTATGAAAATACAAAAGCTTTAAGATCTAATAACCTTATAGTTGTGAATGCAATTAATTTTTATTTGATTACAGTAATGAGAGTCATAATCTCTCTTTTGATTTCATCTGTAGGCTACAAACGCTATAAATCATTTTTAGCAAACACTAGTAACTCTAAAAATTAAACCCTTAAATGGCTAAAAGATGTAAAAACCTATCCTCTACAGATATTTTCAACATTTTCTGTAAATTTGTCAATAATTTCAGTTCTCAATTACTATCTAATTGAATTGTTTTCAAATAATGATTAAAGTTCAGTTTATAATTTAACAAAAACTTCATTAACTTAAACATTATTAATTTTCTTTTAACTCATTTTATCAGTAACACCCTAAAAAACTCCATGAATGATTTCTTTGATACATTGAGTTGATAATTATTCTAAAGACTTATCTCTTAAAGTTCCTCTGATTTCAATAAGCAAAAAAGAAACCTCAACCTTCAATTCTTTGAATATAATTTAACATAATTAATTGATTAACCAAAGAATTGATCCTTAAATCGCTGAATCTGAATTAACTATTTCTTTTTCTTTCATTTATTTATATTCTTCTAATTCTTCTACTGTATAATCATATCTTTTATCTTCTAAATAATCCATCAAGTTTACAACTTCAGATGATTTTGTAATAGCTGCTTTATCTATTAATTCTTTTGCTACAGTCAAATATCTTTCTTTAATGATCTTTTGATAATGTCTTAGAACTGCTTCTTCATCATCCATTATTTATATTAACTTTTTGACTGCTGATCTTGCCTCTTAAGTAGAGATTGATACTTTAGATTCAGAATACAATTATAAAAGGGGATTCTATTATTTAAATTCTATTAAAGAACTCCAAAGAATCTATCTAGTATTATCTAATTTTTAATTCGTTTCTTTGTAAATTGGTTAAATAAGTGGTTCATTTTTGTATTGATCCAAAGTTGAATAACACTATTTATAATACTAAGCAGTCTCATTAAAATATTCATCATAATTCTTTCCTTTACTAATTTTATATTGATCTAATTCTTTTTGTATAATATGAGGAAAATTGCAAACAGAATTAAGCCTACTTAAATCCTTATTGACTGTATCTAATTTTATGATTTCTTCTCTTTTAATAGATAATTAAGAATCTATTCTTCTAGACAATTAAGCTATTTTACTCATGGATTGTGCCAAAGTCTCGACCTTTTAATCTATTTAGGTGATATCAGTTTTCATCTTTTTTACTGTGTCAATTGATGATATGAATTTGCTATATCTAATTTGTTCTTGTACCTGTAATTTTCAAAAACTAATGATTATATATCTGAATCGTATTCTTTAATTTCTTATTGCAATTAATTGTGCCTTTGAATTAAATCTTAAACACTATGATTTTTTAAGAATTCTCCAACATATTTTTGACAATCAAACTTAGACGAATCAATATCAAGCTAATCCATATAATTATTAATAATAAAGAAATCAATAAATAATTTTTTATATTAAATATACTTTAATAATAATATTATTTAGACTCTTCAAAAATTAACATCAATTCTCGAATATTTTGAATGAATTAATCTGTCAAACCATGTATGAATCTTGAATGTGAAACAAAACAAAAAGTTCTCTAAATTAGAGGTATTTCTTTCCCTCTGTTACTCTTCTAATGTTTTCCTAAATGGTTTCTACTTACATAGGATTTAGTTTCAAGTATTACAAGAACTTTCAATCCAAGCTTAACTTCAATATTAGATCTCTTGAATATACTATTTGAGTAGGTTTGCATTATTTTAATTATAAATAATTAGAAGAGACCACACATTTTGATATCTTTTATATTTTGGTTAGATAATAATTTTTCATAATCAATAAATGGATATTCCTCATAGTTTTTTATAGCCTTCTACTGAGAGAAAAATTTTATGCAAATGAGGGTCTAGAATTATTTTTGATTTTTTGGGATGATTTTAAAGGGCAAAAAAGCAGTTTCCACAGCTCTTTTCAATGGAATTATTTCAATAATGTTGTTTCTAAGATCTTCAAATTAATTGGATGCCACTAAAGAGTAATAAGAAGGAATATAAAATAATCTGTAAGTTTAATAAACTATTTTGGTATTGCAGAATTCAAGTTTTTGAATGGTTTTAAAAAAAGATATAATGATTTTTTAAATATTCGGTCAAAAATGGGCGGGATGGTATATAATCCCAAAAAAAGCATGAGCAATTGGCAATGATTTAATAACTGTTTTTTATTGCCATTATTTCATTAACATCTTTACCATTTTATAAATAAGTTATCAATAATGAATATGAAAGAACTAATTAATACACTCTGATCCGTCTAATTAAGAGGGTTATAAAAAGTTACTTGAAAATATTCTATGATTTTCCATCTTAATTTTTAGAAAGAATTTAATAAAAAAAGCAATAACATCATTTAATTAACAGATTTATTTAGATGTAAATTGAAAGATTTAATTTGAGCAAGATAAGAATCAAAAATGAGAGAAGACTAAGCTGGATTAGCCAAAATGAACGCAAAACAATAAGAAAATTCTTAATTTAATTCAGGGTATTAAGAAATAGATAAACTCTCTTAATAATATTATATTATCACAACAATCATTGCAACAAAAAAATTGAAAAATATAGAAAAGTAAGTTTTGGTCATTATCATAAGGTTTTGAGATCTATATAACAATCAGGACCTAAATTAGATTAAATCTGAAATGAATTTTATTATAAACTCATTAAAGAGACTATGAAATAATATCAAGAAACTTAATAATAATAATAATAGTAACAATTATTGTAATTAACATAATAATAACAAAAACAAGTATTGCCAGTTCAAGAATAGCCTTGTAACAAATAAGTATTTTAATTTAAGTGATCGGCTTTTCGTCAATCTATATTATTTAAAAAGCATTTAAAACTAAAAATTTAAACATTTTCACAAAACTTCTGGTAATGTTATTCAAATAAAAATAATCTTAAGATGTCAATTTTATGAGCCAAATTACTTTTAACTAGATCTTTATTATTAAAAATTAAGTTGATATATTAAAAATTCAAATTAATAAACTGATTTTTATTTTCTTTGATTAAAAATTATATGAATATGTATTTTATTTAGATTACNAATTTTATGCAAATGAGGGTCTAGAATTATTTTTGATTTTTTGGGATGATTTTAAAGGGCAAAAAAGCAGTTTCCACAGCTCTTTTCAATGGAATTATTTCAATAATGTTGTTTCTAAGATCTTCAAATTAATTGGATGCCACTAAAGAGTAATAAGAAGGAATATAAAATAATCTGTAAGTTTAATAAACTATTTTGGTATTGCAGAATTCAAGTTTTTGAATGGTTTTAAAAAAAGATATAATGATTTTTTAAATATTCGGTCAAAAATGGGCGGGATGGTATATAATCCCAAAAAAAGCATGAGCAATTGGCAATGATTTAATAACTGTTTTTTATTGCCATTATTTCATTAACATCTTTACCATTTTATAAATAAGTTATCAATAATGAATATGAAAGAACTAATTAATACACTCTGATCCGTCTAATTAAGAGGGTTATAAAAAGTTACTTGAAAATATTCTATGATTTTCCATCTTAATTTTTAGAAAGAATTTAATAAAAAAAGCAATAACATCATTTAATTAACAGATTTATTTAGATGTAAATTGAAAGATTTAATTTGAGCAAGATAAGAATCAAAAATGAGAGAAGACTAAGCTGGATTAGCCAAAATGAACGCAAAACAATAAGAAAATTCTTAATTTAATTCAGGGTATTAAGAAATAGATAAACTCTCTTAATAATATTATATTATCACAACAATCATTGCAACAAAAAAATTGAAAAATATAGAAAAGTAAGTTTTGGTCATTATCATAAGGTTTTGAGATCTATATAACAATCAGGACCTAAATTAGATTAAATCTGAAATGAATTTTATTATAAACTCATTAAAGAGACTATGAAATAATATCAAGAAACTTAATAATAATAATAATAGTAACAATTATTGTAATTAACATAATAATAACAAAAACAAGTATTGCCAGTTCAAGAATAGCCTTGTAACAAATAAGTATTTTAATTTAAGTGATCGGCTTTTCGTCAATCTATATTATTTAAAAAGCATTTAAAACTAAAAATTTAAACATTTTCACAAAACTTCTGGTAATGTTATTCAAATAAAAATAATCTTAAGATGTCAATTTTATGAGCCAAATTACTTTTAACTAGATCTTTATTATTAAAAATTAAGTTGATATATTAAAAATTCAAATTAATAAACTGATTTTTATTTTCTTTGATTAAAAATTATATGAATATGTATTTTATTTAGATTACTTTCAATCTAAATTGAATTGTTTTTGGAAATATAAGTTTCTTTAATTCTATCTCTTTTATTCATTATGATCCAAAGTTTATTATCAATTAAATTTTTATAAATAATCTTATTCCCCAATTAAAATCTTAAGTCAATTAAGCTATTAAATTCATTTTATTATGCTAACAAGTCTATCGACATATCTTCTAATTATCTCTATTTCAATCTTTGTATCATAGCAACAGCTCCTAATTTATTGTTTTAATTTGAAATCATCATACTTATGATTGCAAATATAGTACTGATAGACTTTCAAATTATGTTATAAAACCTAAATTTTTGTCTGATGCATTGGTTCTTTAAATTATCTTCTTATGATATAACTATTTATAAATTGATAAGTTAAGTTTTACTCTATAAATTTTTTAAAATATTGAATACTAATTTTTATATAAAATTATTATTGATTTGATAATCTATTAGAAAAATAAAATATTGATGTCTTGTATAAAAAAGAGAGAATAATATTTTGATTTTCATATATATATTGTAACTGTAGATTTAGAATACTTTGCTATAATTAAATAATATATATGAAATATTTGTTCATTTTTAAAATTGTCACAGTTTGGAATTGATTAATTAAAACAAAACTGATATATCTGATATTTATAGAATTGGATATTCAATTTAATAATTGAAATATGTATCAATTAATAAATAAATCATAATTTTATTAAAATTAGAAAAAAACAAAAGTATTCAATCATGTAAAAAATAAAATGTGGTTGAATTTTTTGAAGCTGTTTTTTAACTTTTAAAGAGAACTAAGGTATTAAATTAGTTAAGTATTAGGTATTGTTTTAAAATCGTAAAAAAGTATAAATGATTGAATATCTTAACATAAGAATAAATGAAATTTCAATAGATAAAGATAAAGTGATAAGGGAGATTATACAAAAAAAAATAATAATTATATTTGATCAGATAGCGACGTTGAAACTGACATCAATGCTGTTTCAGATGGTTGATCCATAGTATGTCTCATCATATTAAATAATAAACTAAAATACGTATATTATGATATCAATAATAATGATATTAATTTTATGGGTTGTTTCATAATAAACCATTTTATTATAACAATTATTAATACCTCAATATTTTTGCATCCTTTTATTTCATGAGTTCATCCATTCGATGTAATTTTTATTCTAAAACCTATGATTGCAAATAATAATGAGATTATAACCTCGATAGTTTCACGCAATTCAAAAATTTATTGATCTTTTTACCATTCATTTGCTTATAATGGTGGTGGTGTGATATGACTATCTGCTTATTAAGGTTGCTTTTCAGCAGAATTTGTATTATTTTCTAAATAGTATTCTAATTTTGCTTAAACAAACTTCAAAACTCTCTCAACTGCTTCAGATTAGCAAGAAATAACACTTTCAATTTATTCTCTAAAATAAAAATTCAAATTTTTACTTTGAGAGAGTAAAGCCAATCTTTTTGAATACTTTTGTGTTTAATGTATCCCAGTTATACTTTTTCTATTTAACAGAATTGGCTTGACTGTAGTTATGCATCTGAATAAATTCAAATCATTAATACATCAACCAATTTAGGAAGAAAATAATGCATTATTTCAGCCATCAATATACCATCAGCGAAATCTCTGGCTATATTCTTTTTTGGTCTGGTTAGAGGTATTTAATCGACCCATGTATAAATTTCGTTTAATTCTTCTTCTTTTAGTGGTTAAAGCATTATTAATATTTTAATCAATTATATAAAAAAGTAAAATATATATAATAAGATTTTATTTCTTGATAATTTATTACGTAATGATAAATCATTTGATTTTATGTCTAAATTTCATTAAACTATAAATTCTCTGATATCATCAACATTAATGGGGTGTCTCTAATAGGTTTTAGGATTTCCCATCAATTCTAATTAGTTCTCACTTATTGGTTGATAAAATTTAATAACTCTATCAACTCCATTGTAATGAGGTAAAATAACATCAAGGAATATGAATAATTCTTAATCATGACTCTAATTAATGTATAATATTAAGATACATTTGAAAATTTATGTAAATTACACTTATTCGGAGTTGTGTAGCAATTATCACCTTCTTTTAGTTATAATTTTGGTTATTGGATTGCCTTTAAAATTCTAGAATCTCCTTTGTTCTTTCTAAATTCTATTTATTAATGAATATCACATGGATCAATGTCCCATGATTCTCTTTCCCCAATCCCATTCATTACATGACTTAAAACGAACATATTTGGATGATCATGTAAAGGCATTCTAACACCTGGTTTCAAAGCAAACATTGCAATTGTAAAACGATGTTCTGGTTCTAAATGTATAGGCAACATTGAAATATCCCCAATAGGTTTAAATTCTTTTTTGATATATTCTTGTAATTATTTCGTTTTAACAGCTTCGAATGTAGCTTCAGTAATAGCACGATTATCAAAGATATCTAAATAACTTGGACCTAATTTTTAGAATTGGGTGTAGACTTTGACAACTTCTTTCAATAATTTATGCATGAATAATTTCTATTTAGATTTCAATATTTAGCAAAATCAAAATTTAGATTGATTAAAAATATGAAAAATAATTTAATTATATTTTTTTAACAGCAAAATAATACATTAAACAATGAGCTACTCAGAAAAACATAGAAGAAACACTTCTCCAAATTTACGAACAACAAGTGAAGACAGAATTAAGTAAAATTCATCAGGTCAATCTAATTTATTAAGTCTGGAGTAATAAATAGAAAAAGTATTGAATTATTTATAATTAGGTTTAACAATAACTAAATAGAAAATATGAAGATAGAATCAAATTTGTGGAAGAAACTCTCTCAGAGCATGAAGAAAAATTTGAAAATTTCATAAAATTAATTAAATTACTCTAACATTTTGCTACAACTTAAGAATAAGAAAATAAAAATATTAGAAATCATATTAACATATCAATGGAATAATTATATAATGAAGAACTTAACTAAATAAAAGATTAAAATCAAAATATCGAATTACAAATAAAAGAAATTTAGAAATCTTTTGAAAAAGAATAACCTTAAATTTAAGAATTTGAAATTATTATCAATAAAAAAATTGATGTAATTATGGATGAAGTTAGATAAAGTGCTTTAAAAACAGATTATCAAAAAATTGAATAGAGACTATTTAAATTAGAATAAAATTTTAAATAAGAATATCAATTAAAGAATAATGATTCCGAAAGAATATTAAGTAATAGTTTAATTTATCAAAACTAATTAAATGATTTAAAAATTGTGTTAGATAGTGTAATATAAGATTAAGAATAAACTAAAAATTACATTAAACAAATAGAAAGAGATATAAATTCAAATAAATAAAAGGAAAAGTTATCCTAAATTAGATCTTCTGTTACTAAGGAATCCTAACATACAGAAAGTGATGCTATGTTCATAAGACCTGTTAGAGATTCGAAAGAAAATATGAAAAATAATGAAAATAAAAGAAAAAAAAGTAAATCAAGTCAAAGTAGAAGCGAATCAAGGAATGCAAGATTAGAAACAATAAAAAAAAAAAAATAAGAAAGTGTTAAAGAATTAATTAAAAAGCATAAATAATAATAAAGTAAGCCATATTGAGTTTATTTATTAATATTTATTATTTATAACTAATAATAATATATAATATAGAATGTTTAATGATCAAAAATAGTTAAATAGAAACTCAGAAAGTTAAGGTCTTCTTAAGCTGAAAACTGATGATTAATTAAAATAGAAAGCAAAAATTAAAGCAATATTAAAAAGCTATGAATCTTTGAAAGAATGGTCAGATTTAGGATAGGTAATTAAATTGGAATATTATAGTGGTTACTGAAATTGTAAGCTTTTTTTAAATCATACCAAGGAAGTTATATACCAAAGAAAAAATTATTATGCAAAAGACTAGCTTAATGTTTGAGTCCAATTTGGAACAAAGCTATTCATGAAAATACTTTAACTATTTATGATTTAATTTTGCAAATACTATGTTCAGATTAAGAGTATGATTTAATTTAGGATTTACCTTTATTTTCACTTGGTCTATTTCCTTTTTTTGGATTTGCATCTATTTAGTGCAAGCCTATGTTTTTAAACATTCTGGAAAAATATTATTATCCTTTAAAGAGAGAATTACTACCCTGTATGGGAGGATTAATAAATTCGATAATTGTTGGTATGGAGGATACAAATGAGGATATGATGAAAAAGGTAATTGATATTAATAAAATAAGGTTATGACATCTCTTGATTAAGCATGTGAAAGTGTAGGAATAAAATAATTTTTTGGATTGCTTTGGATTACTATAATAAGATCAGTTAGAAGTAGACAAGGAGTATTTAAATATCTAATGAAAAGATGGACAAAATAATAGTAAATTGAAATAAATGAAAATGAAATTAAAGAAGATGATAAAATGCCAAATAAAAGTGCTTTAGTTTTAAATGCTCTTTTGATTTCATTAGAAGATGAATCTTCACTTGTAAAAAGAGCAGCTCTAGATTTTATGTGTTTATATTGCAAAATTTCAGATAAAATTTTTTCATAATAGGAGTATACAATTCTAATCGAATAAGCCTTATTATTATTTTAAAAATAAGATCATGCTGTAATTAGAAGAATTAATAATTGGTTAATTGGAGAAGAAGAATTGACCGATAAAAATAATAATATACTTTATGTATAAGAAGGATTAATGAGAATTCTAGTTGAAGAATAAGGTGATCCATTAAAAGTGTTGTAAAATTGGTATATGTAACATCCAGAAACAGTCTAATTAACTTTATTTTAAATTGGATATTCATTAGCCAAATATATTTATTAAAAGACTGTTTCATATTAAAATTTAAATTAAGCTGAAAAATTGTTTGAATTATAAAAAGGAGGGGAAAGACTTATTGAAAGCATATCTAGTTAAAGCGAATTAATTATAAAATCTATATTTGAACAATTGAAGAAATTTATGAAAGATCAGAAATAAGATTAAATAAGAGAAAGTATTCTGATTATTGATTTTTGTCTCAATAATTTAATGAAATCATAATTTTCAGATCTATCTAAAGTTGATGATCTATAATTATTTTAATAAAGAACAGAATGTTTACAAGAATTTATTATTATAATAATTAAAGAGATGATGAACTTAACCTGTGAATAGGTGTATGAATCTTCAATTTCATAATTATTATTTGAATAAACTGTAGATTGTATTAATAAAATAAGAAAAAGATTGGATATTTTAGAAAACGATAAAGAAATGTAATTTGTTTTAGGAAGTAATTATAATAAATAAAATGAATCTTTTAAAAATTCTATATTAGCTTAATTAAATTAGATAGATATTGATATTATCTCACAATATTGCAGTTATTATATTTAAATTAATGAATATTCTATAATAAATGAATAAGAAGCTTTATTTCCAATAGTATCACAGATTTTGTTAAGATCATAATTATATTTAATGAAATAAGGAGATTTTTAATATAATGAAATCCCAAGCTGGATTCATTAACTATTTAAATCTTTAGATAAAGGTACTAATAAAATAAGTTTATGCTCTATTTAAATTTTAATTGAATTGCTAAAGTCATCATAATTTCATTAAAATATTTATCTATTGACTGAAATGATAACAAAAAACAGTTATTCGAATATTGAGCCATTTCCATAGATTTTATCATTATGCATGGATAAAATTTAAACTAATTATTAAATTGAAAATAATTAACACAATTATATTAAGTAAATCTTTGAAAAATTATGGATACTCCTAGATTAAAATTATCATGATTAAATGATAGTTGAATTTATTTTGTACATTACAGAAAACTTTTAACATGTTTTTGTTTATGTGATTGAATAATCTTTAAAATAGGGTGATCAAAGAAGATTTTAAATATATTGTAGAATTACAAATAGTTATTACAAAAGACATCCTAAAGAGAATACTGGAGTTGGAATCATTTAAATGTTGAATTTTTTGAATAATGAAAATCCTTTAATTAGATATAATACAAAAACTTGGCTATCTGAGTCTGCTCCTTTTTTTTTTAGAATATTGGATCCTATTTTATTAAGGTTAATCAATTTTAAAAATGATATTGAAAATAAAAATGAGTTCTCATTTGATTTAGCAGTTGATTCAATTAAAAAATTACAATCTTTATATTCATCCAAAGAATGGTTTTAACCATATATTGAGAAAACAAAACCTACTTTTTATGAGGATGATAATATAAATACATATTACAAATTAATATGCTTAACATTAATTCAATTAATTGTGGCTGATTTTTAAAACTAAGAATATTAAAAAATAAATGCAATAAGTGCAGAGCTTTTAGAAATTGTTATAAATAATACAATAAATGAAAAAAGTAAAACTTAAATCTTAATCTAATATTTCAATATAATCTTAAATAAGTTTGAATAAGTTATCAGAAGTAAAGATTAGGTTTTATAATTATAACTATTAAATTTAATTAAAGTTTTCTTGCTTCATACATATGAGTTATAAAAAGATTTATCATCAGAAAATAAATAAAAGTTAATAGATATTTATGATTAACAACTTTTTTTTGACAATCTTGTATTTGGTCTAAAACAAGCTCAAGTTTATTATCTGAAATAAAGATATTTAAACACAATAGTTGTTGGTATATATTCAATAAGCTATTTATTACCTCCAAAAATAATAAATGAAAAAATCATTTTAATAATAACATCATTGTTATCATTATTAAAATCATGTGAATATAATACTAATTAAATTGTAAAATCATTTAGACGAATTTCTAATGTAAAGATACTAAAAAATTAGAAATCTGAGTATAATGTTAATAATTTCTAATAAATTAATATCTAATAATTAAACAATGATCAACCTTAAATCAAAACAGCTTTATCTGGAGATGATTTTGAAGAAGTAATGTCATTATCTAATTCTATCAGAGCCATAATTTGTTATTTTTTCTAATTTAAGTATGATTCAAAAGAGATTGATTAAAGACCAAATGCAGCAGGTGTTTTAGTAGATTTATTTACTTTAAATCTTTTTTTTAAAAAGACTGATAAAACATTAAAGTCATAAAAATAGCAAGAACAATTGTAATTTGAAAACTTTCCAGACACTTGTCAAATGTTATTAAAATTATTTCCATAAATTATATAATCATATTTGGAATGTTGGAGATGTTCATTAAAATGGGATCATCTTTTTACAAAAGGTTGTATTGTTTATGAATATGATAAATTTGATTAATTTAACAAATAGTTAAAAGATTAATTATCTAAACAGGAAGAAGATTACTCTGATGAAGATTAAATTTAATAATCAATTTTATAATTGTTAAAACCTAGTTCAATTCATTTTACTTCAACCTTAATTTAATCATTTTTAGTAATATGGTAAAATGAATATTCTGTAAATTTTTATGCAGATCCAAAAATTAATAATAATATGTGTAAATTGATTGAAATAGCAATTACTCTTCAAATATCTCCTGATGATTTTGTTGCTGCTTTTATAAACACTTAATAAGTCTCAGGGATTATTCAATATTACCAAAAAAATAAATATAAAAAAGGACCATATTAATTCAACTATGATTAAGCAACCTTTGAGAATGGTATATTATTTTTTTTATATACTTATTTTTCATCAGTATAATTTCAAAATCTAAAAAATAGAGAATTGATAAAATTATGGAATTGTTTTCTAATGTTTTCAAAGTCATTACTATAATCAAGACATATTAATACTATTTGTTTTTTATTAGAAATTATTCATTTAATGTCATGGAAATTTTCTCCCAAAGATGTTTTAGAAGAATTTAGAAAAGATTTACATACGCAATTAAGATAGATTTTAGTAATTTTAGCTGAAATAGCATCAATGTAATAATAATATATTACTTTTACATCATCATCTCTTGAAAATTTTCACTAAACTCAATTCGATTAAAATTTATAGCTTATTGTTCCTTTTACTCCAACTATTTTTGAACTATATACTGAATATTTTAAATTAAGATAAAAAGATGTAGAAAAAACAGAAGAAGGATGGAATGAATATTTTGTTTAAAGAAATTTATTTGATCCATATCAATAGAAAGGCTTATTATTAGAAGAAAAAGATTTTTCAAAAAAATGTTCAATAATAGCCTTAAAAACATTAAAACGTTTATCTTAAGTAACCTTGATAAACACTTATGAAGTATCAAGAGGTGAAAGAATAGTTGAAAATACAAAAGAATTTATGACATTGATATTTCCATTGATTGAGGATAGAGAAAATTAAATTATAGTTGAATCAGCTTCAGAATTATTACATTCTATACTAAAACTTTCAAAAGATTAACTTTCTTAAATATTTTTAAATGATATTTTAAATATATTCAATAAATAAGACTTTTTCAAATGTACAGGTCGATGCCTTAAATTCTGGACTGAAATAATAAATATAATATCAGATAAAACTGATCTGCTAACAGAATAATTAGGAAATAATTCTAAAATCTTTTAAGGGTTTACTGGATTGTTTTAGAGCAAATCAGCAGAAATACTTAAAAAAACAAAAGGATTTGAGAGAGTTTGTTTTATAATATATTCAGGTGGAGTAGATAAATATTAATCAAAATTATCAAGCTTATTAGATGCAATTTTAACCGTTATAAAAGATATTAACTAATAGCATGAAGCAATTACAATCTTAATTATTTTTTGTATCAGAATATTGGTATTAAGATTAAGTTAATCATCATTAACCTAAGTATTTCGAAAAATATGGCCATATCTAATAAGCATGCTAATTTAAATATTTGATAGAAAGGGAAAATAAGCCAATCCATATTTATTAATATCAGGATTAAAACTTATTGAATTATTCTCCTTATTTCAACTAGAAGAATTCTACTTTTATGAATGGATTTTTGTTTTTGATTGTAATATTTATTCATAAAAATAGATTTTGGAATAACAATCAACTTTTAAAAAGAAGAGTAGTAATAATAAAAAGTAAAAATTAATACTCCATATAAATTTATACCTTATATGGCTTATTAATTTCCTACAACATCTTTTTATAATGTTGATTATGAAAATAAATTATATCCAGATCAATATTAATAAAACTTATTTAAAAAAAAGCGTTTAGTAAAAATTAAGGACATTTAAGAATTTTAAGTATTGAATATTTCTATATATTTTAGGAATTTGAATCTAAATTAAGGTAGCAAGCTTTGTATTTATGTTAGCATTTAATTGATATAAATTAATAGAGAATGGAAGTTAATCCATAATCATTAGAGGAGATTATAGAAGCTGAATTTATAAGTTTAGATGATTATATTAGTAGAATTTAGTGATTTTGAAATAATATTTAAAGCTATTTTATAATTATTTAAACAATATTTTTATTTTAAAATGATAATAATTGTTGAAATATTATAATTTCCAAGAAATATGTATTAAATGATTTAATATTTAAAATTATAAAAAAACAATAATTAAATAATCATATTGAATAACGGCTTGCAGGTATTGGATAAGTGTAAAAGTACAATAAATTTCGAAATATTCCAGAAATGGTATATTTTGGAGAAGTAACAGTCTTATTTTTCATATAAAAAAAATCTTCTGATTTTGCCTATTTAGCAGTTTTCCCCTATGAAAATATATTAAAAGTTAACTTTTGATATAAAATAACAATTGAGACTATTAACAGGGATAAGGAAACTAAAACATGTGATGGCTATAATTATTATTAATATGGTTATAAATGGATTTTCATAATATCTATAATTTTAATAATCATCTACAATATTTATGAGAACAGCTGAGTAAATAATAGGAAGAATAAACATAATAATTAATATTATGGCATTCAGATAATTTTATTTAGTAAAACAACCACAACAAAAATATAACCCATAAAATACTATAATTGGAATACTTGCTTGTTTAAACATTAAAATCCAGAGTTCATAAATGTCTAAATATTATTTATACACTTATTATATATTAGATAATAAATTTACAATTTAAACAACATTAACATAGATAAAGAATAATAGTAAGCAAAGATGATTGTAAAAATAATAAAAATGCTCTCCAATTTCTAATTCCTATACAAGTGCCAACCCAAAAACAATGATGATCAAATCCATCAACACAATGATTACAATGTTTGCCTAATTAAAATCTAAAAATACAATGAGATGCTTTTGAAGGTTTCATTATTTTACAAGTTGAACAATATCGAATTGTATAAATACTAGGCAAATCAGGATTCTATAAAGTTTAATTTTATGATTCTGCCATTTGTACAATTTAATGCTATTATATACTTTAAATTTATTATTCAGAACAATTTTAAATTTATTAAGGTGTTTATTCTATTTTTTAAACTTCTTACTATTATTATAATTTAGGATCAGGTAAATCTCCTCTTAATAAAACACCAGGTTCTAAGAATAATAATATTTAACTTTAACCTGTCATTGTAACATTAAATAGTGTTATAATAGGTAGTATACAGCAAATTATAATTATAATTGCAAGAGGATCATATTAATAATCTAATGCTGCAGGAAAAATAAAAATTAAGTACAAAATTATCAAAGCTATAATTAAACTTAGAGTTCCTAATATATTTAATATGTCTTTCTAACATAATAGAAATAATTAATGTAACTTTTGTGCCAAATATTATTGTGCCTTTAAATTTATTAAATGCTTCAAATGATTTTTTAGTATCCATAATTTCAGTGTCTTCAAAAAATTTTTATATATAATTCATAAAATATTAAAATTTAATTTATGAGAAAACTTAAATTCCATGAGAAAAAGTTATTAAAAAGAGTAGATTTGTATAATTGGAAGAAAGAGAAAGATCATAGAGAAGCAGAAATAATAAAAAGATATAATTTATCTAATAGAGAAGATTATGATAAATATAATAGAATGTGTGGTCACATTACATCTATGATTTCTAAAATAAAATTATTATCTGCTTAAGATCCATTTAGAGTAAAATTGACAGAATAATTATTGGAGAAATTATATAATATGGGAATTATTACAACAAAAGACAATATATAAAATTGTGAGAAATTAGCAGTATCAGCATTTTGTAGAAGAAGACTTCCAATTGTATTATGCAAATTGAAATTTGCTTAGACACCTAAAGAAGCATGTACTTATATTGAATAAGGACATATAAGGATTGGAACTAAAATTATTACAGATCCTGCTACACTTGTAACTAGATCTTAAGAAGATCATATCACATGGTCAGATGCATCTAAAATTAAATAAACTATATAACAATATAACAATGAAAGAGATGATTATATAGGTTGAATTTTAAATTTATAATTATTCATATTGTAATTTAGTTGATGCAATATATTCAAGATATGATTCTAACGATTATCATGAAATACTTTTATCATAATCATTTTACTTTCTATAATCTTTGTTAAATTGCATAACTAAATACAGTTGAAAGTCCAACTCCAGCACTTTTTAACAAATTAAAAGTAATTATAACACCATATAATTTAAATGGATTATTTCGTCTATCATAATCAATTTATCTTTTATTGTTATCTAATTCTTCTACGATCTATTCTATGTAAACTTTTACAGTATCTAAATCAAATCCAACCTAATCTCTTATGATGCTAAAAAAAATTTTATGTACATCATTTATTGGTTATATATTATTTTAAAAATATTATTCTCTCATTCTTTAAATATCTAAATAGATTGATTTTACATCATCCAACAATGTTTCGAAACTATCAAAATATTCATTAAGTGAAGCACCTAAATACAAGTAATATAAAGTAAATCCAATTAAGACTAAAGCCATTTCACCTAACAATATTAATTAAAACATATCAATATGAATTAGATCTAAAATTAAACCTAAAGACAGGAATATAAAGATTATATTTGCTACAAAAATCAACGAATAAAATCCTTACACTCTTAGATTATATGTTTATCCATAATCAAATGATAAAGATCTAATAATAGACCATGCTTATAAAGTTTATGGATTATTAAAGTTGATTGTAGGGATCAGTTTTTTAGCAGTTGGATAAGATACCTTTTTTGCTGAAAGCATATAGAGACATTGATCAAGTAAAAAGAACTTTCTTCTAAAATCATAGATTCCTATAGCTAAAAAAATTACAGAACCAAAAAAGGCCTGCATTGATGTAAAAAAGTTAATTATTAATCTTATTATATCTTGCCAATCTGGTATATTTTCCATAAAATGTTACAATCTGATGAATGTTGGAGAAATGCTATAAAAAAAAGATAATATAAGCATATATTTAAATAATGAAGATTAAGGATTTTTCTTTTGATAACAGGTAACTAAATAACCAAAAACGTGAAAACCGTTATAATATCTATTTTCAATGATAGGATCAGTTTATTTCATTTATTATTTCATTGCCCATTCAATATAAAAACATACATTAGTGGTTTTAATGGCTTCAGATGTAATTTGATTTGGATTTAATAAAAAGTCAAATTTATATAAAGAGCATTCCTATTCATGTCTTCTTAAAGCTCTATATTGTTCTAAAAATAGCACTTTAGATGATTGTTCAAACCAGTCCTGAAACATTAGATCAAAGCTAAACATTTCTTCAGGAAGTTCTTCAGTTTTATATAATTTTATTCTAGCAGTACTCAAAGTAGCATATTTTGCTGCAATGACCACTGAACGAGTGGATATAGCGAACCACATGAAAATAATTTCTGTCAATGTAATAACACTTTTATCTTATATGAAATACATTAAACCACCTAAGGCAGATCCTATCCATAAAAAAGTTTGCATATAAAATGCAGAGGAGTGTTTAAAAAACCTCATATTTTTTAATAAGATTATTCCTGGATATTTAAATAGAACTAAAACAACAAAAGGTCCTAAGAATATAAAAAATAGTATGTGATAAAATAGAAATTCAAAGAATACGTCCCAATGCCATTCTGCTTTATATCTTTGTAATTCTTCATCATTGACTTCATCAAATGTAATCTATTTTGACAATTATTTTTAAGGATTATATTCTTTTAAAGGAGCAGAATCTAACTAGTAAGCTGGAAGAGTTCTAGTAGGTGCATTTACTGTAAGTAATTATGATATTTATTAGAACTTTCTAACAGATTTAAGTAATTTCCCATCTTCAGATGTATTCTGAATTGGTTGGTCGGCATCAATCTATTTAACTGATTAACTTGTTCGACTTTGCATTTTATAAAATAATATAATTAAACATTTATACTAATAAAATATGGAGTAAATTTTTATATCAATTTGTAAGACAAGCTATATCTACATTTTGCATTCTTTGTTATACAGCAAATCCAACCAAAGTAAACACAGCCACTACTAAACTTTATAAAAAGTTTAAGGTTATTCGAATGCCATAGATTTTAAAAGGACTATGCTTTTCATCGTAATTCAATTATCTTATCATATCATCGATTTCTTCGATTATAAGGTTTATATATTAAGTTATTGTTTCAATTGAATTGGTTTAACTCTTGAGTAAAAACACGAACTTTTTATGGATAGCATTTGTTATTTCTAAATTTAGAATAAAGTATTGCTCTTTTTTTCTAAGAATATCAACATACATATTCCTAACATCTTCTAGTTAGATATCAAATTTTTCATAATATTCATTAAGTCTAGCTCCATGCCATAAATAATATCCAATAAATCCAGTTAAAATTATTAACATCTCTGACAATAATGTAATTTAAAAGAAATCTATATGAATAAAGTCTAATAATACTCCTATTCCAAATAAAAATAAAAAAATCCATCCTATAAAAATCAATGAATAAAACCCTTGAATTCTAAAATCATAAGTTCTTCCATAATCGAAAGCCATTCCTCTCAACATTGACCATGCCTACAATGTTATTGGATTATTAAAATTAATTGTTGGTAAAAGTTTTTTTCCCGATGAATAATTTGTCTCTTTTATGCTGAGCATATAACAACATTAATCTAAAAGATGAAACTTTCTTTGTAGATCATAGAGTCCAATCTATAAAAATACAAAAGATCCAAAGAATCCTTAGAATGTTGTCAAAACATTTATGATTATTCTCAAAATATCAATCACCCCAAGATCTATTTCATAAAAGTATTACACTCTTAACAAACATGGTGTTAAAGATAATATTAAAGATTGGACTACTACATATTTAGAAAATCCTCCAGGAGTATGTACTTTTTAATAAGCATTAACCAAATAACCAAATATAAAAAAACAATTATAAGTGTTGTCTATAATTGGTGCAATTTAAGATTCTTCTTATTATTCTAACCATTCTCTATAAAATCCTACATCAACTTAAATTAAATTTCTAACTGTTTTTGTATGAGGTTAACATAAAAAGTCGATTTTATAAAAATCAGAATCCAATTCTCTCCTTTTTAAGAATCTTAATTGTTCTAGAAATAAAACTTTTGGTGTTTAAAGTCTCCAATCCCACATCATTAAATCAAATGTAAACATTTCTTCGCTTAAGACTTCCTTTTTATATAATTTGATTCTTTCCTCACTTAACGTAGCATATTTAGCAGCTATTACTACTGCTCTTATTAATAGAGCAAATTAAGTGAAAACTACTTCAGTTAAAGTTATAATATTTTTTTGATCGAATATATACCAGTAGCCTCCAGCCAAAGATCCTAACCATAAAAGCAACTAAAAATAGAATTGAGGATGATGTTTTAAAAATCTCATATTTATCATCAAAGGCATACCAGGCCATTTCCAAAAAAATACAACCATGAATGGTCCAAAAAGATTATAAAACATCTAGACTATAAATATAAGATATTACAATATGATAAAATAGGAATTCAAAGAAAAATTTCCAATGCCATTCTGTTTAGTATCTACCCATCTCCTCTGAAGCTACTTTCAAGAATGTTGCTGAACGCTTTAAAGTATCTCTATATACATGTTCTCTTAATGGAAGTTCTGCTTCATCTATATTTTTAGCTGGAGTTTCTACTCTTGTTTCTGATGGAATCAAATTAAAGCTCTTAAGTTATAATACTTTGGAATAAGCTTATCTATGTTTCTCATTTCTTTCTGTTGAATTTATATTTCCATTATCCCCAAGACTGGTTCTTACTTAAGTAATACATATATTATTCATCAAAACAAGAATTTCTTAAAAATTATTTTAAATATCAGAAATATTAGGAATTAAATTCAATCAAAATTACACTCAATTAAAATTTAACTCAGATAATCAAAGAAATTTCATTACTAATTAAATAATTACATTGATATTAGAAAAATATTACAAAAATGCAATAATTATAAAAATTATAATTAACATTAATAATATTGTTTCTATAAACTGGATCCATAATCCTTATCTTTTATACTTTCTTATTTTTACTTATATCTATATTTGAATCTCAAATTTTCATTTCGTTAAACAAAATTTATTTTATTTAAAAATGAAGAATTCAACTTAACCATTTTATCTTATTTATTTTTTCCTTTTTCATATATTGCCATTTAAACAAAATATGAATTTGGAAATGAATAAATTTAACAATAAAAATGTTAGACTTATGATTACTATTTGAAACAAAAATTGATCATGCTTTATATATTACTGAATATATATCACTAAATATCTGTACCATACAATAATCTATGAGCTCTTTGAATAATTGTATCCTGATATTATATTCTGATTTTATACTTTCTTAGCTTCATATGGATATTCTTTGCTAGGAATTTCTAGAATTGTAGGTAAGATGGCATCATATGAATTAATAATATGTCTAAGGTAATTTTCAGCAACGTATTGAGTAACAAGAATGACAGCTATATTAGGATGCTTCAAGAAATTCTAAAATGTAGCCTCAATCAATTTTGGATCGGTTTCGAGAAATAAAAAATTTACATACTTGAATCAACTACTAAAAAGTTAGTTTCTCCTTTAATATTCTTTTCTCCAATGCCTGTTAATAGAAATCCCGTAACTGTATCCTATAATTCTTCATAATATAAAATACTTCATCACCAATTATGGATACAAGTGATGTACCTTCAGATTTCTTAAAAGTTTTCTTTGACATAATTTAATATTTAATGAATATGAAAAAGATTAATTATTTATATATTATTAAATAATCTTCATAAATCTAATTAATATTTAGATGGTTTTTTAGATCCAATGTGAACAAAAGAAGCCCTTTTAGATTTTGTTTTTTAGTTAGTATATTAATTAGATAGTTCTATTTGATCATCAACAGGTTAAAATTCATCATTCTATGAAATTTAATCTAATTCTTTATTAGTTTTCTAGGCAGCAAATTTATTTAATGGATCAGTATTGGACAATGTAAATTCATAATTATTAAATTGAGTTTAATTATTAACTTATGGAGCCTCTTCCTATTTAAATTCATATAATCCAATTTTTGGTTGTAATCCATAATCACTTTCTGAGTCGAATTTCCAAATTTCTAGATAATCATTTGATGGTTCAATACGTTTTTCACATTCCCTAATGATTTTCTAACTATCTACTTTAATTATACTATCTTTATTTGGAATAGAAGTATCTATTTATGAATTATCAGTAGAATCATTCAAATTATCTATTTTTTGAATTTCTTCAATATCTTCAATAGCTAATTTGACAGGTTTTTCATTTATGATAATTTAAGCAATATCTTAATTGGCATATTATTCTGCCAATTTTTCTAATTAAGCAATTTGATCTTCTTCCTCATCAATTGAATCTTTAAAAACATTTTAATCTGCAGTTTAGAAGTTTTCTAATAATTTTGAAATATTTGGTGTATCTAATAGAGGAACTTTGGGATTACTTGGATTTTGATTTCCTCCATTATTTGGTGATCCACCTTCATTATTTCCACCATTATTATTTCCATTTTTATCATTAATAGTTATTTCTTATTTAAAATGTCTACCCTCTTATTTTCTTTTATTTATTATATCTAAAATTGTAGTTTTTTCTTCATTTAATTCTTTTACTTCTGCAGACGTAAGTTCAAAGAATGATTTTACATTAGAATCAAAACCTAATCCAACTCTACCCACTTCTCCATCATATCTATTTTTCTTAATTTCAAATACTCTATATCTAGGTCTATTTTAAATGATAAAAACATTATCAGCTTCTTAAGTGGCTTTTGCTGAACCAAATATAGATGCAATAGTTAAATCTTCATTTTCATCAACTTTTCTAGGATGAATTACCAAAGTCAGATGGATATCATTATTACTAGTTAATCTTCTAAACTTTTCTATGATTTCATCTTAAAAATCAAATTTTCTATTTCCTCCTACTTATGTTCCCATCATAAATTGTAAATTATCCAAACAAACATGAGTAACATTGTATTCATATATTGCATATTCAATTGTATCAATAATTTAGTCTAAATCAGTTGAACCATAAAAGTTCATATAATACTAATTAATAAATAAAACATAATAGATACTATTGGAATTTCATTTTCAAATTTTTGTATAGCAATATCTACTAAATCTTTTTGTTTAATTAAATCTGTTTTGTATGCTTATAATAATTAATGTTCTGCCAATCTATCAGTTTTAATTTCGAAACTACCCCAAAGTGTTGTAATACCTTCCTTACAGAAATCTAAAGATAATTAACTCAAAAAGGTTGTTTTACCACTACCAGTTGGTCCAGTTAGAATAGTAAATTCTAATTTAATAATTTAGTAATACCTCCAGTTCTTAAACCTTTTGTAGTATTATTATAGGTTGAAAATGTTTAAGATTGTGTTCCTTTTGACATTTCAAAATTTAGTATTCTATTTTTGGTTAACTATTTAAAATCAGTAAATTAAGTGATATTCTTTTTTAGTAAACATTTTGATGAATCAATATATGTCATTACTTTATCTGAATAAAATCTTAAACAATCATTAGCATCTTTAGGATAATCATGAGAATCAATTAAAGAAGGTTAAACTACTCTAGTTCTTGCATTACCAAGTTTACGAGCGATCTTTTAAGAATTAATTCTACCAGGATTATCATCATCTACCCATATTATTATATCATTTAATTTCTCAAATTAATCTAACCTAATATTTATAAGAATTTTTAATACCATTCTATAAGATATGCTGGAATATGATTAATTCCATATGGTAATGATATAGCAGGTATATTTGTCATTTAATAAGCAGCCATAGCATCAAATTCTCCTTCTGTTATTATCACTTGAGTAGAATCTTATTTTAGTAAATGCATTCCAAATATTCCTTTAGCAGCATTCATTGGTTCAATCTTTTATATATGTTTTAACTCTTTTCCTGCTGCTCTGACTTTGCAACTCACCAATTCATATTAAAAATTATCAAATTAATTATCTAATTATGATTTTATATTCTATTTAATTTCTTCACTTAATGTTTATTCACCAAGCACCTCCTCTTTTTTCTATCTTAATGCTTTCTACATTAATTTATTCTTCTCGTTCTAATTTCTGTATCGAAACATTGGAAAATAAATTAAGGGAGCCTATACATAAGATCCTTATTAATGATCATATATTTCAGTTATATCTATTCCAATCAAATACAATTTTAAAACATCATCCCTAATTCCTCTTTAATTCTGACTAGTGAATAATAGGCATATTTTACATTTTCCCAATCATCTCCTGTCAAATAATCATAAATTAATTTAGGTTCTTATAGTTTTAATCTCTCATAATATTTGTGATATTCAAATATATTCAGTTTCTAAATTGGCTGTTATTAAATCTAATGATTTTATTATTGTGAATTATTCAAATTCCCATTCATAAAATTTTTGAAATCAAACCATGAACCTTTTGCTTAACAACTAGCTCTAAAACAATTATATGATCCACTATAAACATTTTTATCATAATTACTTTTCTAAGTTTATTCCCATAACAAATTAATTTGATGGATTCTCTATATTATGTTTTGGACAGAATGGACAATATCTTACTTACACGTACTTTCCTTATATTTTGTGTTCCATCTTTTTGTCCTCCAAATATTATACGATTGAATTTGATGACACTTTAAAATGTTTCGAAGTATAAGTAGGATGGATCTGAATCTCATCTAAAAATATACCAAATTATCGTTCTTCTCTTTGAAAAACTTATTGTAATTATCATCAAATTGATATACAACCTTTTGTTGAAGGGATTTGAATATTCGATTTTTTATTACAGATTAAGCTATTCTAGCTACACGCCTCATTTGATGATCGTAAATTAAATTTAAATTAATTTGTGTTCAATAATTTATTATAAAATCATTTATAATCAAAGATGTGCTAATAAATTTTATTTCAAACTCATCATTCTGTATCTAATTTATTCTTTATAAAAAGGACTAACCATACCATTTAGTTTACAAATAATCTAAATTGATTCATTTCTTATTCTTTTCTTGTACAAGAATTTCCTTTAATTTCAGTTCTTTTTCTCATTAAAAATGACATAAACTTTAAATTATTAAATTAAATATATTTAGAAATATATTTGATTAACTTAATGCTTCTAAATATAATTTAGGATGCTCATATTAAAGTATATTTTTTATTTAATTTTAAAGTGAAATCTTAATAAATGAAGTTATTTACATAAAATTTTGTTAATCTATAAAAAAAATGGAAAATATACATAGTAAAAATTAAATAATAATAAATGTTTCAGTGATTTTATAATCTCATTTATTTTTAATCATATAAAATCAGCCTTCTCATTCGTTGTAATTTTCATCATCCGAATGAATTTTATGTTTACTAAAATATTTTCTGATAAGTTGTTTTGTTCTCTGAAAAGGCTTATCTATTTTTGCCAATAGTTTTCTCTTATGATTTCTTCTCAAACGAGGATTAAAAGGATTGAATTTTTAGTGATGGGATCTAATTACTTAAAAATAGTACCTGCATTAACTTGGAGTTCGAGTGCCAATAATCTAACTCATTCTTTTAAACAAAGGCTGTCCTTTCCTTTGTGTATCTCCTGATCCTTTTACTCTTAGTAAGAATTAGACATATTATTAATGTTCCTCTTGGCTCCAATGTCCTTATTTCACATTCGTATTATTGCTGATATCTTATTATTTCGAATGATTTATCATAAGCTCAAGATATTCTTGGTTTAAAGTTCCTGAATTCTCTGATTTCATTTAATACTTACAATTTGAATCTTAAAATAAATAATTCAAGAAGAACTTAATATCAATAAAGATGAATAAAATTTTATTATCTTTTACCTTATTCAAGGGTATCTTAAGGATTCTGATCTCACTGAACACAATGAACAATTGTTAGATAAGATATGCATAATATTAATAAGATACTTTTTTGATTATGAAAATTAAATAAATTTCATTAGCATTTTTTAATACAAACAAACATTTTTAACTTTATTTTCATACTAATCCAACATATCAACCACTTATTATATTTTTTTATATGTTATTTTCTCATCTCTTTTACTAACTTCCTAAAATAAACTAACACTTTGATCCAATCATTTTACAATGACTGTTGAGATTGTTGAGAGCACTCATAACTGTTATAACTTGAGTAATTAATATTTATGTAAAAATATTTTAATAAAAAATCAAAAAGTCCCTTTTTAAATGATAGATCACCTAAAATTGGAAATTCAATAACCAAGGATTAATCAATCAATAATGAAAACATAACCAGAGAATAAACAATAGAAAAATTAATATTATAATTAGATTTAATCAGAAGAAAACATGAATAAGAAAAAAGGGAAATGATTGATGCATTCAACCTTTAAATTTAAACAAAAATTAAGCAACATTAAATATTGGAAAATGAGTATCAACAGAAAAATTAACTTTTAGAATAATTACTATTTTAGGAATAATCAAAAACAATTCATCTAACAAGAATATTTTAAGAAAAATAAAAAGTGAATTCAATTCCAGACAAAGATTAATTACGAAACAAATAATAATTATCTGAAGCATCATAAGATTCATAACGAAATAATACCAAAGCTATAACTAAATAAACACCAAAAGATAATTCAGTTAAACAACTTCTTGAAATAATTAACAACATTTAATCAAATGTAGTTCGACATTCAAAAATAAAAAGGCTTAATATAAATTGGATAGATTATGAAATTCTCGAAACTGATTTATCTAAACAAAAAGATTTCTCTAAATCTTTACCTAAAATTAATTAAATCTTTGATAAATTCTTTGGTATTATTAATGATAACTCTCCTCCATAACTTTCACCTTACAGAGTTGGGAATACTCCAAATTATTAATAATCTATTGATAAATCTGTTACATTTGATAAATAATAAGCAAAAGCTAAATTTCGCAATACTGATACCTAAACAATAAATATAATTACTAAAATTCATAAAATTGTTTAAACCGAGTTAAGCACTTAACTTATATAAACAGATTAAATTGAGTAGAACAAAATTAAACAAGAAATTAAATCGGAAGAACAAATAAATAAGAAATAAATATTAGAAGTTAATTAATATACTTCAACTTCGGAATTGATAAAGTCTAAAGATTAAGAATAACAAACTCAATAAATTGAGCCTTAATTCTAAGTTTGTAAGAGTATTTAAATGAGTTTTAGAAATTAAATAGATTAGGTAAAGGCAAAATAGATTTCTATAGAGATCTAAACAGACCCTATTGAAAGAGAACCTATTATATAGCAAATGGAATCAATAAAACATATTTCGAAAATTACAGAGAAGGAAGAAGAATATGAAGAAGAATAAAATAATGAAATAGAAAAACTTAATATTAAATAGAATGAAAACGATAGCGAATCAATTTTTGATTGTAATAAACCAGATTATGATTCTGTAATTGAGCATCATGAAGAATTAGTTGATTTAAGAAGAGAGTGTTAGGAGAAAAATAATAAGATTATCAATTTAGAAATGACTTTACAACAGATTCTTAAATAATAAGGGTTGTTTCAATTTGACAATTTAATAACTAGCGAATAACACTGTTTATAGGAATTATCATCAAATAAATGGTTAATAAAATTAAAAGATCATTAAGCATTATAAAAATAGACTATTGGAATTTTAAGCTAAGATTTAAATATTATAAAAAATACTTTAAGAGCAATTTTTGAGGAAGAATTAGAAATATGTTTGGAAATAAATTAATTTGCAGTGTAGTATTATGATGATGGTTTTTTGGATAACTATAAGTTAGATATTATGATAAAATAATTATCATTTCCTGAAAAGATTATCGCAAATTCAAAAATTAATTTTGAGAGATAATAATTTTAAAAGTTTTGGATTGACTTTATGATTGCTCATTGTAGTGTATTTGTTTATCTCTGCAAAAATTGCAATGAAGACGATTTAAAAATAATTGATTACTTAAAACAAAATAATAAAAAGTTAATAATAATAACATTTAAAGATTTAAAGATCGAGAATTTTAACATTTATAATAATTATAAATAAAATATAGATTATTAAATTGTATAGATTTAAGAAAACAAGAATATTTTATCATCAGTTTGGAAAGAAATTCTCTAAAGTGATTGGGATTGGGTGGATGTCGAGGATTCAATATTGGTATAATTGTAATCTCATATATAAAATACAATTGGAAAAGAGGACTGCATTTAATTACAGATAAAAGAAGATGGAATTTTTGAAATGTCTGTGATAAATGATGAATTAAATTATGATTCTTTATAATTGTTTCCATACATCAAAAGCAAAGAATAATTAGGGGATTAAATTTAGGTTTAGGTTGAATTATAGGAATTCAATCAGATTAAAGAAGTAAAGTGCATTGATACTTAATTATTAATCGTAATTGATTCATACATACTACTAGAATAAATGGATTGTAAAATTAGATTACATTCGATAGATGACAATAAAATACTTTTATCTATAATAAAATGAAATAAATATCTGCTTTCATATGTAATAATATAAAAATATGAATGAAATCATTGGTTTAAGTATTCTTTTAATTTAGAATCATAATGCCTTTAGGCGTTATTATATATTTATTGATATTATTATTTTTCTTCTTTAGTTCTTTGTTCAGCATGAATAATTAATTTAATAATTTCACTTGCACCCTAATTGTCTCCCTACTTGGCTTTTTCTTAGCCTTATTTAAGTAGATTTATTATATCCTTAAGAAATGAGAATTATATTTACTTATTAACCTGGAAAAATATGTTCCATATTAGTAAGGATCATAATTAAAATCTATTAAGTGAGATCAGCTTATACTTGAGCTTGGTTTTGTTATTTGATTTATTGTTGCATAAGCCTATCATAAAAATATTGATACTACTACATATATTAATTTTAGAAATAAGGATTAATTTAATTAAGCTCTTATTCTCCATGAGCAAAGGTGCATGTAACTCCATTTTTGCATAATCCAGTTTATGGGTTGAAGTGCTTGCATAATTATGCTAAGATAAGATCAATGTAAAATATTACTCTTATAATTTGCAATCATAGGATTAACGGGTTAAACTTTAATTGGAATAGTTCCTTATTGATTTTAGGGGATATTAAATTCAGAATTTGGTTGAAACCCATTAGGGTTAGTTCTAAGTTCCTGTCTTCCATGTGCAAATTGACATCTTGCACCTAGAGCACAATTACCATTAGTAACTAAAATTGATTTTATGCTTTACTAAAATGTCTACAGAGTTATGTTTTATATTTTTAGTTTGGATATTGAGGTTGGTTGATTTACATAATTATATTATTATTTAAAAATAATATAAAAATAAATGTATAAAATGTTAGAATGAAGAGGATGAACAAAAAAGAATTAACTTAAAATAAAAATTTAGAATGAATAAAGTTAGGAAAATGAGAGATAGGTGATAAATAGAGTGTGTTGAATTGATTTAGAATAAAGGAAAGTTATTAGTATTTTGAATGAATTAGATAGATGTTGAGAATGTATGGAAAAAGAAAATAAATAATTGAGGATTAAATTTGAAAAGAGATTTAAATTTTTTTTAAAGATTTTTTATATATTAAATGTCACACAGAAAATTTGAGGCACCAAGACATGGAAATCTCGGATTTACCCCAAGAAAGAGAACAAAGCATCACAGAGGAAGAATCCGAGCATTCCCAAAAGACAATGTTAAGGCTCCAGTTCATTTAACAGCCTTTGCAGGATTTAAGGCTGGTATGACCCACATCTTGAGAACTGTTGAAAGACCAGGATCAAAATTGAATGGTAAGGAAGTAGTTGAGGCTGTTACAATTGTTGAAACTCCACCATTGGCTGTTGTTGGTATAGTAGGATATATTGAAACACCAAGAGGATTGAGAGCATTAACAACAGTATGGAGTACAAAGATTGCTAAAGATACTTTGAGAAGATTCTATAAGAATTGGATGAACTCAAAAAAGAAGGCTTTTACCAATTATAATAAAGCTAATGCTGAACCAAAGAATTTAGAAACTTAATTAAAGAGAATCATAAAGTAATAAAATAAATTATATTATTTAGATATTGTTAAGTAGTCAGAGTAATAGTTCATACTTAAATGAGTAAATTGAATTTGAGATAAAAGAAGAATCATGTCTTTGAAGTCTAAGTGAATGGAGGAACCACAGAATAAAAAGTTAATTATGCTAAAGGATTATTAGAAAAGGAAGTCAAAGTTGATTAAGTTTTCAAATAAAATGAATAAATTGATGTTATTGGTGTAACTAAAGGTAAGGGAGTTGCTGGTGTCATTAAGAGATTTGGTGTTAAACATTTATAAAAGAAGACACATAGAGGATGGAGAAGAGTTGGTTGTATCGGAGGATGGCATCCAGCTAATGTTAGATACAGTGTTGCAAGAACTGGTCAATTAGGTTATCATCATAGAACTGAAATGAATAAAAAGATCTATAGAATTGGTGCTGCTGGTGATAAAAACACTGCATCCACTGAAGCTGATTTAACTTCTAAAGCTATCACTCCTTTAGGTGGTTTCCCTCATTATGGTGAAATCAGAAATGATTTCCTCATGCTTAAAGGAGGTATTGTTGGACCCAAGAAGAGAATTGTCTTATTAAGAAAGTCTCTTGTTCCATAAACTAGCAGAAAATCTTTGGAAGAAATCACTCTCAAATTTGTTGATACTTCATCCAAAATTGGACATGGTATCTATCTTAACTTATTTCTTTAGGACGTTTCTAAACACAAGAAGAAAAAGCCAAGTTCTATTATACCAGAACCTAAAGAAAATTAAAGTAATAGTAATAATAACAATGATGTATAATTACCCCTCAAAAAGAACATTATAAACAAAACAATTCTTATATTATACATTCCTTTTACTTTTTATACTTATCACTTATATCAGAACCTTAATTTAATGGAATCTTGATTATGCCTTTCTTATCTGCAAAACTTCCTACTGGTAATGTTTTGTATTTCTCTGTCAAGTATTTTCTCAAATTCTTTCTTAATTTTTTTCTTTTTTCAACATTCTTCAATTCTTATTCCTTTACTCTCTCTATTCTGTCCCTTACTTCTTTCAATGTTGATTCTTCTAATTTATATCTATTTCAACTATAGAATCATTCCCAACCTTGTTGTTGGCATTATATGGTTCAGATTTAATTGCTTTATAAAAATCTTTAAAATTGTTCTCTTACTTTTTTATTTTTATCCCATTCTCTTTGTAAACTTTCTAGGATATCTTTGAATTCTAACTACCAAACCCTTTGGGAATATATAATCATAACCAATTAAACACTTTTTTACTTTTGTTTTTTCCTCATTTGCCTTTATTAATAAAGCTTTTTTCTCTGCATATCTATCTGTCAACATTAATACTAAACGTCCGGGTTTTGAACTTAAATTTATTCTATTTCTTACAATTTTATCATATCAAAACACTAAAATAAATCTATAAATTATATAATATAAATTTTTCACTTGTTTTATTACTCTCAAAAAATAAATAATAAATTTTTTCTTTAATACTAGATGATTTGATATTTTTTATTTTTTTTAATTTATTTACTTTTCCTATTTAGATCTAACCTAATTAGGTCAATCTATTTAATATGCATTTAAAAATCAATAAAAACCTTGACATTTTCTTTAATCGTTTCTTCTCTATTCATTTTAATGTGTAAAGGAATTCGGATGCTTATTTAGTTCCTTTTCATGAATATTGGATAACTGGAATATTTCACATATGTTGATTTTTCCTCCCTCATATTCCCCTCTTTGCTATTTTAAATTTATACTCTTTTGTTCATGCACAATCTCTTCTTCTACTTAATAATCATAATAATAATTTTGGAATAATAAATCAGAAATCAGTTTTACAACTCATTTTGAATCTATTGTTTTTTCTTATGAACTCTTTTCATACAAATCTATTAAGCTAGTTTATTTAATGATTTAGAATTTGATTTAGCTATATCATTATAATATTATTAATCTCCTTTATCAAATTTTCTTGTTATATCTACAACATATAAATAGATCTTATTTCTATAGTATTCAAAATTAGTCTAATAATGAGAATCTATATGTTATAAATTTAATGGTACATTACATTCTTTGCATAACATTGAATCATATTTAAATAAATCAAAGAACCCATGATTTGGGATTTTTCTAATAGTGTTAGAATTCCATTATTGTAGCAGGCTCCTATAATGACATCTATTTACCAAAGCTTGCCATCTTACTTGATTTAAATCTTTTTTAAAAATATTAATATATTTATATCTTTTGTTTTCCACATTTTCAATGAAAGGCATATTTAAAAAATTTTATTATTAATCTAATTAATTTCTTAATTAAAATTTTTATTCTTCTTTAAGTGCTTGTCTTCTACTTTTTTTCCGCTCGGTTAACTTTATTATTTCCTTTCTATACTGAACTAATTTTCAAAATTTTTATTCTCTAATTTCATCTTTTATGAGAAGAACTATATTTACCCCAATATTGCCTTATCCAAATTTAAGCTTCATTAATGTTTTTCTGCTTTTAAGAATCATCTAATTTTTTCAAGAATAATAATGATTTACTTAGGTCGACCATTTTAGGAATGGTTTTATAAAAAGATCAGAATTTTCATATCGACTTAAATAGAGCGACTTATCTGGACTATTTATTCATTAAAGAGTATAATTTTTTTTGACAACTTTGATTAATTATGTTTTAATCTTAAAATCCAATAAAGAAACAAGATTATGGAGATTAAATTTTTAAATTTGTAGATAAGCTCAAAAAAACAGTCTATTTCCATTTCATAGCTGAATTCAATATATATAAATATTTATACTCAAAAAAATTTTGATAAATTAAAAAAGGAAACAAAACCCATTAATGTATTAAATTCAATAAACTAAACTTTTATCAACCCAAAATGAATTGAAATATATTTTTGAGAAAGTAATAAATTCTCATTCTCTTTGCATCATTTTCTCTTATAAACTTACCTTATTCTGATTAGGATTAAAACAATCCTTTTTTTAATTAACATATTCTTTTAAAAAAAAAAAAATAAATTCTATTTATTAAACTAAGAGTACCCAATGAACATTTTAAAAAACATTATATTCAAAAGATTTTTTCACAATAATCAAAAAAATTTATAACTTTGCCAATTTCCATTTAATATTAAAAAAAATTATTTTTATTTTTATACTGTTAAAGACACTTAGAAAAAATATGATTATGTTAGTATATTGTAAAGGAAAAAGAAAAACATTATGAGATAGCTCCTCACAAGCATTAGACATGATTTCGGGTGAATTAGATAACCATTTATTTACCTTAGAATCTACTAATAAATTAAGTAGGAGCCACAGTAATGATATATTATTTTTTTTTATATATCTAATAAATAAAATTTTTTATCATCAGTTTTAGAACTAAGGCTCATTCTAGTTGTTATTTTAAGCCAGGGATCAAAAGATAAATTTTATTTTAAATATAATTTCAAATATAAAGGGGTTTTATTGTCATTGTACGAAAATGGGATTCAATTATTATTAATCAAAATCTTTTATATATAAAAGTTTTAATTTTTCTGAATTTTTTATATTTATCAGAATTAGTATATTTAAATTTAATAATCAACGTAAATAAAGAGTAGATCATTATCTTGATAGATAATTCTAAGTAGCTCTTAAGTACTCATTCTTATAAATTTTAAGATTATCTTAATGTTATATTTTGCTGTTTAAGTTTTTTTTGAGACAAATGCTAAATTTTGAATATTGATGCACGAGGAATAGATATTTTTTAATTAGACTTATAATTAAACATATACTAAAATAATAAGAGAGTTTTACTTAAGATAGCTAAAGTTATTCTTAATTTTTGCTTCTACTATCAGTCAAATTCGGACATGTATTTGAACCAGTAATTACATTGTTATCATTAATATTTTTCATTACTTATAGATCTTCAAAATCTTCAAACTTATCTTCATCATCATTAGAGAGTGGACTGATACTTTATTTTGAGTAATATGAATGAACATCCTGAAGTTTTCTTGGTGACGTATTTGGAAAAAGAATAGGTGTTAACTAGTATTTATTTATCTCTTAAATAGGTTTATCCGGAGATGATTCTTCGCTAAGTTGTATTAAAGTTGTGTTACTTAGCTTCCTCTAGATCTGAATATTACATTATCGAGTGATTTTTAAAAATACCAAAATTTATCAATAAAATTAAAAATATCTAAGTTTAACCTTAAAAAAAAAATAAATAATCATAAATATAGAAATTCAAACAACTCAGTAAATTCAAAGGGGAAATTCAGAAATGTACTTTAGATTCATACTTGTGACGAATTTTTTCAAATATTTTCTTAGCTCCATTATTGTTTAAAGATAGACTTTCATCAATATGTTTTAAAGAACAATTTTCTTCTTAATTTTTTTTTTCTTTTTGAATCCAATTCTGGAAAATATAAAATTGAAAGCTACTTTAATCCTTTTCTAAATGAAATCGAACTTATTTTTCTTTTTTAATACATTATAAACTTTTAGAATGTCTAATAACTAAAATTGGTTTTCTTCTTTTTGGTTTTTATGAATAATTATTATCATTCTTTCTTATAACAGAATTGTCTTATCTTATAGTTGATTTTGAGTTCGCCTAAAGTTATTTACGATTTTATTGATTTGATTGTAATTCAAAGGTTTGAATTTCTCTAGGAGAATCTGGAGGATTAATTGGACTTATTTTACAAAGAATGGTAAGAGTACTCATTTAAGGGATTTATGAATCTGATTAGTACTATTTGACATTTGGCATTTAATAAATAAGTGTCTTTTAAGCTTAAGATTCATCAAGTATTCTTTAATGTTAATAAATTTTACTGTGAAACAAATAAACAATCATCTTCTATCTACTAAGATAATTTTTTATGAAATTTATTGGTCATTAATATTATATTAATAATTAAGATCAGATTATATATATAAATGGGTTTAAAAAAATATTAAACTTAAAGAATAAATTGTTATATTCATTAGGGAAATGAAAATAATAATTTTCACTTCGTTAAATAAAATATCTTATTGAAATTTATTAATAAGACAAATTTTTGATCTTATAATTAAATATTCTATTATTGACTTAATTTATAAAAATAATAATTTTTGTATATAAATATCAAGAGTTCATTAAAAGATAAAAGCCTAGTTTTTATATTTTTGTAGCTTTTTCTTTAACATATTAAATTTTATTCATATCCATTTAATAATTATTAATTTCAATTTTTGATGTGACATTTTTTGTCTATTTTCTTTTGAAATTCCTAGCAATAAGCCCTTTAGTGAATTGCTTATCTTCTTATCTAATATCTTGAATAGGATAGTCGAGATTGCATTAATAAACTTTTTTGTCAAATTCAGATTAAAATGATTTAAGAAATTTGAGAAGTTCAGTTTCATTTACAAATTCGTATCTTCTCTTCAATTAGTTTTCTATTTCAACAGGATCAAAATTGCAAACTAATTTAGCCTATTTTTTAAATGGAGAACCTTCTTCTTCTTCTTCTTTATCTCCATTTTGGTTTAATTTCGGTTGATTGTTATAATGTTAATCTTAAAATTTTAAATGTATAATTTTTTAAGCTTCTTAATCTTTTTATTTTAATTTTAATTTATGATCACATAAATAATCCATTTCATAATAGCAACTATTTACAATATTATATCTAAAATCAATTTTTTCTTCATAATTTTTTTAGATATTTTAAATTTAATCTTATCTTTCATTATCTAAAAAATAAATAAAATAATACATAGGGAAACTTAATATTGTACATCTTAATCATGTTAATGACCTAATTCTCCAATTAATGATTCAATTATTTATTTTTTTTAAGGAAGAGGCATATCTTCAGGAATTTTATAGTGTTCCATTAATTCTCTTTCTAATTTCATTCTCTCAATTTATTTTTAATATTCAATTTATTTTTATTTTTCTCTTTCTTATTATTCCATTCTTCTAGGCTTGAAAAAATAAGAATTATAATATTACATCCATAGGAGAGACTTAGGCTGAAGATTTTCTCCTTTATGGTTAAATTTAGAGGGGAGGTGGTTACAATTTTTATTAAAGTTTTTTAGGTTTTAATCTACTTGTTCTTTCAGGTTCTTATGATGATTCATTAGTGTATTCTTTTTCATAATAACTATCTTCTGACTTTTATTTCTAGATAGAAATTTTAGTTTGAGAATATTCATTAGATAATTAGGGTCTTTTATGTTGATTAGTTAATTTCTTCTTCTTTTAAACTTAATTAGTATGAATAGTGCCATTATTACTATGTTATAAAGATCCCATAGGAGTATTAGGAGTAATAGATTTAGCTACACTTCTAGAAGATGATTATGGAAGATATGAATTATCACCAATTTTTAGATGCATTCTATCCTGAGTTGAAAATAAAATTGCTTTATGTTATCTCATAGAACCATCTAATGATTCTTCTTCTATTATATTTTCTCGATTATCACATCTACTCACTTAAATATTTATTTAATTATTATTTTCATTTTCATAATTATTTAATGAAGATGAGCTTCCAGTTTATTCTAGATTATTAATTGTATATTAGTATCTATCCTCTTCAAGTTTTTCAAATCTATTATCACTTTTAAATAATCTTTCTTATGAATATCTTCTTATTTTATCTTCCTCTTATTAAACATATTCATTTTCATTTCCTTAAATATTATGAGACTTCATTCGTTTTGAACCTCTCTTAAAAGAAACAGTTAATTAATTCTTATGTTATTTTTAATCAGTTTCTGAATTATTGCTAACTGAATTTCTTTGATCTGTTTTATCCTTATGAGCTGAAGTTAAAGTTCTAGAAGATTATGGAGGCATTAAAGAATTTATATCATATTAATCTAATGTATGTCTTTTAGATTAAAAAGAATGTTCACTAATATTAAGAGGATTCGTTTCTGGTCTATAAGTATTTATTTATCTAAATTCCTTTTATTATGATTATTATGGAGAGTGTGTTATAATCATATCTTCTATATTATCTGTTTTTATAAATTAAGGGCTTTCTTATTATCGTTCATCTAAGTCTCTTCTTGTAGCTCTTTATGAATTATTTTATTATTGGCAAAAACTTGTCTCTTATGTTATTTATTTTTATTACTCAATTTTCATTTGATCAATTATTTATTATTATTTTTCTACTAAAGAATTATAAGGTTTATGCTAAACTTTCTTTTACTATTTAAAATCTTATTATGATTATTTTTATTTATGATTACCTTTTTAAGTTTTTATTATTATCTATTATTTATCAATCTTATTGTTATTCTTCTATTAATAATTTATATCATTTTATTTCTAATTTGCAATTAATCCATAAGGTTATTTTTATTGTGAAACTGGTGTTAATGTTTTTCTTTAATTATTTTGTGTTTAACTTATTAAATATGCCTATTAAGGATAATTATCTTTTATTGACTTTAATAAGACATCTGATTATTTTCTAGATGTTAAAGGCTATTATTATTAATTCTACCCTTATTAATTATTTAATTAATTAAATGTTGCAGATTAATTTTACACTTATCCATTTGATAATTCAGAAGTAAAGTTTGTATTTAATCCATACCTCAATTTTTCACTTGGAATCAAACATGATTATTGTGATTCCATTTTTATTTAAGATTATGATTAATCAGAATGTTCTTATGTCAACAAATTATAATTTTATTTTTCATTCCTTGCTGTCGATAAATTATCCTATTTCAATAAATGATCCTATGTATTATCATGACTAGTCTAAATTGTCTTAAATCCTTTTATTTCATTTTTATCTGTTGTAATCTAAGACAATCTATAATTTTTCTTGCTTCTTTCTGTTTTTGTTGCTTCATCTAATATTTACTAATCTTAAATTTCCTTATCACTAAATTCATATGTAAGATGTTCTTTCAAATTACTATCCTTATGTAATAGTATAGCACCACTTTTATTAGAAATATTAAATGATCCTCTATAACCTAATTACCGAGTTGATGATATTGTTTTTATCTCATAACTTACTTCCTCTTTCTTTTATTATGATTGCTAATGTTTCGCTAAATTTACTTAAATTGCTGCATATATTTTGTTGAATACAGGTTGAACTTTTGTTTTCTTTTTGTATTTCTAACCCATCAAATCAATAAATTGTGCTTAATCAACAAAGGATATCAATCCAATTTTTCCTAATTACACTTTTTCAACTATATTAGCAAGAAACATGTCTTCTCTCTAATTCTACCTATTGTCTCCAAATTATAGATTAAGTGATTTCATAATAATTTTAATAATAATATAATTGAATATTTTATTCCTTAAACAATAATTCTTATTTAAAGAAATAAACAAATCCATTATTCTTTTCAAACATATACTTTTGATAGAATAAATTTAAAATCTCAAAAAAAAATTATATACATACTAAAAGGTAAAGCGAGTTTACTGATCAAATTTTTTTTTAGTTTATCAAAATTTCAGTTCGAAGATAATTTAAATTAACAAAAATAATTGGCAAAAATCTATAATTATATTTAATAATAAAAATTAATACTTTAATATATATAATTTGTCTATGAATGTAATACTAGTATTTTTATTTGTAATTTTCTGCTTCTGATTTTTTTCCAATCCCCCGTTAAATTTATTTTAGATAATTTATTATTGTTATTAAATTATTATATTATAAATATGAGAATGAAAATTAATAATTAAATTATTTTTTATATATAAACTACACGATTAATTATATTAGTTATTCAAACTAAAATTTTTTTACTAAATGAAAGAAAACCTTCATAATTCATGCATTTAGTGAGATTTTTATAAACTTTCTTGATTTAACTAAGTATTTAACCAAACCAGTTTAAAAAAAATAAAACCTTTGAATAAACTTTACTTTCTTAATCTAGTTCATTTAGATTCCAAAATTAATCTTAATTCATCGTGATTGATAATAGAGACAAGTTTATTTTGATTCAAATTTATTAGAAATGATTAAAGAAATATTCATAAGTATCATAGAACATAAATTAAGAACAATCAATATATTCGGGATAGTTATCTAAGTTTTCTTCTTTAATAAAGATCACTTTAGGATAGGCTTAGTTTTGGAACTGTATTTGACAAAAATCTTCTTTTCTAATTAATTGATGAAATTATGAATTTTTTTTCCATCTTATTATTGACTTAAAAACCATTAGACTAATTTGAAATTTGATCTTAATTATTAGAGCTTTATTGTTTTATTGCTATCAATTTTTAGTTTGAACAGCCCATATTGTTTATTTTTATTAATATATTTTCAATGATTTAATAAGTATGTTTTATAGCTAAAAGATGCGGAGAATAAATAAATCACAATTTATAAGGATAAATTAAACATATTTTCATTCAATTGCTTAAAATATCCTAGAATGCGCACTTGTTAAATATAAACTAATTAAATGAAAATAATAATGAGCCAGTAATTTATCTGTCTTTTTTATTTGTTATAAAATGTGTGAAAACAAATCGAGATTATTAAGATTTGTATCTACATAGATATATTAAGAATAAATTAACAAATTAAGATGCATAATAATAAAGGAAAGGGCTGTATGTAATATTTATAAAATTAATCACAATGGCCTTTTAAAAATAATTTTTTATTATTTTTTTTCTGCTTTGCGAGAGGAAGGAATTTCAGAAATAACTTCTGGAAATACTTTACTTAAATTTCCTTATGATGACTCTAAAGAGTTTGATTACAAAGCTGCCAATCCTTAGTAATTTGAATTTGGCCTTTTAATTAGTTTAATATTATCTTTTGGATCCCTATATGGACTACTGGTATCTCTAATTTAATACAAAGAATTGCCCTATTTAATTTCTAGGTCTTTCTCTGATAAATCTTAAGAAACCGAAGTGTATTTTTATCTTTTTTGTATTAATAAAGGAGCATTTTTATCTTTTCTTTTTCTTTTAATACTTTCTCTAGTTTCATATCTAAGAATAGCCCAATAATTAATAACTTTTTCTTTCATTTCTTTTTTATTTATTAATAACTTTTTAAGACAGGGATATTTGAATTCAATATTAGGGAATTTTAATTTAAGTTTAGTTCTCAAAATGTCTAATTTATCATCAAATTAATTAATATATCCTTCAAGTAGATGATAAAGAATTAATATAATCAGGAAAGCATTAATAATAACAATAATTAAGAACATGATATATTACAAATAATCTAAATTCTCATTTTAGCTAGCATAAATGAGAACTCCTAAACATAAAGAGCATGAACAAACTGCAGTTGACATTTAATCAATAAAATTGAGTTTTTTTTATTTATAAGGAATAAATGCAAATGAAAATGCTCCATATATAAAAACAAGTAGAAAAATGATTAATCCTTTAATAACAATTTTGTTCTCATAATATATGAGAGAAATAATGACAAGTTCTTTTTCGAAGATTTTTACAAACTCCCATAGATATGCTTAATTAGTATATTCATGATAGAAGAATCCCCATCTTTTTCTAATTTCCATAGATTCTAATTAATGTTTATTTCTTCTGATAAATTACATAAAAGTTAATGGTAAAATGATACTCCATAGTATAAGATTAGGCGCAATAAATATATATATATAATATTAATGCATATCAGTATAATATTAATAGCTAACATTACTTTAGACCCATTCAATTCCACTAACAGTTCTAGAACTTAATAATGAAATGAATCCTCCAACTAATGTAGGTTATAAATAGATAAACATATAAATAAAAGTAGTATAAATGATTCCAATCTTAAAGGGAGCAATCCTCATAAGAACTCCTGTAAAATATCCAAAAAAGAATATGATCATATAAAAGAGTGGCATTAATAGAGCCCAAGCCATTCTGAAATACAATAAATCAATAGTAGCAAAAGTAACTAAGAAACAATCTAAGGAATATGCCATAGATTATGTAGGATTTCCTAAGACTTCCATAGAAGAAACGAAAGCAGTAGGTATAGATATTCTGAATGTAGTTAAGGAAGCAATTATCTATAAATAATTATTTAATTGTTTCATAATAATGGATGTATTATCTAATAAATAAATGATATATATATATACTTTATTATATGTTGATTCTAGCTCCAATAGATTAAAGTACTTGTTGATGAATTAAATTCTCTATGAATTGATAATTGCCTTTCACTGACATAATCATACTGAAAAGAGTGAAAATGGAAATACCAATAATTATTAAGATATTTTATTCAAGAGTATCCGAACAAGCTCCACAAGTATATTTCTTGCTTACCGAATATTATGGTCCTCTGATTCCATATATATCACATTATTCACATAATGCTCCTATATGACCATCATAACAAGATGAATCTCCTGGAACCCAACCACCTAAACAATTCGATGGTAAATTATAACATTCCTCAATATTATCATTCTTTGCAAATGGTCTCCAATATTATTCTCGCAGTTTTATTCTTACTGCAGTGATCTTTTCCATTTATATTGTGTTTATGCCTTTACATTGTACACTATTCTCTAAAACGGAGTATTAATTTATTTAACCACATGAGATACATTTCTAATCTATATATGCTTCTCCAATTTAGCAAGGAATTGTTCTTACATTCAAATATAAAGCATAGTTCTTATTATAATTAAATACATTATAAGGAGGATCCTAATTATAAATTGGAATCTTAATAGAAGTACATTAGACTAATAAATGATATTATATAAAATTTACATTTTAATTATAAGTAAAAATTAACTTATAAATATGGATCGAAATATATTTATAAGTTATCAAAATTAAATGAGTTGCTAGATACATCAAATTAAAAAGCAGATTATGAAGTGAAATTCGTCAAAAACTATTTAGTGTAATCTAAATTTAATTCATCCATTACTCTACCTTAGATTATACAAGTTTCAGTTGATAAAATTGATTTTATAATGTTTTGATCCCTATCTAAATTACATATCCTGAAAATCCAATTATAAGGTATTTATTCTTATGTCTCTTCATAATAATATTTATATTATGATAAGTATTACCCTGAAGGCAGTAATAAATAACTACTCTTTAAATTTGGTATATTGGTTGATTAAATATTAACTATATCAATAATTTAAAGATTCATATTATCAATGACATTATCATTATTTAAATCTCCATCAATATCCTAGAATGTAGTTATTTTCATCAATTAACCATTTTGCATCATCAAACCTAACTTTTCTGGTATTTATTCTATTTATGTATTGCTGTTATGATGAATGAATATTTACGATTTATCCAGATTGTTTAAATTGTTATTCATCATATATACTGCACTCCCTAATTGGGCATCATTATTTATGTAATTATTATTAAATTGATCTAAAATATTCTAACTATCTGAATTATATACAAATGCAAGACCTCCACCTATCAATGTTGCACTGTTATCCATAAACTAACTATCACTTATTTTTATATTCAATCCAATTATTGATATACCAGCACCTATCTAAGCAGAATTACTCTAAAATAGACTCTATTGCAATATAATATTATATTTTTAAGATGAAGTAACACTCTACAATATTCTGTTACTATAAGTAATATTGAATTCAGGAATTGTTTGAGTTGTTATAACCAAACAACCAAAGTAACCTATTACATTATTTTAACAAGTCAATCCAATTATGTTGGTTGAATTATATGCATAAATATCATAGTTATTTATTATTATCAAACCTTCTTTACATCTACCGCATTAAGTATGTTTTATAGTTACAGACATCATATTTATAACATTTGTTGATTTTACTTTACTTAACTTAATAAAACTTGGACTATTTCCAATTTAATATGTAGATTACAAATTTGTAAAATAACACAAACTATAATCGTTTTGATTAATTACATTATCAACCAAATTTATATTACTCGAAGAATAAAACGATTTAATCTCTCGAATAGCATTCAATTTTATTTCATCCAATTAATACTTTTCTGAATATGATAAAGAGTCATAATATTCGTACAATGAACTATTATCCAATTTAGTTTATGATATTTATCTATAATCATATAACACCTAATAAAACTATCTTAAATCTTCTTGCTCTGCACAAGTTTAAGTTTAAGGTAATTCAAACAATGATGAAATCTATTTACATTAGCTATTAAATTTATATATAAATTATTCTTCTGCCAACACTTTTTATTCAGTTATATTGTTAATTAATACATTCTGCAATTCTACTGATGATTACTTAGTGTAATGTGTAATATCTATTAAAGATTAACTAAATATTATTATGTCTTTTATTATCAAATCTTACAGAATTACTTAAAATATATTTGTTAATTCCATCAAACCTTAAATCTCTATATTGATAAACTAACTTGATTATATTTCCAAAATACCATAATTCTACTTTATTAGGCTAATCCCAGATAGAATTTATTGCTCTTCTTCAAAACTGATATCTACTAATTATTTTAAAAACCCTTCAAAATTATTATGCATTACTTTTGTATTTTTAATACTTAAGGTAGGTAATATTATTGATGATAAAGAGAATTATATATCTATAAAGGAACTCTATAAAGATGAACAACCTATAAATTAACTATCATTAATTAATATATTTTATGAATACATGGATGTTTAAACATAGATACATCCTCCTGCCACTCGAGCTCTACTTTGATTCATAGTAACATTGTTCAATTGAATATCATAATTAGATTTGCGTAGATTTAGATATAATGCTCCACCATAAGCTTAATCAACATATTCCAATGATGCAGTAAGATTTATAAATTATGTATTATTAATTACAATAGATACTAAATCCTAACCTAAAAAATAAAAGGCTGTTCCAATTAAAGATTTACTATTCAAAAATTTAATTTAATCCATTTCTAATTTTTTACATTGAATATATAGATTAGAACCTTCAGATTCTATATTAAATTCTCCTAAAAATTAAGAATAATTATCAATTTAATATTCCTCCAATCTATCTAACCAATTAGTTTCCATAATATTAGTATAATTGAACAAACTTTAAATTAATTTTAGAGAATGACATTTTATAATATTGATTCCATATTATGATTATGATGCTCTATTATTTTAAGCAACTAAATTTTTAATATTAACAATGCTATTTGGACTTAGAATTGTAAAACATGTTGATGTTTCTAAAGTGATTGATTCAACTAATTAATGAAGATGATTTCCTATCAATTAAACATTATCTATAATAATAGTTTATACTTAATCTGATTCTATAATGACACTTCCAATTATAGTAACTGGATCTGTTATTGCAATGGAGCTATTAAATATATTGATATTTTCTAAGATAACCACTTCATTTGTATAGCCAGAATAAAAATCTGTTGAATTACTAATTCCACTTGAACTAATAAAATTACTAGTTTGTTTCATAAGTGATTCATACGATTAAATATATATGAATCCATTGTCTATTCCTAATAGTCCCTTAAGTGATGCATCAGATATCTTTACTCCATACAAGAAATCTTAAACATCCAAACAATATCCATTATAACTACCAAAAGATTCCTTCTAATAAGAACAAGTAGTATTACTTGGAACTTTATTATTTTAAGGGTATTGTATAACAGTACTATTTTCAATTTTTGTACGAGGACTAGTGTCTTTTTGGCCAATTATATTATTTGAGAAATCACACAAGAATTTTGAAACTTCCAAAGAAGCTATATCTTAAAAGGAAATTACTGTAATTGACAACTATGTATCAATTACAATATTAGTTAAAGTAACTCTACTCATTTCAGATGCTCTTATAATTGCAGATGAAACTGATTATCTTTAGATTAATGATAATCCAATGTAATTATTGTATATCTTCAAATTCTTCATTATTAAATTAGAATGTATCTATAATTAATTATATGGTGTTTATAATAGCATAAGGCAATTAATATTATAGCATGTATTCTCTATAAATTTAAGATTTGATATTTCATATCCTACATTTTTTATCTAATCATAAAATTATAATGTATCTGGAACCTAATCTGCTGTTGTAAATATTAGAGAATTGTTTGTAAAAACATTCATATAAATGTACACATTTTTTATCTAATATGTATTACATATAAATAATTCACTCTCGTTAAATCTATTTCCAATTATATCCAATTAATCTATAAACAATTAGGAAACATAACTTGATTTTATTATACTTGATGATTCATAAAACTTAGTCTGTTTAATCTTTAATTAATTAATTGTAAAGGAAGAAACAAATGTTTGATACACTTCCTAATTTATAAATAAAGATGAACTATTAAAAATGCAATCTTAAATGACTAAATTCTAAATAATTATTGTACTCTATGGCGAAAGTGAAAATATTGTATTATTTATAAATTAATTGTTCCAAAAATAAAGATTTGTGAACTCAAATTTATAATTGTTTAGCTTCTCCTAATTTATAATTATTTAATCAACGTATAACAAATTTTAGATGTAAACATCCCTAAACCCCAAATAATTTAAATTTTCGAAATTAAGAGTAAATATTTATGAACTCTATATTTTAGATGAAGCATATCCAAGTTTACAAAATTATATTTACAAATAAGTAGAAGAAATGTTATTAGTAATTATCAAACCAAAATTATTAAATGAATTCGAATAAATATTAATGTTTTTGATCATAACAAAAGGCAAATCGTATATATAGAAATTGTCAGTAATTTCAAATGTAATTGCCAAATCATGTGCACTTTAGATGTTAACTTAGAATTTAGTAAGAGCATAAACGTTTTTATGAAACTGTGTTATCAAAGATGTTGATTTTTTAAAAATACATTTGTAATCAATCGAATTATAAAATAAAATGTTGAGAGTCAATTCTTCTAATGGCGCTTAATTCATGGTTTAATATAATTGAAAAGTTTCTAAATTTGAAAAATGAATAAGAGCAATATCAGCTATATCAATATAATAGTAATCATATAAGCTATAATAATACAATTTTTAATCTTCTGGTAAATTTGAATAAATAGAATAATATTCTTCCTCATTACAATAGATATGTAAAGTAATTTGAGCAGTGTGTCGACATCTTTTGGTATTTTTAGAATCTACTTGGGAATAGATACATAGAATAGGTAGATTTAGATAGGAATTATATGAAACAGTTTAAAGATTAGATATAGTCATAGTTTGAATTTTGTAACATAATCGACCATATTGTTTAAGATTGGCATTATCTGGATTGAAATAAAAGTTAGTAATTTCATAATATTCTCTTTCTCTACATGCTAGACAATTTAAAGGACATTCAATGCATTCAGATTTATCTTAAATTAAAGATCTATCATTAAATGTATCATAACATTCTCCACAGAAAGCATAAGTTGATTTAAAGACACAACTATTAATAGAATCATCACTAACAATTTGATTTTCTACTTAACAATTACTGCTGCATCCTAAACATTAATTACCATATAATTGATATCCAAAATTGCATGATGTACATTAAATATTAATAGGAATATCATTTAAAAACGTTTCTTTTAATGAATTACTAATAGGTTGCATTTTAAATAAATAATCTGTAAAATTATAGGTTTAAGAATATTGCCAACATTATTAACAATTATTCGGACAAGCATCACAGAACCCAGTAAATATATTTGGATAATATCCATTGCTACACTATATACATTAATATAGTGTTTGAGGAGCTTTGGTGAAAATTTAACCAGATTCATCTGTATATTATGTTTAATCTAAACTCTTATAAGAAAAACAATTCTAGCAATACCCTATATAAGAAGTACAAGTATTAGAACAAGTATTACTGAATTAATCAAGTATAACATTTTATAAACATTATCTACATTTGATGGTTCCATCTTTATATTTCCTATCACATTTATCTAAACTTGGAATTGAAGGTTCACAATTTTATTTATCTTAACTAACAGTATAACCGCTGATGCATTTAAAACAATATAAACTAGATACAAGATCATTATCTTTACTAGGTTCAAAATCATAATCCATAGTTGTTACATCCCCTCTAATATTATAATAACATTAGGCACATTTTGGAATTTGACAAGTAACACAATCTATTCCATTATGACTTATAAAACTATTAGTAGAACATTATCTACATCTTTTAATATATTAATTTTATTAGTTCTTTTAATCTATTTTTATCATAATTCTTGATGGATATTGATATTGAACATTAGTAAAATATGTTACATATTCACATCTTTAACAATCATTACCACATTCTTCACATTTGTCTTAATCTAATGTAGCCACCATTCCCTCTTTACATTTAGTACATAATGTTTATAATTATACAACATAACAATTTAAACAATTATCCTAACATTTTTAACATTAATCATTCTTTATCAAATATCCATCATTACATTAAGCACATTTACCATTTGAACATTTTAAACAATCAGGTGGACAACTAATGCACAACTGATTTTTATATTCATATGTTTATAAACACTCTACTCCTATTATACCATTATCCTCAGCATATGGTGAACTTATACTATTACAATTCTCATTTCTCTCTGGAATACAAAATCTCTTACAACCTGAACAAATATAAGTTTCATATTAATATTAAACCTATACTATTCATCTACTATACTTACATTTCTTATTATTGAATCCTTATTCACTCCATTTTAAATTGATGGACCTATAAAATATAATTCACTATATTCCTTGTCTCTACGAATATAAGTGCCTTTCATATAATCTCCACTTTCTATCGTGTATTCATATGAACAAGTTCTATTACTCCACCAAGTGTATGGATGCTCTACACAATCCATACAATATAATGTAAAGCTGTCAATCACTTTTTAATATGGACTATATAGATATGCAATCTTACCATAGTACACATGTATTCCCAAATTATAGAAAGTATCCATATTCACATTTTATTTTATTATTCTCGCAATCAAATTATCCCAATTAGCATAATTCTTAACAAACTCCCTACTCAGATGTTTTGCATCCCATCTCTATTTGTTATCTATTAAATAGATGTTTTTACTTACAAGATTATCTAGTTTCTTGCACTTGGCATAAACCAAATTATGGTAATAGTAAAAAGAAGTAACATTTATTTTAATTTTTAAATTATTTGTTTTTTGATTCGATTTTTGTTAATAATACTAAATCATTTGTCTAATTATTTAAATATGATCACATTTTATCTATTTGTCTATTCTTAAAATTTTTTAGAATTTTACAAAAATAATATATAATTATTCTATATTTCAAAATATCTATTTTTTATAAACAATTTAATGCTATTTCATTATATTTCAAAATTTTATTGAATTCTTTATATTTATTGCTTTTTCCTCTTATTCTTAAATTTATTTTCAATTTTTACCATATACCAATTATCTAAAAAAACAAAAAATTATTAGAATTATCTAATGAAAATTTTTAAAATAATGCATTTGATTTTTTTTTGGTTTAAAATCTCAAAAATAATACAAAAATTATATTATATATATATATAAAAATTCAACACTAAAAATTAAACTATTCAGGTTAATTCCTTTACAAAGTCTTATAATAAATCTTTCTATTTAACTGACTTATTTTATCAAAGTCTCATTTTTAATTTTTTTTTAAATTATATACTTCTTAGCTTTATTTATTTTCTTCATTAAATTTCTATATTTCGATACTTTACTTTGATTAGTTTCTTGTCCTTTTCCTTATTTATCAATTTTTTAATTTTCATCTAACTTACTATTTGGTCGAATTATCTTTAATTAAATTCTTTAAATTATTTAGAGAAATCAGAGATTTATCTAATAGATCTTCAGGTGAAGAAGGTTAAAATGATTTTGTCAAGTCTATTTACTGTTGACTCTTATTGGAAAATTGTAATTTAATCTAATTTATATTATATTTTTCTATATCCACTTTATCTTGAAAACATTAAATATATCTAAGAATCTTAAAAAATCGAGTTTTAGTGAGAAAATACTTTTTTTTTAAATTATATTTGCTAACAAATTTGATATTAAAAATTAACCAATTTTCTTTAAATCTTGCTTACATCATTTGTCATATTTTACTTCATACGAACGAATTCATTTTAATTTATGTTTTTTTTTCAGTTTGTAANAGTAACATTTATTTTAATTTTTAAATTATTTGTTTTTTGATTCGATTTTTGTTAATAATACTAAATCATTTGTCTAATTATTTAAATATGATCACATTTTATCTATTTGTCTATTCTTAAAATTTTTTAGAATTTTACAAAAATAATATATAATTATTCTATATTTCAAAATATCTATTTTTTATAAACAATTTAATGCTATTTCATTATATTTCAAAATTTTATTGAATTCTTTATATTTATTGCTTTTTCCTCTTATTCTTAAATTTATTTTCAATTTTTACCATATACCAATTATCTAAAAAAACAAAAAATTATTAGAATTATCTAATGAAAATTTTTAAAATAATGCATTTGATTTTTTTTTGGTTTAAAATCTCAAAAATAATACAAAAATTATATTATATATATATATAAAAATTCAACACTAAAAATTAAACTATTCAGGTTAATTCCTTTACAAAGTCTTATAATAAATCTTTCTATTTAACTGACTTATTTTATCAAAGTCTCATTTTTAATTTTTTTTTAAATTATATACTTCTTAGCTTTATTTATTTTCTTCATTAAATTTCTATATTTCGATACTTTACTTTGATTAGTTTCTTGTCCTTTTCCTTATTTATCAATTTTTTAATTTTCATCTAACTTACTATTTGGTCGAATTATCTTTAATTAAATTCTTTAAATTATTTAGAGAAATCAGAGATTTATCTAATAGATCTTCAGGTGAAGAAGGTTAAAATGATTTTGTCAAGTCTATTTACTGTTGACTCTTATTGGAAAATTGTAATTTAATCTAATTTATATTATATTTTTCTATATCCACTTTATCTTGAAAACATTAAATATATCTAAGAATCTTAAAAAATCGAGTTTTAGTGAGAAAATACTTTTTTTTTAAATTATATTTGCTAACAAATTTGATATTAAAAATTAACCAATTTTCTTTAAATCTTGCTTACATCATTTGTCATATTTTACTTCATACGAACGAATTCATTTTAATTTATGTTTTTTTTTCAGTTTGTAATTCAAACCACATTTATGAAATAAAAATTTAATAATAAATTTCTTATAATATTTTTAGAAGATATATTTAAGTTCCATCAACAAATAAATATTTATTATTTTTTGTAAAATATTTAACATAAATTAATTATTGGGTCTTAAAAATTATTTCTAATTTATAGATCATCATATATCTTATAAAAAATTAATTGAATTAAATGCACAACTGTCTTATAATTAAGATATGATAAATAAAATAGATTCTCTTAAGAATGAATTTAATTTTATATCAAAAATTACTACTGATTTACAGGTCTTTTCATAGTATTACAACATTTAAATTTTATACAAAAATAAATTTGATTTTCAGACAAATTCTGATTTAGAATATATAATCAAAAATAAATGATGTAAAAAAGAAAATTATTTTAATTAATCAATTTTTTAAATATTATTTTTATTGCAGTTAACAACAATGTCGAATTCTCTAAAATAATCTACCCTATTAGCTTCTTTTAATCATAAAGGTATCAATCCATTACCAAAATATGATGATATTCGAATAGGTCCTCCTATAGTTCGTACGAATTCTTAATAATTCAAAGAAAAGCCTTAATTTTAGCAATAATATAAAACATTAAGTCAATTTTAAGTTTAAAAATAAAAAGGACAATAAGAATTAACAATAGTTTAGCATATTAGAATTATTTTCATGTTTTATGTATAATTTGGTAATAAAACTAATATATAATATTTGAAGTCAAGTAAATTTATTAAAGCTATGGCAGATGCTGAGATAATTAATGAAGGTAGCATTTATTATTATAAAGATTAGAAATAACAAGCAAAGATCTTGATATTTTATATTTCTAAAGTACAAAAAATACAGAGACTTTAACTTTAGATTAGTTTAAAGATTTACTTGTAAAAATAGCAATCAAATTATATAAAATTCCTGAACAGTCAAAATCTTTTGTATTGCTTTATAAAAATCATTTATCTACTCTTTATGAAAAAATATATGATTAAACAGATTTTGGTTAGGATTTAAAGAGAATTGAGACATGTCGTAGTTTAATTGATGAATAATTTTTAGAAATTATATCTTAAGTATAAGGATTATTATCTAAAATACATGGTTTTATTTTTTAAGATTCAAGCTAAAAGATTTCTTAAGTTTAAAGTTAATTCATGCATTTTTTACAATAATTTGAAATTATCCCTATCATAATTACATAAACAAAAGGATAAATGATATTTTTTGATTTGTTTCATAGAGATTCTGTTTTAAATTTAAAGAATGATGGAAATTTTTTATTTAATTTTTCAAAGTTTGTTGAAAGTTTACTAATCATTTCATTTTTTTAAGTTTAAGAAGAAAATTAAAATGGATTGGAATTATTTTTCTAATTCTTAGAAAAATTGGAGAATTCTTAAGGATTTTAAAGTTTTTCAAAAAAGAATAATTAAACTAAAAATGGATAAACATAATTAATAATGGCATTGAATAGAGTAAATTCTGCTAAATAGAGTAGAATTTCAACAATTTATCAAGCTTAGTAATAAAAATCAAATTCAAATTTAAAATAATCATAATAAATAATTGAATAAAGTAAATAATTATAAATGAATTCATAAATACGTTATGAAAAAGAATTGAGAAGTTTATTCGAATATTATTCATAAATAGGAGAACCTTTGAATTTAGCAAATTTAAAAAGTATAAAATATAAAAAACTACTATAAAATTGTGGTATAATTGGATCTATGATTTCTTAGGTGGATGCTGATATGTTTTACATTTAATCAACACCAAAAAAGAAATTAGACATAACTAAAAGTCCAAAATTTAAAGTTAATAAATTATATGATAATGATAATTAAAATGGTAAAATGGATTTTACAAATTTTTTTAACTCTATGTAATTAATAGCTGAAAAATTTTATGATAATGATATTGTAGGTATGATTGAGTAATATTTGATACCACATGAAAATTAGTTAAGAATAGAAAAACAATAACTGATTCTGTAAATGTTAATGACAATTTTAGATGATCCAAAAATTGTATTGAATTATTAATAATAATTAGATAAAATTATATGAAATTATGGAAGAACATTTTGAACCTTACTATAATCACTATACAAAGAATTTCATGACACTATCAGGATTTATGAAATTTTGTTAAGATTTTGAATTAGCAAACTCAATAGTATCAAAAGGATAGCTTATGCATGTTTTTAAAGCTTTAGCATCTCTAAATAATGATGAAATTATTGATAAACGTTAATTTGTCGAAGCCATAAGTGTAATAGCAATTTTAATTTATAATAATGTTAATGATAATGAATAAAAAGTAAATAAAATTCTAATTTATAGATCATCTATTTATTAGAAAGAATAACTTAAAGTGATGGAGCTATAAAAGTATCTAAATAATTAGGAATAATGAAAAATCCATAAAATACAAACTTAATTTAGTTATTTCGCTATCAATCTTATCAGAATGTTTCAAAAAAAGAAGAAGTTAACTTTAAGAATGTATTAAATTAAATACAAGATTAATTTTGATCAACATATATCTTCATATTAATATTTAAAGTTAGTTTAATTACTTTCAATAATAATAATTATCACTATCATTATCTTCATTATACGATATATCTTTTATTGCAGAAGACTAAAAGCTTTTAGAGAAACTAGAAGAAACTTAGTTTATTTTAAAAGAATTTTCAAATTCATCTTCATAATTTTGATAGCTTATTTCATTAATTTCTCTAATATCATCAGCATCAATTTCACTTTCATCAAAAATTTTTCTCCATTCTGGCATTTCATTTTAAATATTTTAATTTTATTCGAACTTTTATTGTGATTAAATTTAATAAGGATTGCTACTGAATTATTAAGCAGCAATTAGTTGCATTTCTTAAAATATATCAACTTCTTCTGTTTTTTTAAAACTCATTTAATTGAACCTACATTTTTTAATGTGATTGTCCATTCTTGATTTAAGAATAATATGAAAACAATTGTATGGACAAGTATCGTATTTATAACCTATGTTAAATTATATATAGTTGCCTTTTTCTCTTTTATCTTTGCATCCTTTAGAGATATGAAACTATAATTTACTAAAAGGCATTTAATGTTTTTTATTATAAGGACAAATAACTTCAAAATCATGTCTAAAATCTCCTTTTTTAAAACTCATTTATTATGATGATTAATAATATAATATAATAATTATTATTTTTATTATTTTTATATTTCAAAAGAATAAAATATTAAGCAACATCTACAATGAAATAAAAATTGATTAAAATATTATAGATATCTAAGACTACTATAAGGCTGTATATTGTCTATAATTAATTTAAAAAGTTATTTCAAAATTAATATTATCGAAACATCAAAACGTAATTCTATTCTAAATAAAAAATAATTAAATAATCTTTCAATTGCTGTTAATATTATAAGAAATAGACCAGACAGCTTATAAACTTTTTTAAAATCTATTTGAAATAATTTTAAATTATTAATGATAAACAAGATTTATTTCACATAACAACAAATTTAATAAAAGAAGAGAATGAAATAATATTATCTTATTATTTTATTGACCAAATAATTTTTATTCTATTCATTTTTAGCTAGCTGATATTACTACTCCACAGAATAATAAGCAGCAACTCATAAAAATTCCTAAAATAATTAAAATTGTGAAAACCCAAACCAAAGTGTTCAAGCTTCCACATTCTTCTCCTTTCCCTAAGGCAACCTTTTTATTAAAATTAATAAATACCCATAACATTATCCAAATTACAAAAGAAAATATTCCATAAATTGCATTCAAACATCCCTCAGCAGATAACAGAAAATCAACTTTATTTTAAAAACAAGAATAAAGTAAAAACAGACTAGAATATAACAAATTCTTTTACAAATGTAATGTAACAAGCAACAAAGTAGCAACTCCTAAATAATAAGAATATTTTCTCAAATAAATACAGCTACTCTCGTCACCTAAAAATCTAATAATTATTACCATAATAACCAGGAGTAGTAGAAAATAAATAAAACAATAATCCATAAATTGCTTAGAAGACAATCATGCAAATTTATTAGCTCCATACTGCATTGTTCATTTATTTTTAATCTCTAATAATATATGCATTATTTACTTGTTTTATTCCTTTTATATTATATGTTAAATTTCTTCTACTTGCTCTAAAGATAGAAAATATAATTACACAAGTTAGTCGACATAAATTTTCAAAAACGATAAATTAAATAATATCTTTTTTTTGATATATTATACATATTAGAATCCAAACATGAAGCAATTTATACTTTGATCTATCTAAGAAACTTAAAATTCTACGAATATATCAAATTATACTAAACATACTTAATTCTATTTTATTATGAACTATTTATAATGCGCGAATAAACGAAAATTTGAAATAATATGTATGAACTAAAAGAATAACTCTTTTTCTGATTTAAATATTTAATAATAAATAGCTATATGAAAATAATAAATTTTTAACAATCCAAAATGCCTGTTTTGATTTGAAAAAATTCTTTTTGAATTAATATAAATTTTAGATAATTTTTATATTGTCAAATGAAAATTTGATTCTGTATAAATATTATTATAAACACATTATATAAAAATTTGTTTCTTACTTCGAAGTTATATATAAATAAATATCAATTAAATTACAGTACTTATTTGATTTAGTCATAAATGTTTGTTTGATTAGATTATTAAATAATCTTGTCTTAGTTCAAAAGGTATTGTAACATGCTTCCTGGAGGTTTACAATCCTTTTCTTAGTTTATTTACTAAATTTCATGTTTAGTAAGTAAATACTAGTTAGTATTATGAGGAGAACTGAGTTAATGTTCTTCTACTATGATTATGTGAATAATTTTTTTTATTTTTTTTATTTTTTTCTTAATCCTTAAGTCACTTATCGATTTCATTTCAGTTGTTCAAAGTTCTTTGGTTTTAACGGAAACACGTGTGTGCTAAATTGTTATCAAGTTATTATTATTATTAGAAACAAAGCCTGTTTGATGGAGACATTTAAAGTAAAATATTGAAGGGGGTTCTGAAATATAATTCTCCAGTATATAATAGTATAATGACATTATTAAATTTTAATTTAATATTATAATCATTCTAATATTTCTCTAACTTTATATAACTTTGATTATCTAATAGACTCTTATATAAATAATCTAACTTTTTCAACTTCATGTTCAGGAGTCAATCCATGTGATAAATTAATAATAAATCTTCTTGTAGTTTATAATTTTTCAATCATTTATGATACTCTTTTTTTTAAAATTTATTAAGTACCAAATAAGACCTAAGAAAATTAGATTAAAAAATACTCCTGGTTCAAGATTTCCTTGAATAGTTCTATCACTTTCAATAATTTTAACCAAGACTTCATCACTTACATTAGAATCAAGTTAAAATCCATCAACTAATGGTGTATCACCTAGAAACATTTTTAGAAATGTTATAATAATTTCAACTCCATTTTAATCTTTAGCAAACATTATCAGAGGAGTTGTTGGACATTCTAATTTAAATTCTTCTAATAAAATTCTTAAAGATGGAATTACAAATTCCTTATAATCAATAAATGGAATTTATCTAAAATATTATACAGATGCATTACCCTGCAAAAGAATCAAAAATCTAAACAACTTGTGCTCCACCTTCTTTGACTTAATTAATTAAATATTAAGCACTTTCTTTAGCAATTAAATCTAAAACTTTTTTAGTTTCTTGGGTATATTGATATAACCATTTTTTTGTTTTTAAAAACATTTTAGATGTTTCACCTTCCACCATATATGAGAATACAGTAAATGGTGCTCCACAAAAACCTATAAGAGTCTATTTTCCATATAATGCTTATCTAGTTAGATATAATGCATCATAAACATGTTCTAAACTTTGAGGATCTGGAGATTTAATTCTATTAATATCATCAATAGTTTCTAATTTATTTTTAATTACAGGACCTTTTTCTTTATCCATAATAATCTAATAAATTAAGATATTTTTAATACTTCCATTCCCATAGCTTTTGGAAGTGTAAGAATATCAGAAAAAATAATAGCAGCATCAAGATCAAATTATTTTAATGGTTATAGAGTAATTTCAGCAGCAATAAATGGATCTTAACAAGCATCAAAAAAATCTCTATTTTTCATAATTTCTTTGAATTCAGGAAGATATCTACCTGCTTATCTAAATTAAAAACATTTTATACCTCATCATCCATATAGGAGCACGATCAAATTAAGCAAAAGATTAAAACGCATCTAAAATTCTAGTATTTGTTTGTCTAGGAAATGTTTTATTTGTTTTTCTCATTTCTCTTAAATTTTCTTTAGTGATTTTAAGTTTATCTATAGTATCTTAAAGAATTTTAAGAGTTTGAGAGTTATCCATAATTTTATATATTAAAAAAATTGTGATTATTTAGAAATGTTACAGTATAAATAAATGCATAATAATAAATTATTATTTAATAGATGGCATAATACCATTATTTATTTAAATTTATAATAGTTGGAGATGGTAATGTCGGAAAATCTTGTATTTTATTGAGATATACTGAAAAATAATTTCGAGATGAACATGATACTACAATAGGTGTAGAATTTGGATCTTAAGTATTTGTCAAGAACGAGAAAACAATAAAAATTTAAATATGGGATACAGCAGGATAAGATTCATTCAAATCAATTACAAGATCATATTATAAAGGGTATATATGGTAGTTTAAGTTAGATCAATAGGTGTATTACTTGTTTTTGATATTACAAATGAAGAATCATTCCACAATGTATTAAAGTGGTATAATGAAGTCAATGAATAAGCTGCTTAAAATTGTTAAATTGTATTAGTTGGAAATAAAATTGATTTGGAATCTCAGTATATATTCAATATATTAAAGTCGAAAAATATCTACTCTTTAAGCTAAAGCATTTGCTGATTAATATAAAATGCAATATATTGAAACTTCAGCTAAAACTAATTATAATATTGATTAATTATTTGAAAATACAGCAATGGACATAGTTGAAAAAATCGAAAAAAAACAAATTGAATTTACTACAGAAGTATTAATTAAATATTAATTTAATATAGGATAGTGGTATTAAATTAGGTAATTACTATAAACAATAAAATACAAAAAAACAAGGAGATGATTGCAAATGCTGATTATTAAAATTAATTACATCAAGTTATTCAAAATAATAATATGAATAATGCAAAACATATCACAATTATTTGAGTAAATGCAAAATTATCGCATCTCTCTTTGCATATTTTTATATTCTTCCACCAACTAGTAGTATCTGGTTTTAAATTATAAAGCATCACTTCATTAACTTTTGTTACCTTTCTAAATATATTACATATACTTCTGAATGATAAAAAGTTGCTGATCCCATGTATGATTCATTCATAAAAACCAATACTTCTTAAGTATCCCAATTCAATAAGATATCTGCTTATGTCCATATTATTTTTGCATCACTTGAAACTGAATTATTATAAAAGGTGATCATTTAATTATCATTTACTCTAATAAATCCAGCATAACCACATCTAAATGATACTGCTGTTTTGTCTGTAGCTGTATCCTTTAATCTTAAATTTGTGTCCTCAATTTCCTTATTTCCAGATGCAAACCAGAATCTTATATGCTAAGGTTAGGATTCTTCAAATAAATGATAAAATCCATCTTTAAAACTTAATTCTGATTCTGCCTTCTTAAATATTTTTAAAAACTTTCATTTATTCATAAATCAATTTTACTTTCTCATTTTCCTAAGTAATAAATTCAGTTTTCATATATTCTTCTGTTTGATTCATTATCCAATTTTATTCTATCATAAAATTACCTTCACCTTTCAGATAATCTGTTCCATCATATGCTGCAACTATTAATGTTATTAAACTTGTGATTAATATCATTATGTAATAATAATAAAAGAAACCAAGTTGGATTCAATAATTATTTTGTGGTTGTATAAGAGAAGAACCTTCTTAATCAGATCAATAATTGAAAACACTTTCTACTCAAATGGAAATTCCAAAATCTAAACCTATTACCCTTATTTCCATTCAAAATCAATCAGAAGGTTGGCTCAAATAAACCACTACTCAAGAAATAGATTATTTTGAATAAGCATTACATGATAATTATTCAGATGAAGGAAATAAAATTTATAATAGATAACTTTCTTATCTGGAAAAAAATTCACTTTTACATAAAACTAGTTTTTCAGATGTAATCAATTGTTTCATAATCTCAGGAATTTAACTCCAATAATATAGAAATGAAATTATTGCATCGTTGTGGGGGCTTACTGGCTAGACAAAGCAATATTTTAATCGAAATGCAATCCTATCAATGGATTATGAAAATCTTTAAAGATGTGTATTTAACTAATTAAGACAGAGGATTCGAATCCAAATTTAAAACTTAAATACTCAACTCTTCTATTGTTGATTTAATCAATAAAAGAATTAAATCAAATTCTATTTTATTAGCTCATGATCCTACCGGTTCTATTTTACTTAAGTTGGCTAGTCATAATCGTACTATCTATTATTTAGAATCTAATAAGACCTATATTGATTTAATAGACAAAGGAATCTGTAAAATGAATGTAAATGTTTGTAAAGTTTTAAAGATGGATCTATAAAATAAAATAGACATAGTTGTTGTAAATCTTTATTTTATAGATTCTAAACATAATCTTAGTAATATTATGCATGAATATCTTTAATATGCTCATGATATAATAATCATTTTATAACCAAAGATTGAAAATTCTGTTATATATTCTTAAGCAGAATAGGCAATATCTTTATCAGAACAATCTAAATAAACTTGCAGTGTAGAATTATAGAATCTTGTTGAAAATAATAATTGTATTGCAAAAATTTTATATTTTGGTGGCGTAAGTGAAGTACTTATATTTATAAAATATCATAGATTACTTTGAATGATGAACTTAATTTTGTATATTCTTGTATAGATTCATCAGTAAAGAAATTATACAACTATAAATTGATGTTTAAAGATCTTCGAAACTAAATAGGTATGACAAGATTAATAAAATTACTCAACGAATTTTAAATTATAACTGGGATTGGATAATTTTTTGAGTTCTCCAGTTATCTTAATGGATCATAAGAAAAATATAGATTAAATAATAATTAAACATAAGATTTTGAAGATTAAAATAATGATGACAAAGAATAGTTAATTGAAAAGAAATATTCTTCATCTTCAACTGAATCAGAACCTGATGAAGATTAAAATTAAGAGAGACCTGATTTTAGAAGTGAAACTTTAAATTAATCATAAAACTCACTTTATTAACCACCAATTCTACGTCATGCTAGTTCGTAACCATTTGATTTATGAATTTTAAATAGCATTTTATTATTTATATTATTTTATTTTATCTTTTAAATTGTTAACTATAAATCGATTGATATATTTATAAATTAATAATTTTTTTAACAATAAATAAAATAATATCTATAATTGTTAGTTATTTAAGGAAGAAATATATAAATGAATACATAAAAAATTAGATATTTTATATCCATAAATATGTTGTATCATAATTTAATTACTTTATGAATTAATATTATAATTTATATATTTCATTCTTTTGGTTAACCACCTTCAGGTGTTTATTTTCCTATTAAAGCTTTGTGAATATGAGGAATGACACCACCACCAGCAATTGTTGCTCTGATGAGAATATCAAGTTCTTCATCACCTCTAATTGCTAATTATAAATGTCTTGGAGTTATTCTTCTCACTAAAAATATATTTTGATTTTTTCTTACCTTTAAAGTCTTTTGATGCATTTCCTGCTAACTCAAGCACTTCAGCTGTTAAATATTCCAAAATAGCCGATGTATATACTGCTGATGTAGTTCCTACTCTATTTTTTGCAGATACTCTTTGCTTTAGATATCTATGAATACGTCCAACAGGGAACTAAATTTCTATAAAATATATACTTAGAGTCCAGCCTTCAATGATCTAGATTGAGGAGCCTTCTTATTCTTTCCAGATCCAAATTTTCCTCCTTTTCCACCTTTTCCACCTTTTCCACCCTTTGCACTCTTTGCAATCCCAGACTAAACTATTTTATAAATAGATTACCATATATTTTTTATTTTAATATACTAGAAAATTATTTTTTTATATCTAGTTTAAGAATCTCAAAACTTAAATTTGATTGGTTTTCAAATTATAAACTCGAATAATTCATCAAGTTCATTTCCTATCCTCATTCCTACTTTTAATCTCACTCGTCATACTTCCCAAATTACACATTTCTCATATAGTTTAATTTTATCAAAATTTTGGTAATATTATATTAACTTAGGTTATTTAATATATTATTTAAAAACTTGATAACTATCCATCAATTTAAGTAATTGGATTATAAATAAGTTAATAATCATAATTTATCAAAGGTTTTTATTAACTCTTATTTTTCTTAGAGTTACCAACTTATTTCAATTTATTTTATTCTTTCTTTTTATTTTTTGTTATTTTACACTAATAATCTATTCCTATTTATTAACTTAACTCTAATTTATCTTATATTCTGAAATATTAAATCTAGAAAAAAATGATGAACAAACAATCTATTAATTGTATCGAGAATTTTTACAGAAAATTCGATATAAAAATTAATGAATACTAAAAATTAGAGAATCCCTAAATTTGTGACCAAATTGATTGACATATTAGATGTAATCCAATTTATATTAAATAAATAGAATTAATCTTATTCAGAAATTATTAGTTTTGATTAAAAAGGCGATGGTATTATTATCCATCAATAAGAACTATTTGAAACTCAAATTCTCTTAAACTATTTTAAGCATAATCATATTGATTCATTTACTCGTTAGATGAATAACTATGGTTTTAAACGAGTTAAGAATCAATAAGGGAAGTACGAATTTAAAAATCCATTCTTCTAGAAAAACAATAAGTATTTCTTTTTTTTAATATTCCTCTTAGAAATTTGATTCACTTGGTGATGAAAAAGAAACAAGAAAAAATATAAATAATATCATAATTCTTAGCACTAAAATCAGAGTTAAACTAATTCTCAAAAGAATTAGACTAATTTAATTTTTTCGCCTCTTCTGTAATTCATTAAATTATTTAAGTATTAATAAAGCTAATCTATTTTAACAGAATCTTAAAATAAAGTTAAATTAGAGATGATTTCTATTTCATAAAAGAACCTTGAGATGGAATAAATGTTAAGCTATTTAATTTAAGAAAAAAAAACTGTGTTAAATTGAAGTGATACTCTCATTTTTATTTTTATTTTGTTCAACAAATTATATATCCTATCTTCTAAAGCAAGTATTTATCTAATTTTTTAACTATTAAATTTAAGTAATGAATATTAGTAGATATGATTTCCTTTCATTATTTATTCACTTTAGTTTTCTTAATAAATCAAACAAAAAAAACCAAGTTAATTAATATATATTATAATTCGTAATCTATAAAAATTATAAAGAATTTTAATTATCTTATATATATATTCTTTCTCATTTAATTTAAATGATTAAGTCATGATGATTATCAATTATCTTCCTCTTAAACCATATCTTATTTTCTTAAATATTCTATTTAGGTTTCGTTTAATTGAATCATTTAACCATTTTCATCTAATAAATAATTTCCATCTTCATCCAATAAGTAACCATTTTCGTCTAATTAATATGTTGCTTCATTATCATCATCTTCATCTTCTTCTTCCTCTTTTTAATTATTTATTTAATTTTAATTTTCCTCTTTTACATCTATTATCTTTTCATCCTAAATTTAATTATTTTTAGAAGGACTCAATGCTTTCAATTTATCCATAAAAGCTTCTTTTTCAAATTCTGGCTCTATTTATTCCTTAAAAAATAAAAAAAACTTTTACAATTGTGTTTTATTCTGAAAATTCATTTTATTATTAATCACTTTTACTTTCTGAATCTTCTTCATAATTAAACACTTGAACCTATGCTTATTATATTTCAGGTTTTTTCTTATTATTTTCATCAATCCAATAAACTTATTCTGTTTGTTTAAATGAAAATAAAAGCTCTTAATGAGATTTTCTAATTTCTTCATTTGATTTATTCTATTAATCTTATAGATATTCAAACTAATTTTTATATTCTTATTTCACTCTCTCAAATTATTTGGCTAAACTAGAAAGTTCTAATTTTAATTAAGTAATTCCATTATCGATTTCATCTTTATTCTAAAATCTATGATATTAAATATACCTAATCAACTTTCTATTCTAATTAATTTAAAGACAGTTCAAATTTAGAATTTTAGGATAAGTGTTTTTCTAATCTTATAGTCAAATCTTAATATTATTAAGACAATAACTTGTAAGAATTCTGTAAATCAAAAACTCCTTGAGTAATCTTATTCAAATCTGCTTATTAAAGTGTTAATTCTGTCAATCTAATTTATATATTATCAATTACTTATCAGACTATGAAAATGTTTTTTACTGGATCATATTCTAAATTTATTATAACTTAAATTCAATTTCATCTGATAGTTTTTTACTAGCTTAAGCAATATTACTTTATTAATTATTTTAAAATGTTTTGAATTAAGCTATAGTCTATTCTTCTTATACACTAATTTTTTGTGATTATTCAGATACATTTTTTTCTAATTTTACAAATTATTATCTAAAATGATATTAAAAAAGATATTTACTTTGTTTTTTAATCATATAAAGTAAACTCATTATGTTAAGAATCAAATAATAATTAAAGATCCCTAATTTTTTATTGAATATCTTTAATTGTCTTTTCTTCACTAAGATTAATTTAAGGTGGAATTCTTATTTAAGAGTCTTCTTTAAATTTAACTAAATTTTACTAGTTTTCTTTTTATAACAATTTTATTTTATTATCAGTCGATTCTTGTAATTCTTTGAACCTTATTTAATAATCGTTTTAAAAATTAACCTATTAATTTACTAATTCTTCTTAAGCCTTTTTAATTTATGTCTTTATCTAGAAAATAGAAAAACAAATTTTACAGATTCTTCAAATTATTTAAATTTCATGCTTAATTAATCAGCATTAATAGTATTTTATCCTCTAATATCAAAAATAATAGTTCTATTTGAATCAATTTGATTTTATAATTCTTTAATCTTTGATTCTTGGGCCTATGATTTTTCCAATATTAATTAATTCACATGTTTTAAAATTTATTAAAATCCAACACTTGAATCTTCTACTTTATTACTCAAAAATGAAGCATCTTAAGATTAAATAGCAGTACTGAAAGTAGAAAATGGAGAATTATGTTAAGGAGCTGAATGATATTAAAATAATACCCATCAATAGGTGTTCTGTATTTTTCATATTGGCAATCCTAGTATCAGCTTATCTACCAGTTTATATTTAAGTAGGTTAATTATATAAATAACCCTATTATGATTACTTATCTACAAAAATTGGTTTTCTACTCATGATTAATTCAATTTTAATGTTATTTATAATAATAATAATTAATCTATATTATTTTACATTCATTAAACTCACTAGCTAAAATTGAGAAAATAATTACCTTAATAAATGTATATATGTAAAATAATTATTATAAGTTCATTTATAGAAAATAGATTAATTACTTCTTTAACAATTTAAATAATAAACCAATATTTACATTCATTAGAATTTATATCCATCGAATAAACTTTAAACACTTTTTCTTTTTAATAAACTTTAGCAATCTTCCTCTAATTCACTGTCTGCTGAAATCTGATTTTAAAAATCACTATTACCATCAATACTCTTTTTATTAACAAAAATAAGTTACTCCAGGAATATATAAAGATTTCATTTCTTTATTTAATAATTTTGCCCATTAAACTCCTTTTAACCATTAATGATGTATTATTTCTTCAATTCCATTGAAACCTAATCTCTATTAAGGTTTTCGAATGAGTAACTAAATTAAATAATATATTACCTTATTAATAAAATCTATAGCTTTGCTACTTATATTAGAAGTGCCCTCTTTAATGAAAGCTTACTTAGCTAGTATTTATTCTCTAATTTCTTATCTATTCTTCCCATTATAAGGTCTTTTACCAATTAATATTTCATAAAGAATGACTCCAAGTGCATAATAATCAACAGAATAAGTATGTTCCATTTTACACATAACTTCTGGTGCCATATATCCTGGAGTACCAGAAGTATCGTTTGCAATACTATCCTTATTTAATCGAGCTACTCCTAAATCTGTTAAATGTAAAAAACCATCTTTATCGAAAACTAGATTTTCTGGTTTTAGATCTCTATGAATAATACCATTCGAATGTAAATATTGTAATGCAAGTAACATACAACAAGCAAAAAATTCTTATTATATATATAATTTCTTACTTGCTTAATCTTCAGTAAATCGTTTTAATTTACCAATATGAAATCTCAAATCTCCTCCTCTTAATAAGTCCAAAACAAGATATAAATTTTCTTTATCTTAAAATGCAAAATGCATATTGACAAGAAAAGGATGGCGAAGATGTTCCAATAAAAACTTTTCATTCATAACTGAATTGACTGATCTTTTCGAAATAATTCTAAGATATAACTAAATATACTTTGCCTTGATCATTTCTTTTAATGCAAATTCTTTTTTTGTTGATTTCATCTCAACTCTCCAAACTTTTCCAAAACCTCCTTTACCAATTATATAAATAAATCGAAATGCTAATCTGCTTATATTATTAATTTATTATTATTATTATTATTATGTTGTTTTAAGTTAAACAACTTCTTTTTATGAAAAATTATCTAATGAAATTTTTCTAGAATGAGATTTCGATTATAACCATGATGATGAATTTGTTGATGAATCTTTAGGTTCATAATTTTATTTTCCACCATAATATGTTTACTATAATAATTCTTGTCTTGATAATTTTCTTGATATTAAACTTTAAAGTTAAGCAAAGCCTTATTTTTCTAACTTTCCTTATTCAACTATTATTGAGTGTTTCAATGGTTTTAGAGAGATCATTGATGATGATCTTTTTCGAGAACATATTAAACAACTCATTTAATTACATGTACAAGATTCTTCATAATTTTGACTCGCTTAAAGTTTTATTTTTAATTTTGGTTATTTATTTTGCATCAATGGTAGTAAATCTTTAAGAGAAGTATATGCTGATTTCATACTATTTAAAGAAATAAATTATATTTTATAATTTTATATGTGATTTCAATTCTAAATTATCATTTGATTTAGTATAAATTTTCTTTCGTTAGGTTAGTATCTAGTAATCATTAAATTGATATTTACTATGATAAACATTTATTTAATAGTAATTTAAGTTTAATTTTAGGTATATTATTTAGGAAAATAAATCTAAAATAATGAATTGAATATAATTAACATTGCCTAACAGAACAGTTTTATTTAAGAAGATATAATTGTCATTTGTGATGATCAAACATATATATAATTAAAAAAAATTTAGATTGTAGTATCATTATTTAACCAATGAAATCATTTTCTATAAATCTAATTGCATTTCTTCTTAAGTTATTTACTAACTAAAGCCTCCATTCTTTTTTAAGAGTTCATCTAAATAACTTGATTTATTCGAATATGTTGAATTAAAATATGAGGTATTATTATTGTTACTAGTTACAGGAGGCTCATAAGTACTATTCTTTCTTTTATGAATTTTCTCCAGGAATTTGAATCCTTTTCTGTTGATAGATCTGGGCAGTGGTTTCATATTTCTTAATTTTTAATCTTCAATTCTACACCATGGGCAAATATATTTAAATTTTGAGTCTTCTACTAAAGATTCAATTCCATGGATTCCATTTTTGGCTTCACAAGATAAATGAGTCTTAAATTAATTTATTATAATTTTAATACCCATTTGTCACACTTATCTTAATCACATGCTATCCATTTTTGACCATCCAAAAAGTTTTCATTTTAATCGCTATAAACCTAATATATTAGTATAAATACTTAAGCACAGAAATAACAACACTTTTTCTCAGTATACAATTCAAGACATTCTTTACAAAAAAATAGAATTTAATCGCTAAATTTAGCAGCATAAACATTTTAAGTTTCAATTGTACAATATTAATTCATACATTCATCTTCTTGAATTTTATCTTAATCATCCATTTATATTCAAAATAAAAATATTTATAATATCATTAGAAATTTTCATAAAGATAATTAATGATCATATCTGGGTCATCTCTATGGATTGCATAAGCTTCTATTACTTATTCAAGCGTAAAGAATCCCATATCCATAACCTAGGCAATAATTGGATTATTCATGGGATCCTCATAAATTGTTTTTTCACTTTCCTTTAAAGCATTTTAAAATTATGTATCTTCAAATTATTACATAAACTATTATTCTTATTCTTATTTGCTTTATTCCATAATTTTTCTCAATATTTCACTTTCCAAATTCGGTTACTATTATTACTATTATTACTATTGTTATTATTGTTATTATTGTTATTATTTTTATTGCTATTATTAAAATTGTTATTATTATTATTATTGTTATTATTATTATTATTTTTATTGTTATTAAATAGGATACTATTAATTAAATTAAGCATCTTAAACACTTTCCTTAATAACCATATCCATAAGTTATTCTTCTTCTTCTTCATATTCTAATTATTATAAAGATTCCTTTATAGCAGTTTATTCACTAATAATAATTAACTAAAATACTTTTTAAGCTATTAATCTTAAAATAGTCGTTTAGATTCATTAAAAATAATATCAAGTTCATTACTAATACAATTTTCAAATTAAGCTCTAGATAATTATTATCCATATCTATTATTATTGTTTGCACTTTACTTATTTTTTTGTTCTAATAATTTTTCAAACATTTATTTTTCATATTAACTAATTTCTAAACTTCCTAATAAAGCATAATGTTATTTATCTTTTAATTTAATAGAGTTATAATGAGACCTTCCATGATATGACAATCTAATAGGTCTAAATAATAAAGTATAATAATTACTCCTTATTATATGGATTAGCTTCTAATCCAGTTTTTAAAGGCTCTTTACTACAAACATAAATTTCAATGGGAATATCATAAAGTTCTCTAAAAGCTTAAAGTTCAATATTATCTCCCCAAACTCCATCTTTTGATTTATATTCTACATATTCTTCAACATTTCCATTTATTATATAATCTTAGAAATAATCCTTTTCTTATAAAATATACTGCATGGCAAATTTACGCAGTTCTTTATGATAAATTTCATTTCCATATAATTAATCACTTATGGCTCTAAACATACAATTGCCATCCCCTTATACCTCTCTTATTAACATTCCTTATTCACTCAATATTGATTATAAAGATGTCTCCATTTCCTTATATTTTTTACGCATTGATAAGAGATTTTATAATTAAAGATAAAGATTAAAACGATGCTACAATCTTAGAATTGATTATGGTTATTATTTTAATAATTTACCTATTCCAGGTTCATTTGAGTTCTAACCAAGAGGATGTATGTCTTTCAATTAATAATTCTAATCATATATCCTCTTATATCCTTAATGATGAATTAATGCTAAGTCTTTTTCTATTTGTACAACAATACCAATTAACCAACCTTTATTTAAATTATAAACTTCAACTCTTGTATTCAATAAAGGTACTCCAGGAATCCATTATTTACGAATTATTTCATACTAAAATTATATCCAAAATGTATTTTAAGTAGAAGGGGATTAAAGTCTTATATTTGAGTTTTAAATATCCACAATTTTCATTACTATCCATTTATTTGTATTTGAATCCAAATAATCTATATATTCTCCTATCTCCAATAAATGACTCAAGACTTATTGTTCTTAAGGGCATTCCTAATTGACCTATGTCTATACTTTATTACCATTTATTTTACTTCATCATCTTGTAATTCCAAATCTATTTCTTCTGAAGATGAATTATCATTGTTTCTATCTCCTATAATTACATTTGACTATTCCATTACGCTTTAAAATTAAAGAATTTTATTTTATAATTATTAATAATAGATTATAACAAATAATCATATAAATTCTTATTTTAAACAAAATTTCCTTCCAAAAATTAAAACTTAACAAAATAATCAAGAATGAAATGATTACATGTTTATCATATATATTTATATATAACTAAAACTTCATTTCTTTTATTGAACATTTACTTGTCTTTAAAACTACTACTAATGAATTTATTCTTTAAGCATTTCCATTCCACTAGTTAATTATAATATTTGATTTTTCAATTACAAAACCTCCTATTCATATTATGATTACTTTTCTAAGAATTTCTATTCTTAACAAAATAATTTAGTCTTTAAATTTGATATTTAAAATTATTGTTGTTGAATAATATAATTTAAATTACAAATGTTACTAGTGTTTAATACATCTTCTGATTAATCTTATTCTTAAATCTTATTTTAACATTTCCTTGATGATTTATCTTAACTTAAAAAACTTTCAGCCTTTATTTCTTATTAAGATCTATGTGTCATAAATCTTTCATTTTTTTAAACTATGCATTGTATCTTTTCTAGATGTTCTAATATTTCTTATTTTAAACTAAATTTCATATTCTAAATTATTTACTTTAAATTATCTTCAATTACTTCTTATTTGCAATTACAATTACTAAATCTAGAATTACTTGTTTGACACTCAGTTTTTTAAGGTGTTGATCTTGTAGCCGTATTTTCTTCATATTCTTCATTTCCTTGATAAAATTCTTTGCTTTTCAATATATCTTTTAATTTGAATGTTTCACTTATATTTTTAACTTTTTTATTCAATTAAGTATGTGTTTTATGATTTTCTTTATCCTTTGAAACACTTCGCTTTTACTTTGTTTGTCCAACAGATTTTCGAGTACTTAGTTGTTTCTTTTATCCTATTTCTTGATCATCAATACTTTTCCTACTCTTGCTTTAACGAAGTTGCATTAACAGTTAAATTTTTAATATTCTATATATAAATTTAATTATTATCAAATTATTTTCTTATCTTTTTTATTCTCAAATCTCTTTTCTCCTACTATTTCAACAATCTTAACTATTAAACAATATTTATTTTCACCAGATTAAGTATTTATTATATTATAATCAAATTATCTTAATCAACAAAAAAATCTAAATTTGAATATTTTTGTTATCATTAACATTAATAATGTAATCTTTTTTTATCTTTTCAATTTTCAATTATTAAGATAAGAATTGTACATCTTTAAATTAAGTATTTATTTATATAAATATAATAATATGAATAAATACTTAGCTTATTAATTTGTAGGAAAAAGTGATGGTCTTCATAAATTACCTGATCATATTCAAAAAATTAAAAAATCTCTAGGTTTTGAAGAAAAAGAAAGAAGAGTAATTGAAGAACTTATACCTTAATTAAAATAAAGAATTAGAGCACAATCTATTCCTGAAAAACCTATTCCTAAACAAATATAGATTAATAATCTTGCTAAAAAATTAGCTACTTTGAGATAAGAATACGATAAAATTAATGTTGAATTGAACAAACATTAATCTTTTAGAACATAAATAAAAAATCCAAAAACAAGTTTTGAATAACATTTTTTTTAAATTGAACAATAGATTCATATTTGGGAAGAATAAAAATTAAAACTATCTGAATAAATTAAACAAATAAAAAAAGAACTATTTTTCTTAGAAAATCAATCAGATACTTATACTTCAAAAAAAATTGTTACCAATTAATCTGTTTTATTAAGTGAATTAGTTACAATTGAAAAAAAAATACCCACTCCTTCTAAACTCCCTAAAATATTAAATTAAGAAAGTCCTATGTATACTCAACCTAAAGCATTTCATTCAGATATTAAAATGTTAAATAATACAAATGATTCAAATTTGGTTGATTTATTAGAAAGCGATGAAGATTAAGATTTAAGACCGAGAACAAGAGTCTCAAAAATTAAACATAAACAATTACCAACTTTAGAATAACTTATAAGTTAATTAGATTAATTTGTTGTAAAAAATGATAAATTATAACCTCATAAAGAAGCATTATAATAATTTAGATTAGCTTAGTATGAAAAATATTTGATTAAATTACCTAATTCCTAATAAAATACAAATTATGATTTAAAAAAATCTTTAAAAAACAAAAGAATAAAAAATATAAAATATATATTTGCAACTGTTTTTTTTTGCTTTTGCTTAATTAAACAAACTAAAATATCTTAACAAAGATATCAATTAATTTGTTATTAATATCATTAAAATAATTATTAAAAGACTAATCAAGAAATTATTTTTTTTGTAAACAATGTTATAGCTAAATAAATTTTATTCAAATTTAGTCGTTTGTAATAACTTTAAAAAGCTGAAAAAAAATAGCATAAAATAATGATGCCATTAATAGCAGAGGAGATTGTTAGAGAAATTCTATAGAAGTTGACAAATTAAAAGTTTTCAAATTAATTTTACATCTTTATAAATTCTATTTCAGAAGCAGGATATTATCCATTATAAAATTATCATAGCGAAATCATCAAATCAAAATTTTAAATTTCAAAATATTTTTAATATTTATTGAAAGAATGTAAAAAGATTGTTTTTTTTGAATTTGTTTTAATTAAAAATGTTATCTTTTATGGATTGTTTTTTAAAGCAAAAGAATTGTTTGGTTAGTTAAAAATAGATGCTGATAATGAATTAATAAATTCAGTGGCCTTAATTTTACTTGAATTATTTTTAAGAACTTAATAATCTGGAATCATAAATGTCAATTTAAAACATTTTAGTTATGCATTAGCAGATGGTCCTTTTATTTAAAAGTATTTAAAAGAGTTAGATTTAATAAAAATGAAAATTTTAACTACTTTATAAATTGACGACATGATGAAACCATTCATATAAATGATTGAAAAACAATTTATAAATTACTAATCATGATTATTTATTTAACTAATAGATCAATATAAATCTTAAATTTTAAATGATATTTTAATATTCTAATGTATTATAATATAATATATCCCTATCATTTTATAACATTATTATATAGTATACTTTTAATTAAACAATATTACAATTATAAAATTATATTTTATTATTCTCATTTTAATTTCTCAAACAATGGCTTATATTTAAATCTAGGATAAGTTATGGAACTTTGTAGATTTTTTTTGGTTCCTACTGTGAGTGTATCATATGATTCTAAACAAATTTTTTAACCTTGATGCAAGAATTCCTCAACTTATTTCTCCTTAACTTCTTTATCCACATCATTAAATATATCTTTTCTCTATTATATACAAAAGGCAAAATGTGCAATAAAATTTCCTAATTAATTCTTATCTTCAACATTCTCTACTTTATTATATGTTTCTTCACTATGCTATAATAGAAAATTAATAAATACAATTTTGAAGAATCTTAAGTGATTTCTCATTAAATAATCAAAATGAATTATGATGTTTGATACATCAATTTTTAATCTTCTTACTTGCTACATAATGATATGAAAGCTAAATAAAAAAGATTATTAATGTGTTCTAATATATATTTATTTTTATTATTTTACTTTTCAATTAATTTACTCAATAAAGGAGTTTATTAGTGTTCCCAACCAACAAAAAATTGAATTGAATGTCTATATAATACTGTCCAAACTTTTTCATCATCCAAATAATATTATTGTGAAACTTAAGTAAATGATCTGAAATTGTAAATATCCAAATATCTTGCATTATCCAAAATTACTCTATAAGCTCTATCAAAACTTTCCCAATTCTTTTTAACTTCATTTGGATGATGTATATTCAATTATTTAATGGCTTTCCAAAGTTTGAAATCTTATGTGTAAATAAAGGAATCATTATTTAGTATACTCAAAATAAAATCTAAATCTGTAGATTCATATTTCTCATTTTTATATTAATAATTACTAATTTATTTGGGGGATTGTTTTATTATGTTTCTTAATACTTTGTATGATCATAATATAAATGAGCATTAGGAATACCATCTGGTATTGAAGGTTTCCTAAGCATTTTAGTTTCTCCTTTTGGTTTTGATATTCCAAGTCTTGTATATCTAGGATCTTTAAGCAAACTAGGAATTGTTGATCGATGGGAATATTTTGAAAAGCCTTAAATAATTTTCTTAAACATATATATTTATTTTAATTATAATCAAACTTTTGTAAAATTATTTTAAAGTTTTTCAAAAAAATATAATTCAAGTTTTACATTTATATACTTATATGTCCTCTTAATTATTTTTTTATTTGTCTTTCAAGTATTCCTAAGTATTTAAGTATTTATTATACAATAGATAACATATAATATGCTGTTTTTTGTTAAATGAACTAAAAATATTGTGTCGATAGCAAAACTATTTATGAAATATATAATTATATATGTTAGTGAAGGTAATTTAAATTTTAAATAGATTTTAGTTAATAATTTTTTTGGTTGGTAATAGAGAGAATAATAAATATTTTATCTAAATATAAACATTTATAAAAATCTTTTTATTTAACTAAATTATTGGAAGATGTCTGGTAAATCATAAAAGTTTATAATAAGAGGAATCATAATATTCAGAACATCCAGGAGGTTGGATAGAATGGTTTTGTGCACATGAGGATCATTAATTTTTATGTGAAGTTGATGATGATTTTATTCGGGATCCTTTCAATTAAATTGGAATCAAAGGGAAATTTAATTTCTTTAAGTATTGATGTCATTATAATATCTAGTGAAGCTCTCAACATGATTTTATAGCCTACTTCTCCAGAAGATTAAGACTTAGAAGATGAAAGGTTTTCTTATATTACATCAAAAAAGATTTTTAGAAGTATATTAGGAGGCATCTGACATTTATGGTTTATTTCATGCTAGATTCATATTTACATCCAAAGGTTCAGCAATCATGCGTGAAAGATTTTTATAAGGAAAATTTGGTCATTGTCCTCGTATTTATTGTGAAAAACAGAATGTGATACCTATTGGACTTTGTGAAGATCTTAAAACTGCTAGAATTAAAGTTTTTATTATAAAATTATTTAGGTTTTTTGCCCAAGATGTGAAGAAGTTTACATGCCAAAAAAGAAATGTGCTGATATAGATGGAGCTTATTTTGGAAAATCATTTCCTCAATTCTTGTTAATGGTTAATCAATTTTATAATTTAATTAGACCTATCCAGATCTTCATCCAAAATTTTAATTATTACCAGATACTTAAATCTTAGTTGATTTTGAACCAACTTTGTTTGGATTCAAAATAGCAGGTAAATAAGGTAGCAAAATTAAAAGATTTGAATAATCATTTTAATGCAATCACGTTAACACATAACCCATCATATAACCTATTGAATAAAACATAATATAGTAAGAACAAAAGTAATATAGAATATAAATATAATAATAATAACAATAACTAACTTAATAACAAAATCAATAATAAACAGATTAAAATAAGGAACTAATACAAAAGAAAAAGAACAAAAAAAAACATAAATAATGAATTTAGATCAATTTGGGTTATATATATATATTATTTATTTAATTTTATTAATAATTGAGTCTATTAATTATTAAATATTCTATCTAAAGCAATTCAATTTGTTTTAATAAATAGATTTATTTTTAATTCTAAATTATTGGATTTAATTCTACAAAATCATATAATCATGACATTTATACAATTATCATAATTCTTAATGTTTATGAAAATTTCATATAATCATTAAAATATATGTATTTAAGGTTCTAAATCATGACTTTAGAAGAATCATAAAATTTTATAGAAGATTTTCTCAATTTTCATCTAAAAACGATGATGATATCGAAATTAAAAGAGTAAACACTTTGAAAACTCAAAAATTAATGATATCAAAAGAACATTTTGATTAAGATAAGATAAGATTAACATAATTGGTAATGATTTAGTAACACTTATTAGATTATGATAAGAAAAGACAAATTACTTGAAATTTGCTGAAGAATAAGAGTATATAAAAAATACTAATTTAATTTTATCAAAAACAATACCCATTCTTTACTAAGTATATTTATTAATAAATTAGAAATAAATCTCTATTAGAAAAAATATTTATAAACAATAGATATCTTTCTAATTGAAGATTTAAAATTGTAATTTGAGAAATTAAGTCCTATGATTATTTTTTGAGAAATAAATAGCTTTCATCTGATTAAGAAAAATCAAAAAATGTAATTTTAAAAGTTACTATTTGATCTATCGAAAAGAATTATAACCAAATAAATTAAAGTGTGCTACATAATAATGTTTTATTAAGCTTTATTTATTAGAAAAAGTAAATATTAAAACCGGAAAATAATTGTTAATCTAATTCATAACTAAATACGTAAATAAGATTTATATATTTGATAATTGTCAAAATGTATTTCGTAAGCAATTAGCATGAAATATTGATTTCTAAACTCATTTGACATTAGCAAAAATCATTAATAATACTTAAAAATGTAAATCAAGGTCAGCCTCATCTTCCACATAGACAAACAATTGCTAATAAATTCTCAATATAATTTGAATAGTGCAGTTTAAGAATCTGAGGGATATTCTTGTGCAATAGCAGCAGCAAAGCTAATAATTAAGTAATTTGGATCAATAGATATAACAAAAACAAGTTTAAATAGACATAACTTTGAGAATATAGTAAATTGGGATGCTTACAAATAAGCTTAAGACAGTTAGAATTATATTAGAGTATATTTCTTTCTTTAATTTTAGGAACTAGAAATATACAGAAATCCATACTTTTACCTTTGGACTCGATACTTTACAACTTCACCAATATGGGAGATAGATAATCATACATATTATATAATTGAATTAGCAGATGATGATTTGAATTTCTTTTAGTTTAATAATTGAAGAGAATTGAATAAAAAATATGAAATTGAATAAGTTATATTAGAGGGAGAGCACTTAAAATATAATCGAACCATCATATTTCTATGTGTCAAAGATTTTGATTAAGGTAGATATCAAGCTCCTAAAATATATATTGATACTGTTGGTTTATTCAATGGAATATATAGAAGAAAACAAGAAAGGTGGTTATGGTAATGTTGAATAATTAAAGAGTTTTAAAATATCCTTAGAAATAATATTTGCAAAGATTTAATAAAATTGATATATTTTTTTTAGAAGATTTATCTAAACAATGTTACTTAAGGAAGTTATCCTAATGAGGAAACTCTTAATTAAACAAATGTAATAATCATACCAGGCAGTACAAGTTCTGTTTATGATGAAAAAGTATGGATTCGTAGTTTGTAGAATTTTATTTTGAAAGTTTATTAAAATTATACTCAAGTCAATATAATGGGTATTTGCTTTGGATTTTAATTGCTTGCTTAAGCATTTGGAGGATGTGTTGTACCCTGCTAAAACAGAATCAAACATAAGGGGTTTTATTATTATGAAAATGAATCAATCAAAATTGAGAAGGATCTTTTTAAGATTGGATGCTTCAAAGAATTAACATAGATTGATAATATTATAATTAATAAAGCTCATGGTGATATAGTTACTTAATAACCTTAGGGATTTATTAATTTAAATAGGATCATCTAAAACAGCTTAAAACGAAATATTCTATTCTGAAGATTAAAGAATATTTGGAATGTAATCTCATCCAGAATACTCATCTCAATAAATTTTATTATTTATCAGTGGAATTTAATCAACTTAAGAAAATAAGAGTTTTGAATATTACTACAATGATGCTGATAATAAGAACTTCGTTAAAGAAAAGGGTGATTTGTTAGGATTGTTGATTTGTCACTAATTTTTATAATCTTGAATATTTANCAAAGCTAATAATTAAGTAATTTGGATCAATAGATATAACAAAAACAAGTTTAAATAGACATAACTTTGAGAATATAGTAAATTGGGATGCTTACAAATAAGCTTAAGACAGTTAGAATTATATTAGAGTATATTTCTTTCTTTAATTTTAGGAACTAGAAATATACAGAAATCCATACTTTTACCTTTGGACTCGATACTTTACAACTTCACCAATATGGGAGATAGATAATCATACATATTATATAATTGAATTAGCAGATGATGATTTGAATTTCTTTTAGTTTAATAATTGAAGAGAATTGAATAAAAAATATGAAATTGAATAAGTTATATTAGAGGGAGAGCACTTAAAATATAATCGAACCATCATATTTCTATGTGTCAAAGATTTTGATTAAGGTAGATATCAAGCTCCTAAAATATATATTGATACTGTTGGTTTATTCAATGGAATATATAGAAGAAAACAAGAAAGGTGGTTATGGTAATGTTGAATAATTAAAGAGTTTTAAAATATCCTTAGAAATAATATTTGCAAAGATTTAATAAAATTGATATATTTTTTTTAGAAGATTTATCTAAACAATGTTACTTAAGGAAGTTATCCTAATGAGGAAACTCTTAATTAAACAAATGTAATAATCATACCAGGCAGTACAAGTTCTGTTTATGATGAAAAAGTATGGATTCGTAGTTTGTAGAATTTTATTTTGAAAGTTTATTAAAATTATACTCAAGTCAATATAATGGGTATTTGCTTTGGATTTTAATTGCTTGCTTAAGCATTTGGAGGATGTGTTGTACCCTGCTAAAACAGAATCAAACATAAGGGGTTTTATTATTATGAAAATGAATCAATCAAAATTGAGAAGGATCTTTTTAAGATTGGATGCTTCAAAGAATTAACATAGATTGATAATATTATAATTAATAAAGCTCATGGTGATATAGTTACTTAATAACCTTAGGGATTTATTAATTTAAATAGGATCATCTAAAACAGCTTAAAACGAAATATTCTATTCTGAAGATTAAAGAATATTTGGAATGTAATCTCATCCAGAATACTCATCTCAATAAATTTTATTATTTATCAGTGGAATTTAATCAACTTAAGAAAATAAGAGTTTTGAATATTACTACAATGATGCTGATAATAAGAACTTCGTTAAAGAAAAGGGTGATTTGTTAGGATTGTTGATTTGTCACTAATTTTTATAATCTTGAATATTTATCTTTTATTCAATTAACAATATATTTTAATAGATATTTAATTAAGAATATTTAAAAATTCGATAAAAGTTATTTAATTATTCAAGAATTAAACACAAAAAAGAACAATAACATTAATCAAAAACTATTGCAAGGACAACATTCATCAATATCTTCCTAGGGTTCTTTATAAAAGTACTTAATTTGTTAAAGAGATTATCCAGCGATTTGATCTCGAAATGAAATTTTGTGAATTTTCTAACCTTTGAGAATTGAATTTTTGAACATATCTTATCTTTTAGCTTACTTATAAATTCTTTCTGTTTCAGGATTAATATCAGTTTAATCTCCATCAGCTTTAATCAGATTCTGCAACTTGGGTTCAAATGAATGAACAATTATATTAATTTTAGGCAATGACAATTCATGTATGCAAGTCTTTTTAGTTGAGGAATGAAAAGCACTAAGATCATTGATATCTAATTTTGTATTCTTAGTGCTTTAAATATCAATATTTTGCATTATTTTTATTTCTCATTTGAAATAATTTAAAAAATTGTCATTTTAGCATTATCATGATAATGAATGAGAGCTAATTAATGAAGCAAATAAAATTATGAATAAAATCATAAATAGTAGGGCATAATTAGAGAAAATATATAAGTGCCAGACATCAAAATTCCTTTTGCATTTAGTTTGTTTATTGAAAGATAGATTAAGGATATTCAATTCTATTTTTATTGACGATTTGAGTTTCAATTTATTGAAATAAGTTTTTTAATATGTAGCCTAAGTAGTTGCTCTAATATTTAGAAAATCTGGTTATATAAATTAATTCTAATATACTTTACATCTAGGTGGATTAGAACAAGTTTTGAATCCTAGAAATGAAATAATAAATCTTACTTATTATCAATAATCTACCCTTTTGAATTTAAATAATAGAATTTGATATTGATATGAATAGAATGGATAATTATTTTAGCATATGAAGAAGTAAAATGAATTAGATACTAAAATACGGCCATTTTAAGATTCTCAAGTTTGTCTACTAGTATAACGGTTGTGGAAATTATTAAATTTTGAATAATTTTAAGGAATTCAATTATAAATAGGATAAGTGACAGAATTATTAATAAAAATATTATAGAGGTTTAAGAATGTCTAAATATTTTGACTTAATAATATACATCATAAATCTGATTTTTGAGGATTCAATTTAGGTAAATTAGAGAATGATTGTCCAGTTTCAGTTTTCTTAATGACTCCCTTAACAAATTCATTCAAATTATCGACTGTCAATTATCTTCTAAATCTATAGTGTTTTCTAGCACTCAAATCTAAGACAACAACTTATGGATATCTTAAGAAATATAAAGAGTATAATACCCTTCACCAATAACATTGAGTTCAGCTTCGAAATCATCGAATTATTCTCCAACAAACCAACCAACATTAGCTCTTCCAGTAAGTGATAAGGCAGTCTAGAATAATATAAGAATGATACCTTCTTCAAGATTGCAACAGCATCTTCTTATTCTACTTTATCAGATGGTAAGAATCCTAAGACACAAAGTTCTTAAATAATGGAAAAAATTAATACATTTACAAAGTTCATTCAATCTTTCATCAGAATTGATTTGAACAACATCAGATCCTGATTTTTAAGATTGTCCATCAACTGGCTTCTATTCTTTAATGTATTTTAATAATGCAGCAGCATTTCTTTCTCCTTCATACTTTCTATGAGTATCCTATTTATTTCCAGCAGGGAAGAAATAAATAGTTGGATATGATTCAATATTGAATCTCTTTGCTAATTCAGTTTAAGCAGTTGCATCAACTTTAGCAATAGGGATATCAGCTTAATGAGATAACTTATTCCATTCAGGTTACAATTATTTACAATGACCACACCAAGGAGCATAAAATTCAACAAACCAAGCTTCTTAGCTATTCAACACTTATTCATTGAAGTTTCCATCTGTCAATACGACGACTTTTGAATCATCATTTGATGGTTCTGGCTTTACCTCTACACCTAATCTATTTAATGCAAATTCTCTTGCTTTATCTAATAAGTAATCAACTATTCCATTCTTTTTTCTTTCACCTTCATATGCTATTGGATCTCCTTTATTAACTCCGAAATATTTTATTGTTGGATATCCATTTACTCCATATGGTTATCCTGCTTCACCATCTGTTGTCATATCTAATGCTCCAATATGAACTATTCCATCTAAAGCTTTTGCTGCCTTATTATATTCAGGAGCCAATGCTTTACAATGTCCACACCATGGTGCATAAAATTCAACCATCCATGGCTCATTCGATTCTAATACTAATGTTTTGAAGTTCTCTTTTGTCAACTTTACTACCTTTGAATCTGCTTCATACAGACCAAAACATTCAGTTGCCACTAAACATAATATTAGTACACTGCATATCCCTTTCATACACATTTTAATTTTAATATTAGTGATGTGTTCGAAATATTCTAGAATTTATAATCAGAATACTTTTAATTTTTATTATTCATATTCTCTAATTATTTTTATGTTTTTATCATTATTTATTTATTCTTTTAACTAATGGATCCAGCTGAAAAGAGAATGAAAGATATCAAAGAAGCCTTTGATTAATTTGATACAGATAATAAGGGAACCATCTCGACCAAAGAATTAGGTACTATTTATTATAAGTTACCTTTTTTAGCTAACATTCTCAAATATTTAGGATAGGACCCAACTGATGAAGAATTAGACAACTACATGAAAGAATTAGATCCTGAATCTGCAGGAACAATAGATTTCATGTCCATGATGAAAGTATTAACAAAAGCAGTCAAAGATGATGATACAATTGATGAATTAATGGCAGTATATACTTTAAATTAAATGAACTTTATTAGTCATTTCGCGTTTTCGATGTAGATAACACAGGAACAATTCCAACTGCTGAGATGAGATATATTTTAATGGAAATGGGAGAAAAGATGACTGCTTAGGATGTTAAGGATATTTTAAAGGAAATGGATCCAGATGATAATGGTATGTGTAAATATGTGGATTATGTAAAAAAAAAGTATGAAGATCTACAAGTAGCCAAAGCTAAAGCTGCAAAATTGAAAGCTAAGAAAAAGAAGAAATGAAAGTTTAATTTTTAGTTAATTATTTATTTTTTATTTCTTGATGAAGTTAATACTAATTGGAGATTAGTTAAGTATATTTTTAGGGAAATAAATAAAAAGAAATAATGAAAATATATGATTTCTTCCTAAAATTTATCAGATTAGGTAATATTTTTGTAGATTCAATTAGTAAGATGATCAATTTTCAAAATTGGAAAAAGCAATAATGATTGAAAATTAATTTAATAGATGATTGAGTTATTCAATTATGAGAACTTACTAAATAATAAATATTTAGTAAGAAAATTAGAAACAGATCTTTAAAAACCAGATCATTTTTGTCATAATTCATAGTAGTTTAAAGGGAGAATTTTATAAAGAAATAATATGTGCAAAATTAATAGAATGACAAAAAGCAATATCATTTGATCTCAATAGCTGTAGAATAATGATGTAATAGATAGATGAAGATACTTAAAAAGTACAATAATTAATTATAAAACTTTTATCACATGAATTTATTAATAATGCCTCATTTCTGTAGTGAAAGAAAGAGAATTTAATTAAGATGTATATTTTCAAATATTGGAAAAATAAAGGAATCTCTTAGATTTGAAGAATCGAATAAAGAATAAATAATTAAAGTTTGAGAAAGAAATATATTAGGAAGATAAAGCGAATAAAATGCAGATGAAAAGTTTACTTATTTGATGACTAATATAAATTAAAATAGAATCTATAATGATGCAAAGTGTTGACTATTTAGATGCATTTCAAAAGTAATTAAATTCAAAGAATATTTAAATGATACGTAATAAGAAGTCATATCAAAATAATGATTAGGAAGAGGATATAGATAATATAAAAATTCTGGTTTTTCGAAAGGCTAAGAACAATAACACAGTGGCTAGCAGGAGATAAAGGATAATGTTGAAAGTAATGATTTATAGAGGAAAGGGAAGATAAGATAGAAAATAGGGGAATAATTATAAGAATAGATGGAACGATGTATTAGCTAAATTTATAAATAGTAATACTTGTAAAAAGGAGAATAATAATAGTAATATTAATTGGTTCCAAAAAGTGTTGGATAGAAAACTCCAACACTAATGATTAAAGAGAATTCAATGAATTAAAATAATTTTCCAAGTTTAGATACATTAAAGAAATGAGTAAATATGAATAAATAAAGAGATTCATAAATTATTTATTTTAATATACTTATATTAATATATTCTCATGCTCCAATAGCTAATTTTGATCTGGCAGCTTGCTTTCTTGATTAACGAGCAACAACCTTATTATTAGTTTCTTTTTTAACATTTTCATCTCTTTCTGCAGCCCAAATTTCAATATGAGCATTTGAGGATAAGAAAGCTTGAAAATTTAAATATTTAATTTACGATTGATTCTTCCATGAGCTCTATATGTTCGACGTCTACCCTTTTAAGCTCTATTAACTTAGACATGATTGATGATCAATTTTTCATTACTCAAGTTTTTGACTTAGGCATTAGCTGCTAAGTTTTATAAGAGAGATAACACAATTCTAACACTCTTTTCTGGCCATCTACCTAAGAATCAAATAGTAAATATTTAAATACCTTGAGATCTGCCAAATTCTTTAGCTTAACCTGTTCTTCCTACTCCACCATTAAATCTAGTAAAAGGAACACATCTTTTATGTTAAAGAACATCTTGCATATATTTAAGAGCTTAAGCAAGTGTTTAACCTTTGATTGCTCTTGCTACTTCATATGTATTCTTGAAATGAGTTCTCAAATCACTTGCTTTGGCTTTAGCTGATTTTTTTGCAACAGCTGGCTCTCTTGCATATTGTTTACCCATTAAATTATATCCTTTTTAATTAATTTGATTTTTTTTTCAAATTTTATTCGCAATAATAGGATTATGTTTTTATTGTATATTTATTTAGATATAGGCACATATATCAATTATTTACTACTGCATATCTGACTCTATATCCTCCTCCAAACTGTTCAATATTTGTAGATTCAAATAATTCTCTAGGTTGACTTTTGAATAAGAATCCTAAATTTCTTTTTTGTTGAGGAATAACATATTCATTTGAGGTGTAGAAATTTTTATCTATTAAAATAGCTGTAACATAATACCAGTCAGAATAGCAAAGCTATTATTTGATGCTGAGAACTTAAGAATCTTTTCATCTTTAGGTAGATCAATTGGTCTAGGTACATATGTCTCATCATAACCTGATAAATATATTCTATTCTAATCAGTTAAGAAAAGAGAAAGATTATATCCTAAATCAAAATCTACAACCTTCTCATTAGGTTAGAAGTATTTCGTGTTTACTGGAGTAGGCGAATAGTTTTCCTATTTCATTATGATTAAATTATACTAAATCAGTGACAACATATTCTTGTTATCTGACACCCAAAGAACCGTAATAACTTCTTCCCCATCCTACTACAATTCCATCATCTATAAATAAATATAATTAATAATTACTTAATAATGCCAATGTACCAGCAAAACATGATTTAATCTTTTAGATTGTATAACCTGACTTAGTCAATTATTCAAATATTGGATTCAATTCTGGGTATCTGAAATTCAATCTACATCCATTACCAAGTTCTCCTCTTTTACCAGCTCCCCATACATATACTTGATTGTTTTCATTAACTACAATGGAGTAGTTTATGCCAGCACTAACAAATTTACCTTTTGAAGTTCCAACCAATTTCTCTACACATTATGGTTATAAAAGATTGTTCTAATAATTATCACCTAATCCATTTGGTTTACATAATAATTAATCTAAGAATGAATTGTTTGCACCTCCCCATGTATAAACATGGCCATCAGCTGTCATATTATTTATTATTTCTTACAAGCCAATGCTACTCCATGATTTGATCCCAATGCCACATCTAATACCTTTAATCCTTTATCTCTAAAGTATTTCACAAGTTATGGGGTTTAATGTTCTTAAGTGTTACCCAATCCCAATTAACCATATTTATTGTTACCAAATGTATACAAATCACCATTATCTTATCATTTATTATATATCAATACCTGTTATCACAGCTGTGAAGAATTCACTTGGATATACCTTTTAAACATTTCCATTAAAAGCATCAATTCTCCTTGGTCTCAATTAGTCTCTCTATGAATCTTAATTTATTCCACATCCCAAACTGTGAACACCCCATGTATACAAATTACCTGCTTTGTATAATGGTCTTGTCCATAATGATTTAAAAACACCACTATGTGTTAAGCAATTCATTAAAATTATTATTATAAGATCTAATTCTCACTATTATATATAAATATATATATCATCCTTCTCTCCTCTATTCTTATAATCCACATATATCCTATCAGTATTATATTCTCTCAAGATATATTTTTAGTTTATATGAATTTTTTTCATCATCAACTCATTTACAACTCATATTTATTTTTCCCACTAAATGCATCCTATATAAATCTTTTTTAACCATTTTCTATTTAAATAATCCATGTTAACAAATATTCTCTCATAGTATCTACCTTACATTGAAACAACTCAAATTCAAAATTCAATATACCTTTACTAACTAGATATATGATTTGAAATATCACGANTAATTACTTAATAATGCCAATGTACCAGCAAAACATGATTTAATCTTTTAGATTGTATAACCTGACTTAGTCAATTATTCAAATATTGGATTCAATTCTGGGTATCTGAAATTCAATCTACATCCATTACCAAGTTCTCCTCTTTTACCAGCTCCCCATACATATACTTGATTGTTTTCATTAACTACAATGGAGTAGTTTATGCCAGCACTAACAAATTTACCTTTTGAAGTTCCAACCAATTTCTCTACACATTATGGTTATAAAAGATTGTTCTAATAATTATCACCTAATCCATTTGGTTTACATAATAATTAATCTAAGAATGAATTGTTTGCACCTCCCCATGTATAAACATGGCCATCAGCTGTCATATTATTTATTATTTCTTACAAGCCAATGCTACTCCATGATTTGATCCCAATGCCACATCTAATACCTTTAATCCTTTATCTCTAAAGTATTTCACAAGTTATGGGGTTTAATGTTCTTAAGTGTTACCCAATCCCAATTAACCATATTTATTGTTACCAAATGTATACAAATCACCATTATCTTATCATTTATTATATATCAATACCTGTTATCACAGCTGTGAAGAATTCACTTGGATATACCTTTTAAACATTTCCATTAAAAGCATCAATTCTCCTTGGTCTCAATTAGTCTCTCTATGAATCTTAATTTATTCCACATCCCAAACTGTGAACACCCCATGTATACAAATTACCTGCTTTGTATAATGGTCTTGTCCATAATGATTTAAAAACACCACTATGTGTTAAGCAATTCATTAAAATTATTATTATAAGATCTAATTCTCACTATTATATATAAATATATATATCATCCTTCTCTCCTCTATTCTTATAATCCACATATATCCTATCAGTATTATATTCTCTCAAGATATATTTTTAGTTTATATGAATTTTTTTCATCATCAACTCATTTACAACTCATATTTATTTTTCCCACTAAATGCATCCTATATAAATCTTTTTTAACCATTTTCTATTTAAATAATCCATGTTAACAAATATTCTCTCATAGTATCTACCTTACATTGAAACAACTCAAATTCAAAATTCAATATACCTTTACTAACTAGATATATGATTTGAAATATCACGATTTTATTTTAACTAAAACATTTTCTTATTGCTTTTAAAATATTCTTTTTTTTATTAAATTCGCTAAATTTTCTCATTATTTTTTTCCTTTTAATAAACTTCATTTCTTGCAAGTTATTCTTACGAATAAAATAATTTAAAATTTGAGGTTTTAAAATATTGCTTATATTTAAAGTAAATTAAATTAGTTCTCCATTTAAATCACAGTTATTATAAGAAAATATTTTTTGTTTTCTCTCACTATTTACTTTAATTATTAAAGGATTCCAAATTTTAAGCAGATTTGAAAGAATATATATGAAAGTTTCTTTTACAATCTTAAGGCATCTAAAATATTCATTATCATTTTGATTAGTTATAATAAATTAAAATTAAAATCTGTTTAAAGAAATCATAACAATCAATAAATATTTTTGCTCAAAATATTGCAGGCTTATTGTACATATTCTCTTTGATAGTATCGCTTAATAATTAAAATGAAAAATATTAATTTTAATATGAGTGATAAAATTGCAAAAGCAGAGGAGAACATTTAAGAAAAAATAAATAAATTATATCTACCATCTGTTTATTCTATCATAAATGAGAAAGGGGAATCTAATAGAAAAGCTTTATTGAATAGAACTAATAGGTGTAAGTCTTAGTTTGCTATTGAAAAATATAATGCAACATTGACTAATTAATCTTAGAATAACGTTAACATAAGCAACTAAGTTACCCAACTTAATCAGACTAAAGAAAATTATTCAGTTTGTCAATCAAGTTAAATCAATAAAACTTCAGATTAAAGTGAATTAAATATAAATGAGATTATCAATATCAATTAATTAATCAATTAAAAGAAGGAAGAGATTGCCAGATAAAATAAGTATTATCTAAAATAGATCAGTAAAATTAGACGTAAATTTAATTTAATTTTAGAGAATTACGAAATGAAAGCAAAAATTAGAGATTAATTGAGTTAGCAAAGAAAAGCAACTGATAAATCTGCAGAGTTATATGAAAAGTGTTGGGATGAAACAATCAAAGAAATTAATTAAGAAATAGAAGAGAATCAGTTACTAGTTAATGATAAAATCAATTAAGGAAAGTAAAAAAAAAGAATACGACCAAAGCCTTTAAATAGTTAAGTATAATTATTTGTAAACTTAGATTTTTACAAAAATCAGAGAATAAGAAGATCAGTTTTTTCGATAACGTTCTGAATCTATTTTGAAGAAATTGAAACAAAAGTCAATTCATCTTGTAGGTGAAGTAACTGAATAGATTGAATAAGCATAAAAAATTTAAAAAGAATAATAGTATTAGAGATCAAAAGAAAGAGAAGATAGTAAACAAGAGATAATCAAATCATTAAGATTTAAAGAGTAAGAAAAATTAGTTAAATTACTTTAATCAAGGCCTACAAATAGATATCCTTAATTATCATAAAAATAGAGCGAAGAATAAGATGATCAATTAAGTACTTTTAAAAAATACAAAAAGAAAAGGTCAATAAGTTTGAATAATTGTTTGCCATAAATTGATAAACATTAAGAAGTAGAAATAAATTCAATAAAACAATAAGAAAGGACCTTGATATTTAAGAAAATATAAGAATGCAGCAATTTATTAAAAAGCAATAAATTATAAAATAAGAACTTACTCAAAAAAACACGAAATTTTTAGAAATAATAATGACAAGATTAAAGAACTATTATTGAATGATAATGAAATCTTTATATACTCTTTTAATTATTTAATAATTTTATTCAATTAAGAATTAAATATGAGTTAATCCTAAAATGCACAAATATCTTCATCTCCAAAGAAAAAGCAGCATTAATATTTTCCTGCCATAAGTGTAAAAACTGCAGAATCTCCTTAAAAAGGATCAGTTATACAATCAAATTATCTTTTTTCATAGCACCTTCAAAATAAAATCAATAACAGAAAAGTGAGAAGAAACATGGAAAGCTAGTTAGAAAAGTCATACACAATAAGAAAATATCTTCAAGTGAATTCTTCAGCGTAGAATGATTCAAATATGTCCTAATCAAAAATTTTACAGAATATTTCTGCAACTCATTATAAAGAAACAAGTATGGAAACTAAATAATCTTTTTCCCCTTTGAGGTAACTAAATAAATTTGAAGGGACTTTGCATATAAAAAGTATAATAATTCCTCCATAACTAATTAGAAATTTTAGATATTAATTTTACGTAACCAGACATTAGTAAGAAATAATAATCATAGAGTTCTATTCATAATTAATGTATTCTAGAATTAGACTAAGAAAATGATGATGGAGATAAAAATAAAACTTTAGGAGTTTAAGAATAATTAATAATGTCTCCAATTTAATAAACTAACTTTAAAGAAACTTCAAATAAAACGGAATCTAAGTCTAAGTCTTAAAGTAAGCAGAATGTAAATACTTAATATAATTTAAGATTGTTTTAAAAATAAATCAATAAAATAAAGAATATAAAAAGTATGCTTCTCAAATGATTCGATTGATAAGGAGCACTTAATAGGCTTTATTGAAAGAGTTCGATTAAGAACAATTAGAATTGGTTTCTGATTCCAAATTGAAAAAAATTCAAAGATAAAGGGAAAGAAAATAGGCTTTGTAGACTGCATAAGAAGGAAACAAGAATAGGCAATTAAAATCTATGTTGATTGCATTAAAAGGATAATAAGATAAAGTTATATCAGAATGTCCGTTATTTTAAAATTTAGGAAAGATAAACTTATAGAATAGTAAAACAGCAATATAAAGTAGAAAATCATCACATTAAAAAATTTATTAGTAATTACCTTTAGATAAATAATTTAATGATATAAACTTTCATAAATATTCAACAAAGTCAGAGATGTGCAGCTTAGAAACATCTTTAGAATTACCATTGTAAATATAAAAGTTATTTTGATATTTATTATGTGTATTTATTTGTAATGCAAAACTCACTTGCATCACCGAAATTTATAGAAATAATAATATTAATATATAAATGTCAGGGGAGTTACCTAAAATAGTAAACAAGAGTTTGTTTATTACTTATGTTGAGAAGAAGAATGCTGAAGAGGAGGCTTTGAAAATAAAAAATAGAATTGATCAAATAAGATAAGAACGAGAAAAAATACTTAAGAAAATCTAATTAGAAGATCAAAAGGCAGAACAAATCTACAAACACAGATTAGACTTATAGATTAAAGTATGAGTTTTATAATTATTTCTTATTTTAGAAATAAGAGAAAATAAGATAAAAAGTTGAAGCTCCAACGCCCTTCTCTTTGAGTGTTTCAAGAGCATAAAGAGAGACATTAAAAAAAATAAAGTCTGAGATGCTTTTTAGAAAAAAAACTGAAGTTAAAGAATTTAGAGATTGGCATAAACATGATCTCTAAGAAACAAGATTTTAGAGAAGTATGGATCATGAGACCTTTAGGAATAAGGTTATAAAAGGTAAATTGGAAGAAAAGCAAGCTAACTAAAATACATTAAGTAAATTGAAAGATAGAAGAGATAAGATACGATATGAAGTAGAAATAGAAAAAGATAAAATTGTAAAAGAAAAAATTGATTATGATTAAAAAATAAGAGATTTAGAATAACTTGAATAGCTCGAACTATCAAATTTGCAGTTAACAATTCAGAGATAAAATTAAACAAAAGAAAAGGTCAATTTAGCTCAAAGTCTTCCTCCGAAAGAATTTGAGGCTAAATTTGTAAATGGATAAGCAAAAAATTAACAATATCAAGAAAGTTCATGATAATATCATTTCTATTATAAATCCATTAAATCATTATTAATGAATATCTAATCGATTATAATTTTGTAACTTATTCAACAAAATAATAAGTTTTATAGAATTATAAGAGATTTAGCTTTTTATAAAGTAATTTGGATTTTGAGAATAATAGTTCTTATATAAGATTAATATTTAAAATTGAATACTTAATCAATTCAATTCAAAACTTGATATTATAATTCATTCCATTTAGTTCCATCAAAACATAATATTGCTCTGTTGTATTCGTCGATTTGGTTATAATCCATCTCAATGTTTTGTAAAACATAGAGTTTACGATCATGAATAATAACCTAAAACTAGAGAATAATTTATACTTAATTATTCCAAAATCTTTCTGCATTTAATAAGGGTTTAGAATCGACTTAATGAATTTGATGTTGATCTCTGTCCACATGTAAAAGGAATGAAAATTAGACACCTTTATCTTGGTTATCATAACCACCAAAGACAAATATGTTAGTTTTATTAATTTAAACACAAGCAGAGCATTAGTAGATATTATGAAATTTAGAGGATTCTAATGGATTATTTTTTAGCATGATAGTATCCCATTTGTCTGTCTATGTATCATATCTTTCAATAATGAATAGAATCTAGCCATTTTCATCATTTCCACCAAACTTATATATATATCTGTTATTAAAAGAACAACAAGCAGGGGAATTGGCTGGTTTATTGCAAGGAGAACAAAGTTCCATCTTTTATGTCTTAATGTTGTATCTCTCTAAACTCAAAGTCATTTTTTTAAATTCTTGATAGCCACATAAAATGTAAATTGATTAGTTGCAATATACCATGGAATGAGAAGATCTTGGATAAGTTAATTTTCCTATCTGTTGTACTTTACCACCTAAAGTATATCTTCTGATGATTGATTCTTTTGTGTTTTCCTTCTAACCAATCAGTCCCCCAGAAATGTAAATATCACCATTTGGAGTAACGATAGATTTATGAAACTCTGGAGCTTCATATTCAAATTAATATGTCAACCATTACTAAGTTTCTAAATTAAAGACATTAAGTCTGTTAGTTCTATTTACTATAAAATGCAAGAATTTCTGATGACCCTCAAAATAATTAGGAATAGTAATGGAAAAGTCATTATTTGTCATTGTTCCATAAAGAGGATCATCCATATCCCCAGCATTGCTTAATTACTATTTACTCTATTTCTACTAAAAGTGAATAGCTTCATTTTATGTATTTGCCATTTACTGGTTATATGGAGTTTGTAAACTCTAATTAATGCTTTAGTCCTTATTTTTAGAAACTATAGAATTATTGTCACCTGCATCTTCATAATCATTTGATTGAATTTTAACAATTTTACTTAATTCATTTTTGAGATTAAATAGTTTATGTTCATCAATATAAATATTTATTGGATCTAAAAATCCAAATAACACTTTTACCTAGTTCTTTAGATTTAATCGATTTCTTTAAATCAGATTTATAACGATCAAGTAATGATTTAACATCTAATCTACATGCTTTATGAAAATATGACAAAGGATCCGGACTGTTTAAAAGACTATCTCTTAAGAATTCCAATTATTCAATGACTGCCTATATTTTTTGAAATATTCCTCCAATATTCTTAACCTTAAACTTTGATTATAAATATACTTTTAATTAATTTTCCTTAACTTTAGTTTAGAGAAGGTATTCTTATTGCTAAAAAAATATATTTATGATTTCGAACATCTATTCTTTTGCATCTTTCATTCTAGAGATTTCTTAGTTAAGTATTTCATCTGAATTGAAAATATATTGAATATCATATTATTCATATTCCTAACTTATCAACAATAAGTTTTACTTTTTATAATGATTCAATTGCTTTTGCAATTTTTCTTTCACAATTAGTTCTTGTATTAAGAATACTTTAAATGGCAGCTGGTGTTTTGATCTACTAATGATATGAGTAATGATCATAGATGCATTCTGGACACAAAGGTCTTAAACAGTCAATACATGCACAGTAATTAATTATTTATGCTCTATGTTCTCCAAAACTGCATTATTAATTGTAATAAGTTTAATTTGCCGACATCTGTTAGTTATTTATTTTTATGATATATTTTAAAATTATATATAAAGAACTTAGAATTCAGATATAAGGATTCTAATTAAGAGTTTCCTAGCTAGTTGTTTGATACATTAAGTTTCCTGATTATTGATACCATCTCTTTTTCTTCTGGATGTGACCCCTTTTCTCCATATTAAAAAATCGAGTGTTTAAGTAAATCTTTATATATTGCTCTAAAACTTCAAAAAATTTGTAGGCACCATTTTCTAAAATGCTTTATCGAAATATATATCTCCTTTGTAATCCATATTGAAAATAGACTTAACTATTTCTAATGGCTTTGAGGTAGTTTTATAAAAAAACGATTTGTTTTAAATTTGAATTTATCTGTTCTTTTATATTTTACTGTTGCTACTTCAGAATGAGTAATAATTTGGCTTCTTCCTTTTTGTATTCTTGTAATATAATTGAGTTAACAGTAAATTTAATAATTTATTTTTTGTTATCTAATCTTTAGAGAGGCTATTACTAATTTTGTAATGCATTTCATTTCAAAATTTGATTACTTCCTTTAATTAAACATTATTAGCTTATCTCATATATAGTTTTGGATTTTTAGATTTAAAGTCTTTATTTGATTTTGCATATTTTTATATTAGATTTAGATTTTAAAGTAAATAAAGTCTAAAGTCCTTATTGTAAGAGTTATTAATGTTTATTATTAATAATAATAATTGAAATGTAACACCAATAAAATATCTAAAACAATTTCCAGTCAATTGTGGAACTATATTACCATCAAGCCAAGTTGAGCGGAGACAAAAGAATGAGTGAGATCAAGTCTTCCACTAAAATTTAAGCTTGGCATAAAATGCATAAATTAAAAGTTAAATATAAAAAAATCAGATATGTATTTAATTGATTAAATAGTCAACTGTTATTATTCAGAAGTTTGCTCGTGGATATATTGCTAGAATGCTAATGAAAAGAAACAACGACTCCAGATACAATGAAAGAAATATTAAATATTTCAGTTATCATGCAACTTAGATCTAAAGACATTTTAGTTATCATTATAGAAAATATTACATTAATTGGTCAACTAGAAAGGCCTATCTTTAATTCTTAAAAACCAAAAACTAAGACTTTCTGGAAGAGTTAAAGAAAGTCGAAGTTGATGAAAATTAATAATTGAAAGTTAGACAAGAATAATTGGCAAGAACAGAATTTGAATCCCTAGCCAAAAACTTACATCATCTTTCTTCTACATAAACCATTGCAGGTGTTTATAATAGGCCTTTTGGAAATAAAGACATTGTGTTTGATTTGGATGTTGAGAGCCATCTCAAAGTAGTCTTTCATAGTAATTATGAATGGGAAAAGAAGAGACAGATTTCAAGATATGCTAAAACCAGTAAATTGAATTACTCTAATAAATTAAAACCATTGAAATGATATCTTAAAATAATATTCTCTGTCAAGTTTATCAATAATTTATATATATTATTCAAACCTGTATTCAACTCATCATACTATCTAAATCTGGATGATTAAGTAGGTTTTTCCATCTTTCGAATTATGATTAAATTGCAGTAGGTTTTAAATTTATAAATTTTAAATCCTTTTATTCACTCCTTTAATAGGATTCAATGGTTTTTTTAATCGCTCAATATTTTATTCATAACCCTCCCTTTTAAAATTTAAGTTTCAAATTATTTAATTTCCCCTCCAATTTTTTTACAACACAAATCACTTTGATTAGTCACTTATCTTCTCAAATATATCATAATATATCCTAATTCATTAAATTTCGTNAAAATTTAAGCTTGGCATAAAATGCATAAATTAAAAGTTAAATATAAAAAAATCAGATATGTATTTAATTGATTAAATAGTCAACTGTTATTATTCAGAAGTTTGCTCGTGGATATATTGCTAGAATGCTAATGAAAAGAAACAACGACTCCAGATACAATGAAAGAAATATTAAATATTTCAGTTATCATGCAACTTAGATCTAAAGACATTTTAGTTATCATTATAGAAAATATTACATTAATTGGTCAACTAGAAAGGCCTATCTTTAATTCTTAAAAACCAAAAACTAAGACTTTCTGGAAGAGTTAAAGAAAGTCGAAGTTGATGAAAATTAATAATTGAAAGTTAGACAAGAATAATTGGCAAGAACAGAATTTGAATCCCTAGCCAAAAACTTACATCATCTTTCTTCTACATAAACCATTGCAGGTGTTTATAATAGGCCTTTTGGAAATAAAGACATTGTGTTTGATTTGGATGTTGAGAGCCATCTCAAAGTAGTCTTTCATAGTAATTATGAATGGGAAAAGAAGAGACAGATTTCAAGATATGCTAAAACCAGTAAATTGAATTACTCTAATAAATTAAAACCATTGAAATGATATCTTAAAATAATATTCTCTGTCAAGTTTATCAATAATTTATATATATTATTCAAACCTGTATTCAACTCATCATACTATCTAAATCTGGATGATTAAGTAGGTTTTTCCATCTTTCGAATTATGATTAAATTGCAGTAGGTTTTAAATTTATAAATTTTAAATCCTTTTATTCACTCCTTTAATAGGATTCAATGGTTTTTTTAATCGCTCAATATTTTATTCATAACCCTCCCTTTTAAAATTTAAGTTTCAAATTATTTAATTTCCCCTCCAATTTTTTTACAACACAAATCACTTTGATTAGTCACTTATCTTCTCAAATATATCATAATATATCCTAATTCATTAAATTTCGTAATGTCATTTCTAAAAACAATTTTTATTTTTTAATAAGTTAAAATAATCCTTTTTGAAAACTTTTCATAAAATGACAAATTTAATAATAATTAATTTAAAATCTTTGAATAATTCTAAATCATTTTAAGATAATATTCCTAAATTGGTAATTAAAATTTGTTAAAAATAAATATCCAAACATTAAGTGATTAAAATCTATATTGTATTTGCTTAAATAATCTCTTCCAAATACTGAGAAAAATTCAATCAATATATTAATTAATATATTTCAATATCCTTCTAAAAAATTCTGCATATATTTCATATGATCTATTACAAATCTTTTTGCCCTTACATATGCTGTTTTATTTTGATAAAAGATTATAAAGATTTAACTTATTCACTTAATATTAATTTATTATTATTATCTCTTTACCATACCTTTCCTTGAGTCAAGTCAAGTAATTTTTAGAATACTGAGTGATTTTAATTAATTATTTTGAAATTAAGAATTAACTCTCTGGTCCCTAAAGATAATTAGTACTGTAAATTAGATACATTTATTATATTTTTTAATTTATTATTTAGAGTAATTATGAATAATTTAGTTGGAAACTTTTAGAAGTATAGAGTTTCCTCAATGAATTCAGATCTTCCATTCATTTAAAATAGAAAATAAATTAGAGCCATTTCTCTACAATAAATCTTTGATAAAGTAAAATAAAATTCTCAACAAGTTGATTTTAATCTCAGTAACTTTGATTATAATAATCAAATCAAATCCAAGAAGTATTGATTCAACTATATTAGTTTGAACTTTAAAAATCCTCCATAGACTGAAAGATAAGATACTAAATTAAGATCTCAATCTATGACAAATCGATTATTAAGATAAAAAGGGAGTGAAACTATGCTTACTCAAACAGATTCAAAGAAAACTAATAATTTATTGTAAATCCCACATGTTAACTATCATTCAGACACTAAACTTCAGAAATAAAGAATTTATCTAAAAAAAATTGAAAAAAATAAATTGCTAAACAACGAAGCTAACACATCTCTATTATAATTAAAACAAAAGAAATAATGTGAAAGTGATTAAAAATTTGTTAATTTCACTCATTCAACAAACAATTTATTAAGCCATATAAGTGAAAGAGCCAATTTTAAAAAAATTCGCTTAAGTTAACAAAATGATTTAATTTAAATCAAATCTGATGGACCATTATTAAGTTTTAGAGAATTTGCATAATTGCAAGGATTTAAATTACCAACATTTTTACAAAAGTGATATTGCTTTACTTTATTTATATTTAAAAATAAAACTCAATTTTTTATCGTAAACGATCCTCTTGTATTAGGAATACAAAAACTAAAAATAATCTTAGTGTGCTTTTTAATGAGATTTTAATTATAGTTTCAGTAAAATTTTGATCTTATTGATTTAAAAAAAGCGTTCGATACTATCATCTCAGTTTCATCATATTCAAATAAAAAATTTATTCAAAATAAACTATTTGAACTTTGTAAACTCAATCCCCTTTACTCTCAGAAGTTTTCTTTTTTAAAATAAAATTAGATAAAATAGAAAACTCATAAGATTATAATAAAAAGTTATTTCATTTTAAACAATTTCTTCAATCTAAATAATGCAATTTCTCATCTAAAAAATATAATCAATTTTGAATTGTAAGAATATTAAACTATTACTCCTAAAATTTCCAAAAGAAAATATAATTAAGAAAATTTTTTTAGTTAAAATCAAATAAATTCAAAAAAAGATTAATTGAAAGAAAACAAAAAGGTAAGAAAGTCAGAAGTAATAAATGTAAAGTTTGATAGTGAAAAAAATTAATTTTATTACTTTATTTAATTAAAATTTATTATTAATTTTTATAAATGTTATAAACTTATAAAAAGAATAGCAATAAATAAAATATAAATTCATATAATATAAATCTAGGTGGTCTTAAAAAGATTATTTGAAAATAAAAATAATAATAAGGTGATTGAATTTATGGTTCCAGATATGTAGATTTCAAAAGGAATAATATGGACTCCCAAATAAATGGATGAAAAAAAATAATTTAATTTAATATAATAATTAAATTTTTATATTAATTATTTAAACAAAAATGAATTACTAAGAATTATTAGAATTAGTAGATATTGATTAAGAAGCAGGATGGCGGATTCTATAAGCAAAGAATATTAAGTTGAGAGATATTATTTATTCAGATTTTAATTAATAATACATTGCAATTTGTTTAAAAGATTTTACAATTTTTGAGGATTGCCTTGATCATGTATTAAAATATGAAAACAATGAACTTTTCCAATTTATTTATAAATATTTTGATAAAGAATTCACATACAACTGCCTTTAGATTCAGCCTTGTTTTTCTTGTTACAAAAATATAAATGTGATTGAATAAATAAAAAAGCCAATTTCAAATGGTTAAAAGTCTAAAATGATTACATATTAATTTTAGAAGATCTATGAAATATCTGAAATATAATTAGATATAAGAGAAGAATTTTAGGGACGCATAAAAATTCATTTACCAGGAGATGAAATAATCCCATTTTCATAAGAGTTAAAACCTCCTATTATTGCATAATAAATAACATTAGAGTATCCATTACAAGAAATAGATCGACACTCTAATATTTGCATTTGCAGTACTTTTAGAAGAGAAGTTGAAGAATGTCCAAGATGTTAAGGTAAGCAACTATAAATAACGTTTTCTTGTACTCCAGTTATTGATATTGATGCAATTAAAAATGAATCTGAAGTGCAATAAATAAATAATATAATATCAGATTTAGAATAGGTGAAATAGTAGAACTATGAAAAGTTGAAGGAATATTATAATGCTATTTCATAGTATAAGTTTTAAGTTTAAATGATTCAATTAATGAAAGAGGCATATAAAGAATTTAATTAAGCTGCCATACTATCAAAAAGGTATAGTAGAAGAGTTAGACAATTTTATAATGGAATGGAAGAAGCTAGAGAGTTATGTTAATTTTCTAATTGTTTAGAATGTAGTCGAAGAGTTCTGTGTTTAGCTGAAAATGTGAGTGAATCTTTATTAAGGAAACTTTACTTTTCTAATAACATCACTCATAAAGAAAGAGAAACTGCTATTAAATTACTTAAACCTACAATAATTTATTAAGTAAATGATTTAGATTAAATTGCATTAAATGAGGAAGCTTACAAAGAATTCTGTTTATAAGCATATTTATATTTGAAGGAATAGAATAAAATGGATTTTATTAATTAATTTTTGATTAAATGTAAAGAATTAAAATTAGATGAGATCATTATAGCTATACTAAAGACATTAAATTAAGTATAAATTACTGAGATTTAACAATTATTATGTGATATAAAAGTTGAAAGTATATGTTTAAAAGATAATATAATAAGTTAATTATTCTTAATTGAAAATGTGGAAGTTTAAGAAAAGTTAAGGGAATTTGTTATAGGAGTTTGTAAAGTTAATGAAATTTTGGGATTGAATTTATTTTTAAATGGATTGCAATATACAAATGCTATTACTTTTTATTAACTTTTTGATGAAATTAAAATAAAATCAGCTGGAGATGCAGTTGTTGAATTTCTAGTGGGTTTTATAAAAGAAAATTATAGAAAATTAGAATCTTAAAAAATATTGAAATGTTTTGAAATGATTTAAAAATGTTGGAATATTTTAAGTTATGATTAATTAAAGTGGTATATTGAATTAGACAAATTATATAAATATATTGGTTAAAATAATGCAAGAATTGATTAAGTAATTTTATAAATTTTATATAGATATATAACTTTTTGTATTAAAATATGCAGATTAATGATAATTTTGAAATTCTTAAATACTTTATTATGTAACTACTAAATGAGAATCAATAAAATCAGTAAATTCAAAGAATGTCATTAATGATTCATAATCTCTTATTTAAGAGATTGGATTTTAGAATAAGAATTTAGCCATATAAAACAAATTAATAATTTTATCAAAAGGAAGTAGAGTATTCATCTGTAAATTTTGAAACGTAAATTATATAAATAATTCAATAGATTTGAGAAGCTAAAAGAAATGGCATAAAAGGATTTAGGTTTAGAACTTTAATTTGATTTGATAATTTAGGAAAGAATAGTAAATGATACTAATCTTGATTTAGAATTAGTATATAAAGGATTTTACATACCTGAAAAGGCAAAGCAATTAAAAAATGGATAAAAAATATTGTCTATGAATAATATATAATAAGACCCTTAATTGCAGAAAGAGAAGGAAAAGATAAATGAATTAATCTAATAAAAAATTTTAATGGAAATCAATTACTCAATATAAGGAGTTGGGAATCATGATGATTTACCTTATATACCAAGTTTAACAGATGAAAAGAAATAATAATTAGAAAAATAAATCTCAAGTTTAATTGAGCCCTAACATTTAAAAATCTTATTTATATTGATTAATAATTTAATACAAGAAGGAAAGAAGTTCATGAGTACTGTATAAAAGATTGTAGGTATAATGAAATTTTTATGTAATTCATCTAATTAAATCAAATAATAAATTATTAATTGTCAAGGGATTGTTGTTTTGATCAAGATTTATTTATAAGAGCCGAATGAAAATGAAAAATTATTAGATTTTATTGATGATTTATTAACATAAACTACTTAAATGAGAAGAAGATTTAGTGAAAATATTGATCCATATGAATTAAAATTCCATGATAAAGAAAGTGTTACACTTCTTTATTAAGTTATTAATCATTTAGAATTAAATTTAACTTAAAGAATAAGTAAAACTTTAATATAAATTATTCCATTAATAATTCGAGATCTAAATGAACCAATATAAGCATTAATTGAATATTTTAAAAAAAGCATTAAATTTGAATGGAATAACTAATAATTGGCATTCTTTGGATCAATATTACATGCAACTCCAACTCATTATTAAAAATTAAGAGAAGCAACATTAAATAGTGGCATTTATTAATTAGCAGTAGAATAATATTTATTAAATTAATCCCTTGAAGACTGGAGTGAAACTAATGCTAGTTGTTTAAAAATTATATTCTCTGTTGCTATTGGATCTTAAGAATGTTAATTGCTATTAAATGAAATTGGATTTATACAATAAATATTTTAACATTCGAATAATCATAATTAAGTAATGAAAGAATTATCTAAAGTATGTAATGACTGTATAAATTTCATTAAAAATGATGATGGATAATATATTATACAAGAATTGAAAACTGCTATATAGAAATTAACAATTGATAAAGAATAAAAATTTGAAGAAAGTTATAAAAATAAAAAATAATAAATAATGAAAAAATATCAAAAATCAAGTTATAATTAGAAAATTTAATCTTTACAAATAGAGAAAGGATTATAATGTGTAGCTTGCAAAGAAGGTTATTCATTAAGTTTAAATCAATTAGGAATTTATGTTTTTTCTCTTCCATATTAAATTCCAGAAGAAAAAGCATTCCTATCTATGTAAAGTCAAGAAACTTATGGTTTATAGAGTGTAACTTATTTTACAGTAATTCATTCATCCTGTTAAAAAGCTAGTGTAGATTGTGCAATAAAATCATAAAAGGATGAACAACCAAAATCACATGATGAAATATATTGGGAATGTGCAATTAAAAATAATGGTTGTAAATGCAATAATTTTTTACCATTAAAAGGTGGAAATAATTATGATTAGACTTTGGAAAACTATTTTAAAAAATGTGAAAAAATATTAAAAAATAAAATCACTTCAAAATGTTGGTTACTTTTAAATGATTTAAAAGGATTAATTTTTAGAATGGCATCATAAGATGATTTATCAGTTGATGCTGGTGCAAGTACTTATGAACATAATCTTAAACTTATTCCAGTCATGATGACAGCTATTATATTTTGTAATGTTACATAATACTCTCATCTTATGTCTACTTAATAAACTTCTTTTTAATACATTTCTATCGCTATTATTCTTGCCTTATTTCATCCTTATTAAGATTGGCAACATTATTTAAGTATTTATACTAAGGATGCTAATAAGCATTTACTTAATGCTATTAAAATAGTAGATATTATCATGTCTTATATTCTATCTAAAGTACCAAATGATTCAAATTATCAAAAAACTTTAGATAAATTTCTTAATTAAGATTAATTTGATGTAATTATCATTTATTCATTTTTTTAGATTGCTTTATAATTTCAAAAATTGCCCATAGAATACAATAAAAAATGAATTTTTTTGATCTTGAACAATTTTATAAATTATATAATATTACATACTATTTATAAATCAATTGATTTTTTCAAAAAAAGATTTCAATTCATTAAAATCATTAAAAATTTATTTTGTAAATATGGATTTAGCTAGTTAAAGCAAATTTTTATAGTGTTGAAATGAAAACTCACGATTTCTATTTTTTACTTTTTATGCCTAAGAATCAAAAAGGGCAAAAGATTCTTCTAATTTACAATTTTTAAAATGCTCTATATAACTGTTTCTAAGATTAGCATCTCCAGGAAATGTTAAAATTAAATGCAAAATTAATGTTCCTATAGCTTAAAATGTGTATTCTAAATAACTTTGGTATCGTTGATTATTTATTTAAGGATTAAAATCTGCAAGTACAACCTAGATTTTTTATTAATAAAATAATTACTTATAAATTCCCAGTGACAGTTATTGTTATCATTATATTTTCAGGTTTTAAATCAATTAGATGAATCTTTCTTAATTTTAGAAATTCCAAACCTTAAATTATTTAAAAAATAATATCTTGAATGTGCTTCTATTTTTATTTATTTGCCATTGGGTTCATATAAAAATAGGAATAACTTAACAAATTTTTAGCTTAAGATATATATCTAGGATATATGCAATATTCTATTTGCATAAATAAATAAGGTTAAAAATTCAATATTTCTATCCACCAATCATATAATCTAATTACATTAGGATGAGAAAGAGAGGCTAAAATCTTAGCAATATTTATGTAAATATCCTTGGTATTGAAAATATTTATAAACTAAGTGATGAAATTAGCTCTTAAATGTATCTAATAATATAAAAAGATTTGATTACTCTTTTTACATAATAAATTTAGTCATCAACTAATCTATAGACTTGATATAAAGTTTGATGATTTTCTTACTCTTCATTTAAAATTAAGAATTCATTTTTAAATTTATTCGTTTTTAAGAATTAGTTTTTGTAATCTTAATGCATATAAGGTATCTTAATTATATTTTCAATTTTAAAAAAATTCATTAACAATCTAACTCTTTCTTATTTTTGGTCAATAATAATTTTCTTGATTATATAGTCTCTAATAGTTTTATGGACATAAATAAATCCGGTGGATTTGATTTATCCAGTGGAGGTTATAAATCCTATATTAATATCTTGGTAGAAACATTGAAACAAGTTATTTTTTTTGATCTCTAAATTAGATTAACAATACAATAAACTCCTCTTTTGATTTAATGAATGATGGTATCAGCATTTTTTGAAGTGCTTTTCGAATAACCTTAGTCATCATGAGAATATAGTGAAAAAAAGGATCATCGAATTACGAATTATGACTGATAGTGGAAATTACGAGAACTTGAGTAAAAGCTGAGAAATCATCTGCATTTAAGAACTCTTGTTTGAGTTTTTGATTGTTTACCTAAGATTGCAGTTAAGACTATACATTACAAGAGTCACCCTGATTTTATTTTCATCAGCTGCTTCCTGGTTAACAATTTTGTAGTTTTCGATATCCTCTGGAATTTCTTCAATGACGAGGTTACTATTACAGAATTCATAATGCTATAATGATTCTGATCATATACCTCAGAATTATTCTAATACATCAAAATAATCTAATTTTTTTATATAAATCACAATATTTGATTTGGAGTCCAAACAACAAGATTTCTACAAGTACTAATCAAACAACAATATTTTGAATTGAATAAAACTAATTTACATTTCCTTTGATGTCCTTAAAGCTTTCCAATCAATTATCCTGTTTAAGTTTAAGTTTTATTGACATTCTATATTGATATTATATATAAGATTCCACTATTACTACCAGTAATCAAAAATTTAGAATCTGGAGTAAAACAAACACTGACATTCAACCTATCTGTATTTCCTGGAATTTCAAATAACTATTTAGCATTTATGACAATTACTGTATTTAATAAATAACTATCTAAAATTACAATTTGACCATCAGAGCAAACACATAATAAAAATTAATTGTCTAAACTAAACTTAAACTGAATTATTGGAGTTCCTGTTATTTATTTTATTTAATAGGGTCCTAATTCAAATTTTCTCAATTAATATAACTAGACACAATTTAGAGATTGACCATTTTCTTTTTATACATATGCCATCCCGAAAGAATTTCCAATGTAATCCAAAGCCCCTATTATTTTATTATCAGGTTTAGAACTCATGTCTAAAACTGCATAGCAAGTATCTTATTGTTAATTTAACTCCCATAATCGTAGAGTCTCATCATAACTACAACTTAAAATTATTTGATTATGTATTTCTAGTTAATAAATTCTTACGAATAATATTATTTCAATACATTTTCGTATGTCCAGAAAATTTCCTCAAAATTTGATTCTCTTCAAAAGCCCAATGCCAAATCTCATCTTAAATAAAATTAATTATTTACATGGTTCATTTTTTGTAACACAAATTATATGATTTTAATCTATTGTAAATCTCACAAAATCAATCTCCTATGTATTATTATACATTGTTCTAATCTTTCTATATTCAACTTCCAATATTATACTTCATATTAACAATATCAAAAACATTTATTACTTAATCATCACAAGCAACCAAAAATTATCCATTTTATGAAAAATCAATAGAATTTATTTCTTTCAGCTTTTTTAATAGTTATTTTATTACAAAGTCTTTGTATACTTTCTAAATTTTTAATCCTTCTAAAACTTCTTTTGTTATTTCAACTTTCGGTTCATCAGTTATCATATAAATATTTATTAAAAAATTACAGAAATGAAGAACTTAAAATTTGATATGAAAGTCAGAATATGAGTGATTACTTAATAAAAATATAATAAGATTGAAATATATGTATTTTATGTATAGAAGTTCATTTCTATAAAAATTTATAATAAATATAAAATAAATTTAAAATTAAAATTTGTTATGTCTACTCACTAAGATTTAAGAGCACTTAATATCAAGTAAAATATATTTGAGCATTTTATATTACCTTAAAAATTTAATCCTTAAATTTTAAATTAAATGAATACTCCATATATAACGTTTGAATAATTTAAGGACCTTACATGCAAATAATTATCATCAATAATTGATGGTGAAATAATTTACACTTTCTTTTAATTAGCCTTAGAAAACCAACCAATAATAGAACGTAAACCTGTGGATGTAAAACAATTAAGCTTATTTTTACAATTACAAAATTTTAATTATGCAGGAAGACATTCAATTTTTGAAAATATCAATATAAATGATGTGAAATATTAGGAAAGATAAAAATAAACAATGAATTCTTATTCACCACTTAATTCTCCAAGAGCTAAAACAATGAGAGTATAATCAAAGTAAAATGATACTTAACAATCAGTTCAATTTGTAAAATAAAATATCAAAGATTGGATTAATTTAATATCATCTAATGTAGATACTATTACAAGTTAAGAATTCAATTTGTTGAGTTTGATATTTGCTAGTGAATAACAAAATTTAAGTTAATTGATTTTTGATGGCACATAGAAATTAAGTAAAGAAATAGTTTCTGATTGGGTTTAAAAAACATTTAATGTCCTGAATTTTGTATTAATTTCATTTATAATTATAGCTTCTGTAATATTTGGATTTACAAAATCTGTCACTATTAAAAGTAATGTAGGATAAGATCTCAAAATTACATAGTCTGAAGATTCATAAATATATATTGATTGTGCTGTAAATACTCTATCAATTAGCTAATGCACTAATTGTTAAATAAATGTTGCTTCTGTTCATATGATTACTAGCATTACTTCTTGTGAAAAGACTATTATTTGTGTCTCATCTAATTATATTAAAAATAGCAACACAATAGATTCAATAATACATTATTATGGATCATATCCACCCATTATTTATGGAGATTGTAGATCTATTATTTTAGCATCAAATAATTCAAATACAGAAAAAACTCTTTAAAATTTAAAAGATGCATAGATTCCTTTTAATAAGAGTTGTAGAGATAAATATTAAAAACCATTCATAATTGGATAAAATAGAATTGATTGGGTTATTTAATCTATTGATGAATTCACTAAGTTTATTTTACCTGAACAACATTTTGGTTCAATAGATGCATCTTTAATTATAAATTCTAATTTTGATATAGAAAAAATGGCTAAGGAAATAACAGAAAAGAAAATTTTAACATAACCCATGAATTATGAAAAGTATAATAAATATTTTTAATTAAGAGAATCATTCTACCTTTATTAGCACCCCCAGAATATATTAAAGCTATTTTTGAAAGATATCAATTATATGCAGGAATTCAAGCTCAAATTAAATAAGCCAATTTGAAGGATGAAAATTCAAAACTACTGTAAAATGCCATACAAGGGAATTTTAGAGAATGGCTGATATCAACAGGTTCTATTAAATAAATAAGTGATCTTGTTAAATTAATAGATTCAGATTAATGAATTTAAGTTATTTAATTTATCATTATCTAATCATTAGTATCAAATTTTGAATTATTTTGTTTTTAATCCTTTCCAAATGATTTACTCTTAATAATTTTATCCTATTTTATAAATTTTAAATCAATTTAACTACCCTTTAAAATCTGATTTTTAATTAATATTATTCTTATGGATTTGACTGTAAGAATTTAGTTATTTAAATATTGTTTAAACCCTATTAGATTTCATTAATTTTATTTTTAAATAATGATATTCTATTTTTTTTTTAAGTTAAATAAATCATTACTATATTAGATTTCATTTGTTTCTGAACTATTCTATTTGATTTCTTATTATATACTTTAATATACATATTAAATTAGAACTTTTTGATCTAAGAAAGATTTAAGATGAGGATTCATTAATTGATTTACATATGAATTTAATTATCGAAAATTGAAAACATAAAAATTAATGTAAAACTTTATTAAAATTTTTGAGTGAGTGATTTTACTTTAAAATAATTTAGAAAGCATACTTAATTAATAATTTAAGGAGTTCTTAAATGAATGAATTTCTTAGTTATTATTATTACATTAATTAATGAATCAACAGTAACAATACTATCAATAAGAACTTAAAGCTTAACAACCTCAAATAAAAAAGGCAAAAAGCTTTGATGACGATGATAATTTAGAAGTAATAAATCTATATAAAGTAGATAATTAAATAAGGATATGGAATTCATGAGGCATTGAGAATTGATATTCTAGAATTTTATAAAACTTGTCGAACATAATAAGAATATAAGAATCCAGCAGACTTTGTGAAGCACAGATTAGATGGCAAATATGGACCATATTGGTTTGTATTTATGTGGGAACATAGAAATGGGTTAAATGCTCAATACAGTTATTATAATAATGATGACAAAGTTTTTGAATTTAAAGTAATAACTATTGAAATTATAAGTTAAATGGTTGGCATGTCTTGATTTACTCATTCAATCAAACTCAATAACCAGCATAATTTAAACCATAACCAAGTGCCTAGACTATGCCTTAATATAATGCGTAAAATTAAGTTTTATAATTTTAGATAGTTTCCCCCTCCTCTTTATGATTAAAGATTTGATGACTATTAAGTAGATCCTAGATATCCTTACTCTTAAATGTAATAAGGACCATCTCAATTTAGATAAGGAGGATGGTATTACTGATTAAATCATAATATTCTAAAAATATATAATCTTGTAATTTCAAAAATTATTAAGTATTTTTTACTTAAATTATTGTTACTTTATTTAATCAATCTTATAATATAATACTTTTTATTAAACAACTAATTTAAACTAGAAACCTTTAAAATATAGTTTTATCAAACATTTAAAATATCTCAACTATATTTATTTATATTTTCTTAAATTCATTATTCCTCTTTTCATCATTCATTTTTTTTAATCAAATCATTAATATTCTATTTATAAATTTTATTA